AAAGCTTTATTATTTTAAAAATAACCAAGCATCTCAACACCAAGGAGATCCTCCCTTGGAATACTTCAAATTTTTCTTCATATGCTCATCTCAACATATTTTCAAAAACCAAAATCTATTACATCAGGTTAAAATATTTCTAATTAATGATATTAAGCACTAGCCACCAAAATAACTGGATTTTACATCTTTTCTCTTTAACAGGCAAAAATAAAGAAGTTAATTAAATAATGTCAATTGACCAGGTAGGTAGACACAGAAATTTTTCCAGATAATTTGGAACAAAATGTCACTTTTCTCTGGTCTGATTTTCTGAGAGAACACACAGGACTGTATCAAAGCTCAGTTTTCTTCTTGGCTGTGTGAGCGTCACACTCAGCAGGTTGCAAACACGTTATGTAAGGCACAGACTATGATAAACATTATTTGTAAGTCATCCTGTTTGCTACTTCTTCCATTTCATGGAACACCTAACCTCAAGATCTCAAAAATCTTTTAACCCGAGACGCCTTCCTAGGCAAAAAACGTAGGCTATACAAAAGTCCTCTCTTTTCCATGGTTTCACTTTCCATGGTCTTATTCACCCACATTCGACTGTGATCTAAAAATATTAAATGGAAAATTTCAGAAATTGACAAGAATCCCCCAAGTTTTAAACTGGATGCCATTCTGAGGAACATGATACAATCTCCTGCTGTCCCTGGATCTGCATCATTTCTTTATCCAGCATTCTCAGGCTGCATTTGCTACCTGCTCTTTAGTCACACAGTAACCACCTAGGTTATAAGACTGACTCTTGTGGAATCCCAGTGCTTGCACTGCAGTAACTTTTATTTTGATTAATAATGTCCCCAAAGTACAAGAACAGTCATGTCAGCAATACAGATATGTGCAAGAAACCCAGAAAGAACTTCTTTTAGTGAAAAGGCAAATAAAAAAACAAATAGAGATCACTAAAGAATGGGAAGGGTCTGGGGAAGAGAGAGGAGAGAGGTTGGATAACAGTGCCAAAACAGACCTAGAGAGAAGGAGCAAGTTCCTAGTGTTCCACAACACAATGGGGTGACTGTAACTCACAATTACCTCATGTATATATTTTTGAGCAAATTCAAGAGAGAAGCTCACAGGTATCATCAGAAAGCTGTGACAAGGAGAGGGAAGTGTTAATTATAGTAATTTTATCAGCATACATCACTGTGTATAAGGAAAAATATACATATAATTAAATGACACTCTGTATTTCACAAACATGTACAATTCTTTAAGTGTTCATCAAAAACATTAAAGTTTGAGACAGAATAAACAAATCTTCACACATTGAACACACCCCATAACATGCACAATTAGAATGATTTAGAAATTAAGTCAGAATGAAGAGTATACATGGAATTAGATATAGTCTAAGTGTTAAGAAATGCAAGTTGAGTTTAGGGAGTTAATTCTTTTAAATCCTAACTTTTCACTCAGACGACTCAAAATAGCATGCATTTCAAGCTAGATCTGTTGCCAAGTTAATCTTTTTTTAAAGTAGAATCATTTGTGCTTATTAAAAAAAAACTCAAACAATGTAGGAAGAACTACCCAAATTATGAGTTCCTCCAACTCCCATACCCCAACTGCATCTCCCAGAAGTAACCACTTACATTCTGTACATCCTTCCAACTTGTAGGACTTTTATTAGCACTCATTCCTTAAAAACATACATACACAGAAAGCATTTGAATACATCTTTTTTGTACTGTCATCCGACAGTACATACTGCTGATTCACAGCAAGTCAACAATGGTGTGAGGTGGTTTGCATGCAGGGCCATCCAAGTGCCATCTTCATGGAGTAGTCAAGACAGTATCAGCAAGGCTGTTTCCAGGGCTTTGATGGCCTAGTATCCTGGGCAAAGAGAACCATCATGGCTTCCCCTCCAGTCAAGTAACAAAACTAAATGGAACAAATAACCACACTGTAGGTCCTAAGTGGAAACTGGAGGTACTGAGCCCAGTGAAGACCCTGTCCCCGATGTGATGAACACTTCATTCAAAGCAACCTTCAAACCTTCAACCTTCAAGCACTATTTTAGACACCATAAAACAAAACAACAACAACAAAAAACTGCATATCTAAGGTGCCAAAGCTGCCCTTACGAAACTTACAGTCTAATGAGGAATGGGATTGTGTTCTGGAGAGGCCAGTGACATTTATATTCAGATATGCACAGTGATGTTATAAAGCAAGCTCAGGATGGTTTCCTGAAGCCATGGGTGAGTCATGATGAAGTTACTCCAGACATAAGGACATTAGGGTAAACAGCAGCCCCAGGTTTCAGGTAGTGGTAACTGCAGATGAAATTTAGTTTCTCTAAGTTGCCCTGAAAAACATTTTCTTAAAAAAATTCTATACTATACGCAGCCCTCAATATTGGCACTTTATATTAGGCCTAAAAGCTTTTCCCTATCCTAAGCTCTGTTCAATTCTACCTTCCCTTCCAATCTTGAACCCACAAATTTTCCTCATCTTCAACCCACTGCACTCTGCAGTGATCCCATGAGCCTCTGAAGCATGGGCGATCCTTGCAAGGCTAACTCAGAAGAAATGCTCTCTGCAGTCCCCTTCCCAAACCTCTCTGAAGCATGTGGCCCTGCTGACATGCTGTCAAATTGTCTGATCCTTTGGTTTCCTTGGCATTGTGCCGTTATCCCTGGCTTCCTTTGAGCCATATCTGCTCCTCCACTGGCTCATACTCCTCTCTGTTCCATAAGCCTGTTAGATAGTTCCACCCTGAATTCTCCTTATTTGCTCCATAAGCCATCCTAGCTACATCTATTACCTAACCTCCATCTCCAGATTAAAGTCTCCCAATTCTACGGAAACTCTAAAGGTACATACCAGTCCATCACATTAGATCTCTCCAAAGTCATCTCTTCTCCCCTCCTCTAATTTGCCTTGGCAAATGGTACTGCCATCCACTTACCACAAAAACCTGGTATCTGGGAGCGCTGGCAGGCACACAAATGCACTACTCTCTCACCCCCCCGCCTTCGTACCTGCTGTTCACTCTAGCTAAAATGTTCTTCATTTCTTTAAAAAAAAAATCTGACTTACACATATACAAAATTGTCACAATAAGTTTTAGGTTATCATTCCATGTTGTCTTTATTTTTTGCAATATATTTAATACATGCAGTAACCACAATTAACACATACAAAATTGTGTTATAAAACACCTACAACTCATAAACACCCATATTCCTATTTCCCAAGAACAAGAGCATGACTCATAATTTGCATTGACCAATATGCTCCCTTCTGTGCTCTCTGTATCTTCTTCCCATAATCAACTGTGCTATTAGATTTTTTCTTTTACAATATAGCTTTATAACGAAAAATATACTGATAATATATTCCTTGGTTTAGCCTGTTTTTGAGCTCAATAAAAATAGTATCATGCCATATGCAGTCTCCTGAAGCTTGGTTTTTGTCCCTTCATATTTTTAGAGAATTATTCTTCTTGTGAGATATAGGGTAATGGATTAATTTATAATACAGAATATCCCTTAAGATTAATATATCTAATATGCTTATCTGTTCTTGTGTATATACATACATTTCACTTTTTTCCAGGTATTAACCACTATGAATCTATTCTATCGATATTCACGCACATCCCACTGGAGGCAATGTGCCAATATGTGGGAAATACAACTGGGAGTCAGAAGCTAGATCATTAGGTATGCAAGTACTCTAGCTTGAGGTGCAGTAGTTTTCTAATGTTGCGATCTATACACCCACCACACTGCATCAGTTTCTGCAAATCTCTGACATCAGGTCCAAAGTGCATAAGCCTATGGGTGTATAATACATTGTCACTGTGATCAAATGTGAGGCATATTTCTACAGGTTTACCACCCCTGAGTTTACAATATATGTGAGAAAACCTATTCAAGTGTTTTCAATCCATTTTTAAAATAGAAGTTCTATATATCTATATATTTGTTTGTAAACAGGTCTTCTCTAAGTACTTGCTTAACTAAGTACTTAGATTCAAAAGTTGATCTAATAATTTTTTATAATCACTGTTTTGTGTCCCAAGAAAATTTTTCCGGCCCTGAGGTGTCTTTTTTTTTTGCAAATATTTACAAATTTTGTTCTTTTGTACTTAAAATCCTTAATATATTTAGAATCGGTTGATGAGAAGTGGAATTTCATTTTCCTCCAAATGAACCACTGTACTAGTGCTACTTTGTCTCCACAGCTGCCAAGCTACTGTCATATCAGTCAACACAAGAACAGGCTTCATTTTGTTCCAGCACTCAGAACACCTACCTCTATAAACAGGTATGGAATTCATTCTACAGTAAAACTTGATTGTTTCCCAAGTTCCTTCAACTTCATTGTTACACACATTAGGCCATTCTCGGTGCTTTGCTATTCCAGGTAAATTTAAATATATGCTTATTAGCATAACCTCTGCTGGAATTTCTTAGAAATGGCATTAAACATAAAGATCAATTTGGGGCAATATAGTACTTTTAAAATCTTCAATACACTGTTTCTTCTTTGCATCCTTCTACCCTCCTTGCTTCTTGTTCTATTATCCTCTAAGTCTTGAATCAGGTCTCATCCACTGTTTCCTCTGAATATTTCCACCAGCATCCCAATGAAAGTAGGACAAGTATACTTTATGTGCCAACTTGGAATGGTAGCATCCTTTATTACTGAATATATCAGGAATTAAAGAATAACAGTAATTTAGGACACACTGGCTTTGCACACTTGCATGTCCTCCTAGAAGAGTTACTGGATATATATTATGTTCCTCAAGAGACAACAGTTCAGATGGAGCTCCCTGGAGATACTGACTAAATAAGACTGCTCATTGGAACTATCCAGATTAATAAAGCAACTAATGACAAATCCTTGGAGACATGAAGATGCATGTGAGCAGAGCAAGAGATCAGAAACACAGAAGGTTAACCAGTCAAGGAGAAGGGGGAAAGAAGAGCTTTAAAAAAGGAGTTTACACTGTTCAAAACCACAGAGGAAGAATTAAAAAGCAAAAGATCAGAAAAATCACTGGATCTTACACTTAATTAAGAGGTCACTGGTGGCAAGAAAGATAGGTATAAAACCCCATTTCATAAATAAATCTGCTCAGATCCCAGGTAAAAATGAAAAGAAAGCAGGTAGACTTGTTTTGAAATGCAAAAGACCTCTAGCTCCAGCCTGTCCCAAGGGAGCAGACATCTGCAGAGCTCAACTGGCCAGGACTGCTCTTCATTTCAGGGTCCCCAAGGACGGCACTTGCTTTGGAAACCATCTAAAGATCCAGCTCCCCTGCTGCATTCCACAGAAGTCTTTGAAACGCAAAAACAAGGCACTGAAAAGACAAGGCTCCCAGGTTGGCTGTTGCTTATGGTTTTTAAGGCATTCTGTACATTTCCTTAAGGATCATCAAGTACAGAAAAGTTAAGAAAAAAAGTTACTCTGTATCATATCCAAGAATGGGCCCCAACCATTTCTCAACCTCAGCCACAGACATTTTCTTCCTCAGAGCATAATCCTCAATCTGCAAAAAATTAGAAAGAGCATATTAAACCAAAGGGATAAGATTGTAAGGACTAAAGTTTTCACAGGTTGTGCGAAGAAACATTAAATGCCTTCAATTTCTTTTCTTAACAGTAATCTGCTGAGCTAAATGGAGACAGATACTTAACTGTCCACCATGTTGCCTTGTTCTCTAGGCAGAAAAACACACAGTAAATATCTGGTGCTTAGGTGCTGTGTGTGTGTGAGAGAGAAAGTGTGTCTCTAGAGTGTGTGTGTATGTGTATATGTGTATTTATTAACTGGAATAAATTTCATAACTCTCCTCAACTTTTCATTTAACTCACACACCTTCACAATAAACAGGTTCCAGAGTTACACTTTAAACAATAAAGCGGCATTTATGAAAGTGAAACACAATGTAACAGTTAACTTACCTGATCTTTGGAAATTTTTCCGACAGCAAAATATTTGGATTTCAAGTTGGAGAAGTAGAGCCCTGATACCGCTGAAGCAGGTGCCATGGCTAATGATTCTGTTAGCCTAATGCCTGAGGAGAGCAACAGAGAGGAAAACACTCAGTGCCTAGCACAAGGCCTACCAGCTGACAGGCACTTAGTGAAGTCACCTTGAACAAGTGGATGGATGAACAAGTGAACTCATCCTCCTCATAACTTAGCATGAAAGCTTTAACCAGAGGAGTCTAGCAAATTCTTGTCAGGCAGATAAACACATTCAGGTCATGCAGACCTTCTCTAATCCTGCTGAGGCAGACATGGAGAAGATCTTTACTCTTACACTAGTCATACAAGTTCCTCCATGTGGAGGCCATAGGTCTGTGTGGGTCTCAGAGATGAGAGCACCACCAACATGGCCCTCCATGGGTTCTATGGGCTACTGACACTAGGGAGGACAAAGAGTCATCTCTAATGTAAGAGCCTGCAATAGCACTGAGAAAACAGATGAATCTGCTCCTGGAATTTGAGAACTCAAAGGAACCAGGGAACACTGCATCATCTAAGCCAGTAATTGTGTATAAGGAAACAAAGAAACAGAACAAAACCAAGGTTGAATTTTTTGCCAAAGGTGTTCCAACTAGCTAATGTGTTATAGAACTTGAATCCAGATCTCATGATTCCTAGAATCATATGTTGTTTCTGATTATTTAAACTCAACAGGGCTCAAAAAAAGAGAGAGAGAGAATGGGGTCTTAATCACTTTGCTGTAGTCCTTGACCCTTTGTGCCCTAATCAACTATATAAAGATTATCAAAATAAAATCTAGTATATATAAAAAATTCAACAGGGCTCACAGTTTCTCATTTAAATACAAATTCAAATAAATAGATAAGTATATAAATACATACATACATACAAACAAATTCCTTTCTCAGCTTTGACATCAGTGAAAACTACAAACTGGGCCTAACTCATCTTGCTTACACAAACCATGCAGTAAGGACTAGAATAGAAGCCTGCATCCAACAACAAACACAGAACCATGAGCAATTCTGTCCTGGGCCCAGGATGCCGAGGTTGGGTGCCCCAGCCTTTGTCTCAAAAAGGCACATGCTGACTTCTCACAATCAACATATGTATAAAACAAGAGGAATTATGATTACATATGAGTACAGGTACTAATAACAGTGTAAAGCAAACAGAAGACAGGGAGGGAAGGCTGGCAGTTCTTCCCTGCCCAAAGACACTTAAGCAATAGGAGCATGAGGGGAATCCTAACAGGACATCCCAGTTCCTTTCGAGGGACAAAGGATGTCACTGCACCAGAGACAGGAACTGGGGAGGCAGTGTTGGTGGAAGTAAGCTAAGTCCTAGCTGTTACATGTTAAGAGGAAAAACTTTAAACTGATAAATCCAAAACCGGATTCATTAATTTGGGAGTTAAACTATTAGAACAAACAGCTAAAAATGAGAAAGGACAAGATAAGGAATTGTTTCATTACAAACCCTACCAATTTTTAAAAATCATTAATCACACATGCCATTACTTTTATTAAAGTATACCCAAGAAATAAGGAAAGACCTCCAGGCAACTGCTTAGGTTGCCTGTACCTAGGCAAACATTATGCTTCTGGGAGAAAAGCAGCCAATGGCTGGCTGGCATTCTGTGGTTTATGCTGACTCTGTTAACTATATCACTTTGCTAGCACAGTTCCCTATTCTTTATTTTAAATCAGCACTGGGAGGAGTGAATAAACCATTGCCACTCACTTGCTGGGGTCTCTGGGCTGGGGTGCAAGGTCACTGAGGACTTTTAATGTGGGTAGAGCTGCAGCCATGTACTTCCATAAATCAAGTCATGGGACCTACCAATACGCTAAGTGCTGGTAGTCCTGGCTGGCAGGCCAGGCTGGGCACAAGATCTTAAGACAATTTCCTGAGGTCAGGCTACTGTCCCTGTTGGCACTGCAAAGTGCTGGAGCTGGAGAGGGCACAGCACAAATCATAAGGCTCCTCCCTAGCCCTAGCTTCTGTACAAACATGCACACACAAGAGCAGGGGCACGGGGCAGGCTGGGTAGAGGACCTGGAGAGCCTCTATGGGCCAGGCTACTGTACCTGTTGGCATGTACGAGAGTAAGCATAAGAACTGGGGATGGTGATGGGGTGGAAGGAGGCCGAGTGCTTTGGTGCTACAGGCCTCCTTGGGCCAGACCACTGTGCCTGCTGGCATTCAAGAGCCAGGGCTGGGTATAAACCAGGACAGGGGCCTAAAGTGCCGGTATGTTGGGGCTTCCTGGGCCAGAACATATTTCCCCTTACAAGGAATCTGGACTAGTTTCATGAAACCACTTCTCTTCCCCAAGTCATGAAGACTGGCAACATGGAGAGGTAATCTCTTTATCTTCGGACAAACACAGAATGGAAGACAAAAACATTTCCTCCTCTCCTTTCTTCCCTTCCTTCCCAAATCTCTCCACCTCTAAATATGTCAAGTGTACCTATGATCTCAACTTTTAAATAAAATTTAAATGAAAGCAGTAATACCACTTAAAAAAAAAAAGAAGGAAAGACAGGAAACTACTCCTACAGCACGTACCTGTAGACTCCTCAATGTTGGCGAGTCTCCACATGGTGAGCTTCTCAGTGTGGTCAGGCTGGCTGGGGTAGCCGGGAGCTGGACGGATGCCCTCATAGCGCAGCCTGCGCAGGTCGGCAACATCCAGCTGCTCACTGGAAGAGTAAGCCCACAGCTCTCTGCGAACCCTTTCATGGAGCTCTTCTGCAAAAGCCTGGAAACCCAGAGCCCCAAGGGTGCTTAGGCAGAGGAGGGAGGGCACAGCGTCAGTGTCACCTCCACCCACTGAATCAAAGTCAGGTTGAGCAGCCTCTCACCTGGACCACAGCCAGGCTAGGGCAAATCTGGTGAAACAAGATAGGCTGGCTTCTTGATTTGTCTGTACCCTTGTTAACTGCTCTACCACTAGTTTCAGCCTCACCTGGGCTCTGAAATGTCCATATTTAATGACCTGAGGATGCTAGGTCTTTTAACTTAAATACTTCCCTGAAGCACTCCTTGAACAATCCACAGCTACACTAGCTGCCACGTGCAGTAGAGGCACTATTAAACCTTTTCCATTGTAAAATCATTGCTACTGCTGCCATATTTCACTACAAGAAGAGGAGCTCCCCAGAGCCTCAGGTACCACATTCTATGCAAGGAAAGATGAAGAATCTATAGAAAACAACATTTGAATGAGAGGATCCTAAAACAGAAACTTGCTTTCAATCAGAAAGAGGTTACTTGGCACACTGCATCAGACAAAGCAAGTCATCAGAGATAAGGCAAAGAAGCCAAGCCTCTAAGGGTTAATAGCCTACTATGGCATCATTGAAGGTTCTCCTTCGACAGAAAGATGATACTTGAGAACAGTCCAAGAAAACACAATTTAGAAGTAGGTTAAACCCATCACCATGTGATTCAAAGGTTGATCTGGCATCGTGGGACCCCCGCACCTGGAACCTGCCTCAGTGCCATAGTACATGGCTGTAGTCCTACCTCTGCCAGTCGATCCCCCAGCGCCTTGACCATGATGCTGCTGTAGTCATCTCCATTCTCCTCATAGGCCTTGCTCAGCTTTTCCACCCCAAAACAGGCAACTGCAAAGAGGCCCAGGTAGTCCTGGATGCCGGTATGCAGAGGAGCTATGAAATCCGCGAGGCAGTGGTATGGGTCAGTGCTGGCAGAGTCTTTCTCAGCCTTAAAATCCAAACATGAACAGAAGGGACTGTCAGCATGCACATGGCACCAGCACACTGTGGAAAACACTCTGGGATCTTCAAAGGAACCTAAAGTTCATGATAAAGGGATAGCTGCCTGTTTAGTTCACTTACAATAGTTCCTGACATATAGTGAGTAATCAATAGATACTTAAATAAGGTTAAAAATATGTATATACACACATCATGTCACACAAGGCTCATTCACACACTAACCCAATACAGGCTGAATTCCTACAGGCCCTGTGCTGGGAATTTGAATCCTAAACCATAACCTTTTTAAGAATTTACCTATTTTGAGCCCAGTGTGGTGGCTCAATTGGTTAATCCTCCTCTTGTAGTTGCTGGTTCTTGTCCCAGCAAATACATTTCCCATCCAGCTCCCTACCTGTGGCCTAGAAAAGTAGCGGAGGATGGGCCAAGGCCTTGGAACTCTACACCCATGTGGGAGACTCACAAGAAGCTCCTTGTTTCAGATTAGATCAGCTCTGGCCACTGGAGCCATTTGGGGAGTGAACCAGCAAATGGAAGATCTTTCTGTCTCTTCTCCACTCCGTAGAATCTACCTTTCCAATAAAAATGAATCTTAAAAAAAAAAAAAGAATTTAGCTATTTCAATTTTATCTGAAAAGCAAAGACACACACAAAGAAAAACAAAGACAGATTTTCTATTTCACTGATTTATTCCCCAAATGCCTGCAACAGCCAGGGCTGGGCCACGCTGAGACCAAGAGCTTAAATCTCAATCCAGGTAATCCATATAAGTGGCAGGAACACAGGTATGTCAGCCATTACCTGTTGCCTTCCAGGATGTGCATCAACAAGAAGATAGAGTCATGAATAACTAGGGCTCAAGCCCAGGCATCCAATTATGAGGCGTGGGCATCCCAAGCAACACTTTAAGCACTGCACCTAACAGCTACCACCAGCCATCAATTTTTTAAAAATGGTTTTCCAAAAGTGTTTTCAATTCAGACCAAGTCCTAGTGCTTTATTTGAAAGGGGTGCACTAAATTTTGCATCAGTAGAAGCAGGTGAAAATATTGAAGTAAAAAACACATGGCCAAGTGCTACCTTCCAAAGGTGATGGTACAAGAGACAGCTAAGACATTCAGGGGTCATCTTGAAACCAAATTCAGTAGAATTCAGTAGAATTTGATTCTTGATTCCCTGTAAGAGGTCCAAGTGCCTTCCCATCAATCAGCTGATGACTGACTTACCTGCTACTAAACTGACAAAGTCTGATCCATTGGTGGGAAAATGGAACTGAAGTCTGCTTAGTACTGTGGCACAGTAAGTTGTCCACTATTTGTGACACCAGAATCCCACATTAGAGGGCTGGCTCAAGTCCTGGTTACTCTACTCTGATCCAGATCTCTACTAATGTACCTGGGAAAAGAGCAGAAGATGGTCTAGGTAATTGAGGCCCCCTGTCACATAGGTGGAAGACCAGGACAGGCTTTGATCTGGCCCAGCTCCAACTTTGGTGGCCATCTAGGGAGTGAAACAGTCAAGAGACACCTCTCTTTCTCTTTCTCTTTCTCTCTCTCTCTCTCTCTCTCTCTCTCTCTCTCTCTCTGTCAGACTCTATCTGGGACTCTGCCTTTCAAATAAATAACAAACAAAAGTTAATTTTGGTGTGAAAAATTTGAAATCCATGCACTTTTTTCAAAGGACATGTTTTACATGCACTTTGTGAAACTCTCTCCTGGTACACAATTGGAAAAATATTTGCTAAGGAAGAAACGTGCCAATAATATCTATCAAGTGCTCATTTTATGACTACTGTTGGTGCTTCACACAAATTACTAACTGAACTCTTGTTCAATTTTATGTCTTTTTTTAAAGATCTATCTATTTTTAATTGGAAAGTCAGGAATAAAAAGAGAAGGAGAGACACACAGGAAGATCCATCCACTGAGTCACTCCCCAAATGATCCCTGCAATGGTTGGAGCTGAGCAGATCTGAAGCCAGGAACCAGGAAGACCTCTGGGTCTTCCATGCAGGTACAGGGTCCCAGGGCTTTGAGCTGTCTATGCTGCTTTCCCAGGCCACAAGCAGGGAGCTGGAGGGGAAGTGGGGCTGCCAGGATTAGAAGCAGTGCCCATATGGGATCCCAGTGTGCAAGGTGAGGACTTTAGCCATTAAGCTGCTGTGCTGGGCCCCCATCAGCTCCATTTTACAGACAAGAAATCTGAGGTACAGAGAGATTGATCAACTGGCTGAGAATCAGCAAACTGATACGACAGCAGAAGCTCCTACTGCAGGGGAGGCTCAGATAATCATCGAATGGCTGATCCAGAAACTTTGGAGCTATTTTCTGGCCACAGAAGCCAGAAGAGCCTAATTGACACTGGGCAGAAAATTGTTGGGTGCTGCAAGCAAGGAAGTATTTGATAACAAGGCAGGTAAATGTCACGGAGCTGGGGAAAGCTGCATGCCGAGGGGCCATTTCCAGTGGTACTCTGCTAATCCACTTTGCTTAACAAAAGGCAGAGGGGCTACAAAGCTTCCCAGCAGCACAGGAGGGACAGGTCATACAGCCCCATGGCACCTTTGAAGAGAAAGCAGTCACAGCTCACTCAGAACAAAGACTGCCACACTAATAAGGCACGGCAGCTAGAATTTTCCAGAGGGTACTGGAGATGACATGTTCTTAGAAATATAATTAGGTCATAGATGTGTATGGTCCGATTCCCCTTTCCAGAGACTATTAAAAAGGCAAACTCTGAGAGTTCACTATAGTCCATGCTGTAGTACAGCACTGCCATACACTGCCTGAACATGAATAGTACTGGAAGTAAAGAGAGATCGGGGAAAACACAGATAGGAAATGTAAAAGACTAAGCCAAGGGTAGAATTTTCAGACCTGAGTATACCTGTAAGAGGATTTATCATGTGAATCCTAGTAAGGGGAGACTGGCACTTAACCCTGGAATCCCACTGTTTACATTCCAGAGTGTCCAAGTCTGCATGTATACAGTAGAAGCTTGAGTGTGAACAGTAGGACTGTAATTGTCCTCACTAAATGCTTTACTGAATCATTCAAGGCCTCCAACTGAAGAGTTCCTTCAGCTGTTGTTAAGGTCAAACTACACCACTATGGATGATACCGTGATAGTGATCAAAGCAACACTATCACTTTTAAATGTCTGAAAATGGTAATGAACCTGAAAGAATCACCTACTACAAATTAATTCTCCATGATTCTGGTGAACTTTGGTTCCAATTCTTGATTAGGACAACTATTTTTATAGCAACTATGCCATTTGTGTGTGTGTGTGTTCTTAATATCTATTTATTTTTATTTGAAAGGCAGAGCTACAGACAGGAGACAGGGATCTTGCATTTGCACCCCAAATGACTCAATAGGCAAAGCACAGGTGATTCAAAGCCAGGAGGCATCCTCTTTCAGACCTCCCACATGGGTACAGGGCCCCAAGGATCTGAACCATCCTCCAACGCCCTCCCAGGCCAGTGAGCTAGATCAGAAGTGCAACAGCCACAACCCAAATTGGAACCCATTTGGGATGCTGGTACCATAGGTGGGAGCGCTGCATACTAGGTCACAGCACTAGTCCTGCTATTTGTGTTTTTAAAAGTTGGGGTATAAGAGGCAGCTGTGCTAAGAGCCTGCTGCCTTCACCCCAAAGGAGGCCAGTGTATTGAAAGATTAGTTATGGGGCTGTGCACAGGCAGGGCTCACCCTTACAGGCCATGGAGTACAGCGTCATCTCCATTTGCCTTCATGTACTCTTCTGAGGAATGGCAGCATACTGCCTAGCTAAAGCACTGTGTAAAACTTAAACAGGATGGCTCAGCAAGCACCTTCTTAACCACTGGCACCTAGTACACATTTAGCTGCCATTTGTTTCTGCCTGCCTTCCCTGGAGAAAGAGGGTTACCAGTCTACTTTAATAATATACATAGACATAAACAAGTGCTTTTTAACAAGTAAATGTTCTCTTGCTTAGAAAGTAAGATAACTGAGAATATGAGTGTGTCCACTACTGAGGCAACAGCAATGTAACAGTCCATGTGCAAACACAATGGTAACTCACTCCCACTGGCGCCTGGAAGGCCCTGTCTCTTGACACCTGTGCTGACGCCTGCTCTCCATCACCCTGACAAACAGTGTGGGCTCAGGCCTGTGACTGGCCTTTGTAGATGAGGTGGAGCAGACTCTAACCTTTATACAAAGCTTGGGATTCTTATTTAATTCTCACTGACGTTTTTAGAGCCATAACCCAAAAGTAAACACAATGTGCTCCCTGCCAATGTGCCCTTCATACCTGTTGCCTCAACCCATAGAAGGTGGCTATGGGCTCTGCAGCCTGAGGCACTGCGTCCTCTGCATACAGGTGGATATCGTCTTGGACACTCTGCGCTGGCCAGAATCCGACGATGCCTTTGGCTTGGAGTTTCTTTTCACTAATCACTGTGTTTAGCATGTTCTGGGCATCATCATAAACCTTTCTGGCTTCTTCACCTAATAGAAAAATGTACTTAGAATTCAATTCAAGACGCCAACAATAACCAGAAAAATACATTTCTTTTTAAAGCTGCTACTCTGTCCTCAGCCATTTTCTCCCCTTACTCTTCTATTCTCCTCAAATAGCTCCTGAGTGTGTGCCATCAGGGTAGCTGAAGGCAGAACAGCCAGGGCTTAGTGGTTCCCGCAAAGTGAAGCTCCCACAGTCTGCTTCCCCTAGTTCAAGCGACTTAAATTTTTCCATTTAACAAAAGGCAGAGAGCCAAAGCAGTGGCTCCCCAAAGCAGTCTGTCAGACAGAGGGTGAGACAAAGCAGGCCAGATTCCTGGCCCACTGACATTCGTCATGTACGCAAGACTTCACTGCCTGCACAGTGGCCTCTGGGGGCATGCCAGTGCCATTACTGCACTGTGCCTGGACACTCTCGCCACCTGCACAAGTGAGCGAGGCTCCTGTTCTCCTGACTCCCTGTCTTGATTCCTGTTTCGGGATCTCAGAGCCGCCCACTCTCCCCCTTTGCTCACCAGTGATGACTCAGGAACAGTAGAGGGAGAAAACCCTTGCCACCACTGTGCACCAGGCTGAGCTGCTGAGTTTCAGCACACACACACACATACACACACATACTCCCATCAGGACCCCTTTAGGACACTGGCAAAGCAGTGGTTTCCCAGTCTTTCTTCAGCTCTAACATCCTGCTTCTACTAGCCTACACCTTTGTCTTACTCTGATCTAATTGTTACCCAATCCCTTGAAGAGCTGTACATTTTGATTCCACTTCTCTAGGGGTAGATTTTGAGAGTTAGGCTCAAAATGACATTTGCAAAATGCAATTTATTGACTCATTTTCTTTTCTAGTTTGTAATTCCAAATCCTACTCCTCTCCTCGAGGCCCGGGACCCTGAAACTCTTACAGTTCCTCCAAATAAGCAAAAAGTGCTATCCTATACTCCATCTTCTTTGCCTGAAAGACCCCTTCCTTCAATGCTATCCTCATAAACCTAGTCCCAGTTTCAGTAACTCAAAAAGCATTTAAATGCCCTCTACCCCAGGAAGTCTGCCAGCTTGAGCTCTATCTCCTCCTCTTGTGTTCACAGGGCTGTGCCAGCTAGTCAGGTAAAAAAAGACATGGATTACACTGTCTTCTATTTATCCCTAGCTTGTATCCCAACAGCAGTAAGATCAATTTATGGAAAGGGTAAGTGAAAGGTCAAATTCACTGGATAAAACAAGTAGTGACCAAGCAGTTTAAAACCCAACCAGAAGATCAACAGATAAACAAACTGAAAGTAGCTATCCCCTGCAGAACTCAATCTACTGCATATCACCTCTCTCGTCTTCAAAGTCACAATGCCACACCGTGAATATCAGAAGCAGGAAGGAAGAACCTACTGAACTAACCTACTGTTTTGTCGTCAAATATCTTGGGAAAGCCTCGATTTGGGTACTTGCCCCGGAGCTGCCAGACATCAAAGAAAGGCTTCCAGTCAATGTAGTTCACCAGCTTCTGCAGGTCATAGTCTTCAAAGACCTGGGTCCCAATGAATGTGGGCTTCACTACAAGAAAGAAGGACAGCTGCCAGTGTTGACGCCAGGCTGGGGCTGAGGCCCCTCCTGCTGGCACACTGCCTCACAGAGGCCCTCTTGCCAATTCCTCTCTGCTGCGCTGACTCCCACGCTCTGCCTCCCTCCTGTCACCCGTAGGAGCTGTCTTATATAGAGGGGAACTTTAAATTACTGTGCAGAAGGAGTAATTCTACACCAACTCTTAAATAAAACTGTTCTTCCCATGCAGGTGACTGATTACTCCACTCTTGGAAACCTTCCTCAATGCTTGCATCCTACCCCCACCAACAAAAAAAGAAAGACTTGGGTTAATTTTCTTTTGTACAAAGGAAGACAAGAATAAAATAAAGATCACTACACATATAATAGGCCACCTATATAAAGTTTAAAAACATGAAACAACCATCTATATCGCCTACTGATACAAGCATACAAAAAAAAAACGGAATGCATGCAGATGAAGTCTTAAATCAGGACTGTGGTTATTTCTTCACGGAAGGAAGGCAAACACACACACACAACCTCTGATACATATCATTTTATTTTGTTGTTGCTTATTAAATAGTGGTGTCTGTTTCTTCAGCTGGCTATTGGGTATGTATGGATATTCCATAGATTGTTTTCAACATCTAGTTAAGTCTTCAAATTTATAATTTATCTAATGCCAAAGGCCTTATAAACAGATGGTGCTGGCAAGCCATCTAGGTCACCAACAGCAGTCAACTATGCCACAGCAGCGCGAGCCAGATTTTAAGGTGTTAACCCACTGTGGCTCCCCCTGCTTATCTCTATCTACTCTACCAATCTCGGGGGCTCTCCTCGGACAGTAAAAGTGCAAGGTTGAGAGTACAGGGAGACTTAGAGGACTAATTCATTGACTGCCTGCAACTGTGCTTAGCACATTGACTCACAGTAAACCTTCCCCATTGTGCCTCATGTTTTTACTATGCAAGCTGCTCCTTTTTTTGGTAAATCTTTATTATGCTTATTTGTTTGGAAATACAGCCAGTATAGTCCACTTAGTAGAGAAAGCAAATGGCAACTAGTGAGATTCCCGGTTCATGTGACTTCCAGTTGGGGAAGGAAGGGGTGATGCTCTTGATAAGACTGACCCCTAAGATCTGCACGCCCTTGAGAAAAGACCTCCTTAGTTGACTTCCTGCAATTAATCTAGGACCTGTCCATAGAAATATTGCTCAGGGCTCTTCATGAAAGGCCCCACAGTCCTCAGGCAAAAGGTCAGAGCCTAAGGGGGCCTGCACTGCATATTAAATCAGAGTCCCCATTGCTATCAGGCACTGTTGACCTTCCTAGGACCATCCCTATAAATACATATTTTGGATGTCTGACATGATCAAAACAGACATGCCCTTGTGTCCAACTTCACAGAGAAAATGAACAAATATTCAGAGCTGGACTATACAGCAATTTCTAAGTTTTCAAAGATTTTTATATAATAACTTCTTTTACCCTTACAATATTTCCATTAAGTAAGTGTCAAGTGTGAAAGAAAGACATTCAAGATCACTTAGTGAACCAGAGCCAGGAGCCATGTTGGGATGAGAACCCTGGCCTCCCAGCTCCTACTGTAGCATTCCTTCCACTGAACCACACAAAACTCAGCAGGAATGAAATTAGAACCAAGCTCACCTACATTTCCAATTTAAACCTTGCAAGTCTGCCAAGCATGTGTAGACCAAAGATGTCGGGAGCAATAAAAGCTGATTTGAGATATCACCTTGGAAATATGGATTTAATTAATGCAACCCCTATTCACCCTGTCTCAGTTTTGCATTTGTATCTTATATCTTTCTGTGCCTGTCAAAACACCTTACACATTTTATTCCCATGTGAATACCTATGTGAGGCAGGCAAAAAAAAAAAAAAAAAAAAAAAAAAGGCGGTTAGAAATAGGAGAAAACAAAAGGAGAAGAAACCCAATAAAAGAAATACAGAGAAAGGGGAGCATCGGAGAGGGAATGAGAGAGTAAGAGACAGACAATGCAGCAGTGTTTTAAAGATCTATACAGTCTAGTACATGTTCAATGTCAGGCATTCTACTTCTGACCTTGGGCCTGTCTGAGACCCAGACCACCTCAATGATAGTTCTACCTATGCAGGTCTCCACAGGGATTTTCCAAGCATCATGGAGAAGAAAGAGACAGATCTGAGGTAAAAACTCAGTAAGCTTTTTAAGTTATAAGACAAAACTCAGTTTCCTGGAATCAAAATGGAGATAAGACCCACATTCATATACAAGTTATCTCAAGAACTCAGAGAGCTACTGTGGGTTCACCTGAGGACAGTATCTGGCACACCACAGGTTCCCTGGAAGTGGTACCCATTTGCTTTATTTGCAGTCATCAGGGTCACTCATTATTTGACACAATTCAGAGTAACTGGAAGCCAGTCTCATTTTGCAGCCACATAAATGCAAGTGTCTCCTCAGTGCATTGTCAGTTATCATGCCCAGTCTTTCTCTTGCAAAGAAGCAAACAGACCTGGGTAAGGCTCAGACAGCCAATCAATCTGGAAAGCATTTTTTCTGGCTTGAATTAAGGGTAAGTATCTCCTCTCCTGTTAAAAAAAAAGAAAGAAAATTATTTAGTTAAGGGATTCTTAGATTTCCATAGCTCCTATGAAAATATATCCAGTAAGTCATTGTACAACCTCAGCAAGGAAACAAATGGCTATTAAAAAAGTTCTAAAAAGTTCTTCCTTTTCCTTCCAGTAGTGTTTTATCCACATTAGTACCAGAACAAGGGAAAGTAAAGACATATAAATCTACATTAGTTATTAAGGTCAGCTCTAGTCAGAACCAGAAGTAAGTACGCTCGTATTTTTAGAACTTTAGTAGATGTTAACTGGCTACAAAGCATCATGTCTTCATCAAGCTCTTGGTTATCTCATGTCCCTTGCCTAGCAATTTTCTGGAAGTCTCCACATGCAAAAGCTGACTTTTAAAGAATCACTGTTTCTACTCTGTAATGACTTCCCTGAGGTTTGTCTATGATGCGACAATTCCTGAAACATCACTTTGTCAGTCTTGTGGAGCAAGGCTGACAGGGAGAAAGGCTTACAACAGTCCTGTCTACTGTCTCCATTTCTTCCATTTCTCCTTAAGAACAGGGATCTGTGAGCATCATTTCACTACGCTCTTTCAGCTCCTTTTTCCCTGCTGGGTAGAAGCCCATGTTTTATTCATTCTCATAACTCTGGTGTCTAGCATACCACCTAACTAACACCTACTGGGTGGCAAACACATAATTCGCTAAATAAATCAAACTCATTTTAATATAACCAAAAAATATTGGGAACTCAAACACTGAAAAACTGCGATTTGAACTAGAACAAAAATACTTCTCTGAAATGATTCTCAGCCATAACCCTTCCGCAAAACAGTAAATAAAGTTACATCAAAAAATGTGGGATCATTTCATTGCCCATATAAGTAATGACCTATTTCTGTCACTCACCTTGAGAGATTCATAATGGTCCTGTCTAATATCTTCATATTCTTCTATGATTTCCTCAAAGTAGTCATCCTTCAGATTTTCATCCAACAGTTGAGAACACTGAAAATTCAAGATAACATTCACTAACCATAAAGCAGCAAAAGAAAATGTGAACCCTGCAGCAATGGGCAGCTCTGGTGATACCACCTTCAAGCAGCCCTCTCTAACATCATTTGCTCTCCCTTCACATACTGGGCTAATTCCTACCTGGGAGTGCAGTAAGGGTAAACTAAGGAGGTCTGGATTAAAATTCTACCAAAGCAGAGTGGTCCTTGACTAGCATGTGGGAGATAAACTCTAAGATGTTGCGATACTCTGCTTGATATAACACCATGTATCTGGGGCTTCAGGCCAAACTGGTTTATGCTAATAGGTGAGTTATGCTAACTACCTTGGCTCAGGCTATATTTGTTCGAACTCACAGCCTTTCTAAGTTCTGTGAGTCCTTCCAAGTGAATCATGGAGCCACACAGAATCAGGGGTCCCTCTGTAGTATTTTCAAAGGCATTCTGTTCATCTCTGTATCACCGCACTTAGTAGAGGCTTTAGAACCTCTTTATGCACTGACTTCCTTACTAGAGGATGGGCCCTTTGAGAGATGGTTCACACATTAACCACGGGCATGCCTGATGCCTAGACTCAATGGCACATGCAGACTTGCATCCTAATTAAACATTTAATGAAGGAATGAGGCCAATCTTCATGATCAACCATAAGCTTTTGCTAAAGTATGAAAGCATACTGCTAATCAGAGAACAAGTGAGGCTATTCAATATATCACAAAACTAGGTTCAGCTAAATTTTGTTTATGATCATCAAGTTGGTAGATTAATACCTACCATCAAGGTTCAAAATAAAACTACAAAAAAAAAAAAATCAACTCAGTTAACTCATTGCATGGTTCCATGCCTGTATTCCCTGACACCAAACAAACAAAACCAGTGAAATCAGTATCTTCATCTGAAATAAAGGAAGCTAGACCAGATGACAGCTATGGCATCTAGCAGCTTTGAGAATCTGTAATATTATATGAGTTTTTCAAGTAATATATCTAATTGCAATCCAATTACCTACAAGTTAGTACAAAAGTATCATTTTATTAAGGGATGTAATCAGAAAAGGACATCATGACAGACCAAAAAAACCACAGTCAAATGGTGTACATAGCATAAAGTGCTTCCCAGCCTCACATTAAACTCACTTCAGTGGAGTTTTATTTTAGAAAACCCAGCAGAGCTAACAGAAAAACAAGATAGGGATGCCTACTCCTGAGGTCCCTGACTTAGATGCAAACAATGTTCCAGATTTTAACATCAAGATAATTTATTTTATTTTTTTTAAAGATTTATTTTTATTATTTTTTCATTGGAAAGGCGGATATACAGAGAGGAGAGACAGAGAGGAAGATCTTCCGTCCGATGATTCACTCCCCAAGTGAGCACAACGGGCCAATACTATGCTGAGCCTCTTCCGGGTCTCCCACGCGGGTGCAGGTTCCCAAAGCTTTGGGCCGTCCTCCACTGCTTTCCCAGGCCACAGGCAGGGAGCTGGAAGGGAAGCGGGGCTGCCGGGATTAGAACCGGCGCCCATATGGGATCCTGGGCGTGCAAGGCGAGGACCTTTAACCACTTGCGCCACCGCGCCAGGCCCCATCAAGATAATTTATAATGCTACTCAGGTACTACTGGTGAGCCAGGAACATATTTGCTGACACCTTCCACACACCCAGGGAGCCTGCTCCCCAAAACAACAATAACTGGCCGCTTCCTGTCCAGTCTGACTTGACTGATGGATACAAGCTCATGGCCAACACATGGACTACTGTACAGGATCCTCTCACAAGAGTAACAGTCGGGCCCGGCGCGGTGGCGCAAGTGGTTAAAGGTCCTCGCCTTGCACGCCCGGGATCCCATATGGGCGCCGGTTCTAATCCCAGCAGCCCCGCTTCCCTTCCAGCTCCCTGCCTGTGGCCTGGGAAGACAGTCGAGGACGGCCCAAAGCTTTGGGAACCTGCACCCGCGTGGGAGACCCGGAAGAGGCTCCTGGCTTCGGATTGGCATAGTATTGGCCCGTTGCGCTCACTTGGGGAGTGAATCATCGGACGGAAGATCTTCCTCTCTGTCTCTCCTCTCTGTATATCCGCCTTTCCAATGAAAAAAATAATAAAAATAAATCTTTAAAAAAAAAAAAAGAGTAACAGTCTACCATGTAACTTCATCTCAGCCACAGAGATATATTACAGCTTAACAGGTATTTTATAAATGAGCAAGAACTAAATGTTGGCAATTTATTATTATTATTATTATTTTATTAAACAAGAAAGAAAAAGCAAAGAGAATCCACAGGGCTGAATCTCCAGTCATTAAGCATTTGTTTCATTTTTCTGGGATCTTTCAAATACATCAGACAGTTGCTACAGCGAGGTTCTATTTCATGTTCACTGCAGTTAGATCAAAAAATAACAACTAACCAAAACAAATTACACCACCTGCTCCTGAAAACTGTCACTAGCAATTGCCTGTAAGAGTCATCATCTGACATATAGGGGGGAATACCTTCAAAAAGGGGCCATTTCTTTGTATCTGAGAGAGTCTAAGCACTATCACTGCCTGGTGAGACTACATTCCAGACAACACAAAGGCCCACCATTGTCTTCTGCTTGACTTTTGGGACTCTTCAAGACAGTGAAGGACTCTGACCTCTAAACGGGGAATTAAAGCACTGGTTCCTTCACTTTCCTGTAGGAGAAACATTAACCTACACACTTAAAAATACCCAACCACCTTTTCTCCAAATGGAAACGTTCAGGGCCATTCATCAGCATTTGAAAATAGCAACAACACACCACGGATACGATATAAACAACCATGAAACACAATCTAAAAATAAGATTAAAAATTTATTCTAAAATTTGAATATGTATATATGACATTTCACAAGTTAGTCTATGTCAGTGGCAAAATTTCAAAAACTGAAAATCTAATTACTCCAGCCTGATTTAATCTTACTCTGTTTAATAAGGGAGAATTGTTACATATTAATGGAAACATGTTCAATGTAGTAGACAGTAGCATCACCTGCATTCCAATTCTACACCTGCTACCGGTTGGATATGTGGCTTCAGGAATTACTAACTTCTTAATGCCTCTGCTTCCTCATCATTAAATGGAATATAATAAAACAGCCTATCTCATGAGATTATTTTGAGGATTAAATAAAATAATTCACATGAAAACCCTTAGCTCAGTTTCTGGCTCACTTTAAGTTTTCTGTGGCAGTGATAACTGTATAACTCTCAAATAGATAAGTCCACAGATCTGAAAGAATTCCTTTGGAAATAGACTCAGGAAATGAGGATCACCTACTTCAGGGTGCGTGATATCATTGGAAGTCTCCCAGATCACCAGGTCCCATCACTAGACTTTGCTGGTTTGCAGAGTGAGAGAGCTGGGTTACACTGCTGCTTTTTAAGACTACTCTTTCAAAAAGAGGGATTGAACTGAAGGATATAAGGGGCTCCTCACCTCTTTTCTGTAGCGCACTGAGTTCCAAGGGAGCATCCATTTATAGCCAAGGGTTCTAAAGCTAAAACTAATTTGGAAACCACTGGACTCATATGTAGTCTCTTGGATTTCCAAATGATGAAATATCTAACAAGATAGAATATTAGATTTAACTGAAGGAGAAAAGAAAGGAAAAAACTTTAGGCATGTTTTTAATTACATGCCCTAAGACGCTACCATTCTGGGTTTTGAACATCTAGTGAATATTTTTCTTTCTTTAGGTCAGCTCAACTGGCCCATTCTCAAGTTAAGTGTTTTTCTATCTGGGAAAAGGTTATTTTAAAAATCCTAACACTTCTTGTAACTCTGGCAGTGGAGTCAGTAAGTCCCTATTCATACCATAAATGGGTGAAATCTTGGTCAGGGCAGGGATGCAGGTCAATGGTGACTCGGTGCCACCCATCTGCCTCTGCTCAGTGCCTTAGTATAGTTGAAAGCACAAGATTTCTGCCAGCAAGGCTGACCCTGCAGTGACACACTACAAGCCAGCTTCCTTTAGCAGAAACAAACAAAAACAAATAGCTCTGGGATAATATCCTTAACTCTTAATACTGTCTTTGTTCTGCTTTTATACATATTTGAAGTAAAATGGAAGGCTCACACTTACCACCACCACACTCTTGGATGCATCCAGGACATGGATTACAGGAGCGCTGTATCTTGGAGCTATTTTAACTGCTGTGTGAGTTCTGGAAAGTGGGGTCAGAATGAAAAGCATATCCATCAGTGCTGACAGATCCTGTACAACTCTTGTTCAGAACCATTAGAGATAATGTATTTCTACAGTGCTTTCCAGAGAAAGATTTCAAGGTACTTACTTACAAATATTGAACTTCAAATTTCCTTGTTAAACAAGAATGACTTTTTCTCCCACTCTAAGATGGAGAAGCAAGGTAAAATGATTGATAGGCTGCAAAGTGAAAGACTGTAAAGTGAAAGACTACAAACAAGTCACGGATAGAATGAGAAAGTCCTTGTCCTGAGGTCCTTGATAAGCTGGTACTCACAGCAGCCCACCTGAGCTACGGGGGTACGCGGTTGCAGGAAATCACACTCCACTGCTGCTAAGGCTGAGTTGAGTTCTAGCCTCAAAATGAACTGGGAGATCTGCCAGGACCCCGAGAAGCAGCAACCAGGCGGAAGCGCCAGGACACACTGTCCAACTGGCACCCTTGCATCTGGGGGAGACACCAACACTCTTCAGTCACAGCCTCATCCTGTGCTTGTGAAAGGAAGCTCAAACCCACATTTCCACACAAAGCAACAGAGAGAAGCAAAAGCTACAAAAAAGATTGGCTAAGCCCCAAATATCCATTAACACCCTGGTACCAAGAAGAAAAACCCTTTAATCCTTTATTTAGTTAACTCAAGTGTAAAACAAATTGTTCTTCTGGTCACTGAATGTTTAGAACAATAACTTATGCCACATAACTGTCATTTCATTATAGATTCTAACAACTTAAAGTGAGAAGTAAAAATGTACACAGCCTCTTCTGGGGCCCCAAAGACAGAAGTGTCCAGTGCCTCTAATCCCATTTAGAAGGGTAGCCAACAACAGTTGCCCCAAAGATGAGCTGTACTTTTCTATCTTCTCTCCTCACTCCTTCTTCTCTGAAATGCTGGCACTCTTCCCCAAGTCAGGTGTTTTCATTTTTTTCTTCCCCCACAAAATTTTTACTTAGAATGTTGTCCAGAACATGCCATTATATGAGAAAGAAACTAAGTAGTATGATATTTAATGAAATTCTGTTTTTAAAAAACATTAATTGTTAATAATATAAATGCAAATTAATTTATTAATTTATTTATTGTAAAGAGGCCAATAAAGATTGCAGTAATATTATACAATTTAAGGGGAAACAAAACAAAACAAAACATCACTACCTCCAACCTGCCCCCAACCAACTAACCTTCTACTTAAGTTTGTGAATATTTAGAAAAGACAGAAGGAATATATACTAAAGGGTTAACACTGATTTTACTGGGACAGAAATTGGAAAGGGAGAGATTAAATTATGTTTCTCTGAATTATTTTGCATGGTATAATAAACATGGAATACTTAAGTAATCTTTAAAAACCAAGAGAATACTAAAAGTATAATATATGTGTGTAATTTTTTTTTTAAGATTTATTTTTATTATTTTTCTATTGGAAAGGCGGATATACAGAGAGGAGAGACAGAGAGGAAGATCTTCCGTCCGATGATTCACTCCCCAAGTGAGCGCAACGGGCCAATACTATGCCAATCCGAAGCCAGGAGCCTCTTCCGGGTCTCCCACGCGGGTGCAGGGTCCCAAAGCTTTGGGCCGTCCTTAACTGCTTTCCCGGGCCACAGGCAGGGAGCTGGAAGGGAAGCGGGGCTGCTGGGATTAGAACCGACGCCCATATGGGATCCCGGGCGTGCAAGGCGAGGACCTTTAACCACTTGCGCCACTGCGCTGGGCCCTATGTGTGTGATTTTAATAAGCTTTTCAGAGAAGTTTAAAAATTCACTCCTAAACAGACAGCCAGGTTAAACAGGTAACTCCAAGCACATTTTTACTGATCTTTGATTCCAAATATGTCATTTATACCTTGTGATTCCAAAACCACATATATTACAGATCAGAGAACATTTGGTTTTATATTTTCTAATAGCAACAGGTTTAAGGGGGATAATTCAAGCACATTTCTACAGATGTTTGACTCCCTTTCAACTTCTCCAAGGATCTATCCACTAGGGACAGATGTAACCTCCCTTAACCTCCTGAAACATTCAAACTCCTACCAAAGCTGGCTCTCCTAGAATAGTTTTCTTATCTGGATGCAAAACTCCCTGACCCTAAATGAAGAGGTAATTAGCCAGCTTTTGTAAGTTCTAAGAACTTGCATTAACTAAAGTCTACCCTAAGAGAGAAAAGTGCAAAACAGGTAGGAAGAAATCTACTTGTTATATTTCTTACAAAGACCCTGTACTCCAAATTTAAAAATGTACATCAATTAATAATAATAAATGAGAATATCCAATTAAAAAACACTTAGGGAGGAAGGGCAGGTTTTTGACAAAGCAATTAAGATGCCACTGGAGATGTCCAAATCCCACACAGGAGTACGACACTTTGATTTCTGAATCCACTCCCAATTCCAGTTTGCCACTAACAGGTACCCTGGGAGGCAGCTATGATGGCTCAAGTACTTGGGTCCCTACCATCCAGGTAAGAAACTAAACTGAGTCTTGACTCTCAGCTTTGGACTGGTCTATCCCTTATTATTGGTAGTATCTGGGAAGTGAAACAGTATGGCAGACTGTTGTCTCTTTATCTCCATGTCATCTGAATAAATAAATACTAAAGAAATTTTAGGAACCAATACTGTGACACAGCAAGACGAGCTATCACCTAGACATTTGCATGGGTGCTGGATTGAATCCAAGCTGTTCCACTTCTGATCCAGAACCTGGCTAATGTGCTTGGGAAAGCAGCCTTGAGCCCCTATACTGACCTGGAAAACCCAGATGAAGCTCCTGGATCCCGGCTTCTGGCTGGCCCAGCCCTGGTCATTGTAGCCATTTGGGGAGCGACCAGCCAATAGAAGATCTTTCTCTCTCCCTCCTTCTCTCTCTTTCCCGCCACTGTACTGGCAACTTTGCCTTTCAAGCAAATAAATAAATCTTCTAAAAAAATTCATTAATCCATATATCCATATGACTTGGGTACTTTTCTATATGGCTGTTATACATTTCTGTTGAAGTGCTTATTCAATGTGCCCAGTGTGATAACCTAGTGGCTAAATTTTTGCCTTGCATCCGCTAGGATCATGTATCAGTGCCAGTTCATGTCCAGGCAGCTCCACTTCCCATTCAACTCCCTGCTGTGGCCTGGAAAAGCAGCTGAGGACAACCCAAAGCCTCAGGACGCTGCTTTGACATGGGAGAACCAGAAGAAGCTCCTGGCTCCTGGCTTTGGATTCACTCAGCTCCAGTCATTGCGGCCACTTGGGGAGTGAATCAATGGATACAAGATTTTTCTGTATTCCTTTTCCCTGTATGTCTGCCTTTCCAATAAATAAATAAACAAATAAATAAATCTTAAAGGTACTTATTAAAAGAAAAACTTGCTGAAGCAAGACTCTCTTCCAGCATCATTACTTAGGATAGAGTCAGATTAGGAGATTATATCCTCAAATTCTTGGAGGTTGCATGACATGTGCTTTTCAAAGAATGCTCCAGCAACACAGTGAAGCAAATGGCTCCTGGGAAACACTACCGTTGGCTTTTATTTTCCAAAAACTACAATGGGCACCAAGAGAGAAAACCAGAAAAGTACAGCCCATCAATAAATTGGACAGTTGAAAGAAACTTTAAGAGGTGATGGGACCCAGCTTTCTGCTTTCAGAATGAACACATTCTCAGACAATGAAAACATACATTTTATAATAATTGAAGACACAGTAGATGAATTATCTCATTCTAATTTGATAAATGTGTTATAACTTTAAAAAATTATTGGCAGGCTAATCTTGTCAATGACATAGCTTGAGAGGCCAGTCATGTTGTTTCTGAATGTTTTTTCTGTTTGTTTTTCTGTAATGTCTGCTCTGGTAATAGATACGATATAATGGACTATTTGGTCAAGTTCCAACTTGCACAGGTAGTAAATCCCAAATCTTAAACTTGAGTGTTAAGTGTCCTACTATATAAAAAGATTCATTATGAAGCCAGGCTCACATGTATGCAACTCATAATGTATCTTAATGCATCTGCCTATTAAATTATTTATTCTACTTCACAACTGTGTCTGAAACATCCCATATGTGCACCAATTTGAGTTACACCTTTTCTATGTCCAATCCAACCCTCTGCTAATGGTCTAGGAAAGCAGTAGAAGACAGCCCAAGTACAAGGTGCCAGACACAGTTCCAGGATGCTCGCTTTTGCCAGTCCTGGTCCCAGCATTACACCCATTTGGGCACTGAAGGAGAGGATGTAACATCTTTCTGTTCCTTCTCCTCTCTCTCTAACTTTGCCTTTAAAATAAATAAATAATCTATTGAAGAAAATAATCCCTTAAGAAGAGCGCTGTCATAATGCTACTAGATATGTTCTTTGAGAAAAAACAAACCCACTTTTCTGATGTAAGCAATAGTATTCGAAATATGGAATCTCTCAAGTATAAAGAGATGTTAATAGTCATATTAAATAGTCAAGAAAGAAAGAACGAACGAACAAGCAAATGGATGCTATGGAATCTTCAAGTCAACACTCCAGCTTTCTACTGTTCATCAAGTTGGACAATACATGACATAAAAAGTCTAGTATCTATAATTCATATATATTTTATCAAATATCACCATGATTAGGATATCACCATGATTTTTCCTAAGAAAAATCTGAAAAATCAAATAATGATCACATGATCACAGGCGCACTTTCTTCTCTTTATAGCCTCTACCCCCAAAAATTCCCCAGAAGCAATTCACCAAAATGGTACTTTAGTTCATTCCAGCTTCTGAGTTTTCTATCTTTCAACTGCTGTAAGGTTAGAATTTCTTCAAGGGAACCTGTATCTCTTTAGTCAGACACCTGCTTCACAACAGAGTGGGCCAAAGTTCAAGCAATATCTCTGTACCAAAAAATACACCTTTTCTACTCAGTTCAATTTTTAAAGTGACAAGAGTTTAGAATTCCCAGAAACTGAACAGAAAGTGAAAACAGTAAGAAAATGATAACTGGAAGTCAGAAGAATCCAAAAACCACAAAGGAATCCAGAAAAGCCCAAAAAGCCATACAATGTGAGACGTATGTTCCAAGTTTTTTACAGCTTTGGCACAGATCAAGATGGGAAAGTTCTTATGTTTATATAATAAGGAGTCAATGTGTTCAGTGTAAGGGACAAAAAACAAAGCAGGTTTTCTCCCTGTTTTTTTTTTTTTTAAAGTATTGCTACTTAAGAGATTTTAAATGAACAAAAGGCTCATTAACATGACTTACCTAGAAGTGGTTGCACCACCAATCAGCAAAGGAATCTTTATAGCTAATCTCTCCATTTCCTTGGCAACAAAAATCATTTCATCCAGGGAAGGAGTGATGAGTCCTGATAGTCCAATTATATCTGTTATTTAACAAAGGAAAAAAGATATAAAAGAATGAGAAGGAGGATAAGGAAAAGTATAAGGACATTTTTGTAAAATGCTTTGTAATAAAGGGCACAGGCCTAACATCAATTCTCAATTTCTACTTTCAAGACATCTTCTCTGTCTGGGGATTTCAATTTATTCTTTGCTTTTGGTAGTAAATAGAATTAAGAACTTAAAATTATAAGAATGCATTAATTAGTCTTAGGGAACCATGCAACATTTGACAAGGTTAGTCCATGATTTCCCAGACTTGAATATGTCACAGTTTTCAAAGAATCATAGAAAGGCTTAATAGAAGTGAAAAAAAAAAATCTAATGATTATTCCCTTGCAAAAAACCTGGTCCTGTTACCTGCCTCTAGAGCTTGAAAAAGGTTCCATGATCAGTTATCACACACCTCTCTCACCCCCAATGGACGCTGCCACAACAGCCCCATGCAGGAGCTGATACTCAACTATTTCAGTATCCCACATACCCACATGGGCTGGGATACTGCTTTTCACTGGCAAACTGATTCTTAGGGGAAAATTATATTTAGTGAAATGTCCAAAAGTAGTCATACAATACCTGCTTTGTGGTCAAGAGCAGCTTTCAATATCTTATCACAGGGAGTCATGACTCCTAAATCAATAACTCTGTGGTAAAGAAATGAGATGAGAGAAAAATTAATGAGAGTCCATTAGACACAAACTTGAAATGAGCATTTTTTAAATTTCTGTCATTAAAATTGCTCTAACATAAACTGTAATCACAATGAAATGCTCAATAAATATGAGCCAATACTACCATTAGCTACCATTTAAAAGGCACTCAGTATATCCAGGCATTATACTAAGCTTTTCCAGGACAGCTTTACTGAGATATAATTCACGTTCCTTACAATTCACTCAGATAAGATGCGTAATTCAGTGTTTTCTAGTAGTTTTAAACTGTAGCAAAGATACATTATTTTTCACTATAAACATTTTCAAGTATTAGATTCAATGGCAGTGATTACAGTTAAACACTGTATAATGATCACTATTTACTTCTAAAATGATTTAATCACCCTAAACAGAAGCTGTAAATTTCTGCTTTTCTCCCACTCTCCCAATAACTCAGTTCCCAGTAATCTCTATGTTTGATCTTTATAAATTTACTTAAACTATATATTTCCTCTAAGTGAAATCTCAAAGTATTTGCCCTCCTGTATCTAGTTTATTTCCCTTAGCACAATGTCTTCAATGTTCACATTTTAGTGTACGTCAAAATTCCATCCTTTTTTAAAGATCAATCTTTGCCCATTTATTTGCTGAAACATACTCGGGTTATTTCCACTTCACACAGATTTTTGGGTAGGCCATTCCATTCACCCTTCATAACAATTCTGGGATGAAAATACAGCTATGGCCCCATTTTCTTGAGGAAGAGTACAGAAAAGTCAAGCAACCTGTCCAGTCCCACATTTTATCCACAGTGTGAGAAGATGAATCAGTATATGACACCAAAATCCATTATTTCATCCATTTGGGACATTTGAAAGAATACTGGGGAATTGTTTAATAAGTACCTGTTAAGACATGGAAGTCAATGAGAAGGATAATCAAGAAAATGTTTGCTCCTGTACAGACGAGGCTGATAATGAGGAAATCTGGCTACTTAAGCATGGCAAAGAGGGAGAATGACTCAGGGAACAAGTAAGCAAGAAAGATGAGGAAAACTTGAAGGAAAGGCAGTCTCTCTCTCTCTTTCTCTCTCTTTCTCTCTCTCTCTCTCTCACACACACACACACACACAAGACAGAGGGCAGGCACAGGGGCAGAAAACTCTCTGGAGTATAGCCTGAGAAAATAAAGTAACATCAATAGATCAATGGTGGACTAAACCTCCTGGAACTCAGAGAAGAGGAAATGTCTCCACTGGAAAACAATCTCTATTTTTACTTCCACGTTTTAGGTTTAAGGAGCATTTACAGTCATTTCTACAATGGAACTTGATTATGAGCATTTGTTATTACAAAATAGATCTATTACAAAATAGCTCATGCATTCCCACCTATTTTATGAGTCAACAACTCTTAAACAGGTAAGAACGGTTAAATAAAACCGAAGAGTGCCTGGTAGACACTAGAAGACCCTGATGATGGGTCACTGGACACCAGCACTGCAGGTGACCTGCATCCCCCTTATCAACTTCCGGCCTATCAGATTCTTTGGCTGTAACCACCACATCACATTTTTTAAAAAAGGTTTAAGAGAAAAAAAAAAAGCCAGCAGGTATAGATTCCTCAAAAAAGGCAAGACAATTTCAAAACAATGATAACCAAATTTAGCTTTACTAGGACGAACCCAGGAGCAAACAAATATTAAAAACACTAATGATATATGACCACTACAGGTTTTAACAGGAGTAAAATGTTACCAGGACACCTTTCTTGAAAAAAATGTAAGCACATCAACAACAACACATTTTGTTGTTGTTGTTCAACAGTAGCTGAGTATAAAACTATTGCATATAAAATTTGGCAAAATAGAATACTGCTTTTAAACTGATACAAAAAGGCATGCATTTTTTTTTTCTACACTGCAGACATTTTTCAAATTAAATTAAAAATCATCTGGTGACAAGAAATCATCTTGATTTTCCTGCTCTTGTTTTTAGCAATGCCTCTTTCATGAACATCTTTTTTTTTAAAGATTTATTTATTTTTATTGCAAAGGCAGATATACAGAGAGGAGCAGAGACAGAGAGGAAGATCCCCCATCCAACGGTTCACTCCCCAAGCAGCCACAATGGCTGGAGCTAAGCCAATCCAAAGCCAGGAGCCAGGAGCTCTTCCAGGTCTCCCACTCAAGTGCAGGGTCCCAAGGCTTTGGGCCATCCTTGACTACTTTCCCAGGCCACAAGCAGGGAGCTGGATGGGAAGTGGAGCTGCCAGGATTAGAACTGGTGCCCATATGGAATCCCGGCACATTCAGGTGAGGACTTTAGCCACAATGCTATCATGCTGGGCCCTTTCATGAACATCTTATGTGTGTGCAGGCTGCCTTGTTTAAGAAAGAGAAGAGATTCTGTGGCTGAAACAGAAACTGGAAGAAGACAGTTGTAGGTGATGAGTTCAAGGAAGAGGACCATCAATATCACAGAAGCAGTTTTCGTGTTCAAACTAAAGCTTGAACACCACCACTGTAATTAAACTGGCCACAGGTGGGGCCCAAGCAGCTCCCAGGGGAGCCACAGTTGGAGAGTTCCCAAAGCTGCTGCCAGAGCTCTGGCCTTCCCCGAGAAAGTCACTGGAACAAGAAATCTGACTGAAGTTTTAACAGATTCACTTTGGAATGGAAGAAGCACAGGTGGAAGTGCAGACGTCAGCCAAGCTGCTGCAGAAGCCTCGGCAGGAAGCTGTGTAGGGAGTGAGAAGTGGTCAGATCCAACACTGTGATGGCAGAGCTGTGGATTTGGATTATATGTGGTGTGTGAGAATACATCACAAAAGTCAAAATGACTCATGGTCGTTTCTTTGGGAAATAAAATTGGAATTGTCACTTACTGAAACAAGGAGAGAGGTGTTTGTAAGATGTTGGGGGTCAGCTCAGTTTTAAAAATACTAAGGTTGGAAAGAATCAAGATGGTGGAATAGGATAAGGAAACATTTAAGCAAAGAAATATTAGCCAGTGTAAAGCAGAGAGGGCATATTCCAGGAAATAGGAGATGACAAAACGACAGTAGAGGGGTACCTGGAGACTGACAGACAGTGGAAAACAGCGGACACAACTATGTGGTGTTGCAGTGACTGATACTCCAGCATTCAGTGAGGGGCGATCTGAACTGCACCCTGCACCGGCAGCTGGAACTCCACCAGCAACCAGATGGGAAGGGACTTTCACTGGGAGCTTGGGAGGTGAACCCAGACGGGGAACTGTCCATCCTGCTGGCCTGTTTGATTTGACCAGGAGCAGGGACAGAGCAGCAGGTCCCAGACAGGCAGTGCAGGAACAGGTTGCATTTCACAGCCCAGTCCTCCCCCTAAAGCCAAGTGTACAGGGAGACAAAGGTTATGCACTAAGCTGGGAGTGAACTGATTCTGGCTCAGTGAACTGCAACAGTGTGTCATCCTACAGGATCCACCCAAGATAGGTCCAAGCAGCCCTCAGACCTGATAGCCAGTATATCAAGAAGAACTCTAGTAGTGCCATTTTGTACAGTGTGGCAAAAGCCTTAAGACAATAGGGACAATGTGAGCAGTGCATGTGCTGAGCTGGGAGTGAACTCATTGAGCTCTGCATTGCACTGGTCCCACAGGGAAAACAATACCGACTTTGGGGTCAATATAGGTCCATGTGGCCCCCATACCTAATAGCCAACAGGTTCCAGCAAGATCAGTACCACCAACAACCTAGCTATATAGGACTCATGGTGTCTCCCTAAACCCAGGAACCAGATGTGGGGAAAAAGTTGTACAGACACTGGACTCTGCCACTGTCCATGTTCGTAATGATGGACATATGACTGTTTATGAAGAACTATACTATTGTAATAATACAGAGGAACTCAGTGGGAGAGGAAGGAGACTTGGGGAGGGAGAAAGGGAAATCCCAGGGCCTATGGAAATGTATCATAAAATTGGGCCCGGCAGCGTGGCCTAGTGGCTAAAAGTCTTCACCTTGAACATGCCAGGATCCCATAAGGGTGCCGGTTCTAATCCCAGCAGCTCCACTTCCCATCCAGCTCCCCGCTTGTGGCCTGGGAAAGCAGTCGAGGATGGCCCAAAGCTTTGGGATCCTGCACCCATGTGCGAGAGACCTGGAGGAAGGTCCTGGCTCCTGGCTTCAGATTGGCATAGCACTGGCCATTGCACTTACTTGGGGAGTGACTCGTTGGACAGAAAATCTTCCTCTCTGTTTCTCCTCCTCTCTGTATATCTGACTTTGTAATAAAAATAAATAAATCTTTTTTAAAAATGTATCATAAAATGATAATACCAATAAGTTAAAAAAAAACAAAGATTTTTAAAAGCGTTTCCTTTAATATATAACAAATAAAAAGCTTTTAAATAATCAATTGCTAGTGAGCATGTAAAGGTACACAAGGTGGGATTAAAATGTCCATAACTTACCTACTTATTTTTAAGCTCAGCTGAATAGTACGTTATACAACATTTCCATTCATACCCATGTATTGCATTTTTTTAAAAAAATTCATGCCAGAGAAGGAACTTGAGAACAGCTAAGGGGGCCCAGCATTATGGAGCAGCAGGTGAAGTCCCAACTGCTCCTCTTCCGATCCAGCTCCATGCTAATGCACCTGGGAACACAGCAGAGGATGGCCCAAAGCCTTGGGACCCTGTACCCATGTGGTCCTGTCCTCAGTCTGGCCCAGTTCTGGCTGTTACAGCCATTTGGGGAGTGAACCAAAGTATTGGAAATCTCTTTCTCTCTTTCTCTCTCTTTTCCCTCCCTCTCTCCCTGTTTCTTTCTCTGTGACTCTACCTTTCAAATAAATAAATTTTATTTTAAAAAAAGACAACTGATTAAAATACAAATATGTTTCATTATTCTTTTCATTAGATCCATAATAGATGTGATACATAATTTTTAAATTCATTGATATACCACACTTTTGTTAACAGTGTATACTAAAGTCCAGATGTCTTCTTTCAGTTACATTAAATGAAAAACTAACATAACCAAGCATCTCATAGTATAATTGTTTTTATAATAAGTATAATAGTATAGTAAAAATATTTATAAATATGTATATATTATTTCTTAAATGGAATTTAGAATATTCACATTAGATACTACAGTTCAAGTTGTTTGAAAATTAAAAAAAAATGTCTATCGAAAGGTAAAGTGAAATAATACAAAATCCTCAGCTTTTAGAATCAGAGGACTGAGTCTGGTCTACCCTGTTAGCTGTGTGGTAAGTTCTCTCAGTTCATTTTTTCATCTGTAAGTTGAGAAAAATGCATCCAAAGCCAGCAGGGCAGAAAGAAAATCATGCAAAGAAAGGAAGGATCAAAGACTAGAAAAGTAAAGGAGCCACAAAGCAAAAACAAGAACAAAATCAGGAGAGGAAGGAATAGTTCAGGAACATGAGAGCACTGCACACGTTGCAAATGGTAAAGAGCAGCGAGGCATTAGCAGCTCTGGTAAATTCATCCTATTCAAACCCTCAAAATTGCTAATTCAATTGCAGCATATCACCTTCCCCACAAAACCTGAGCTTTCTGTCTAGACAGACACTATCATTTTTAGTTTCACTTTTCTTCCTGACAGAGAAATATTTTTGCTGTTTCGTGAGATTCACTGCATCAGTGACAGAAAGCTAAGGGAAAGGATTTGAAAGTGGATGATCTAGGAACCCACTCACCAGCTGACTCATACAAGCACCCCAGCATCACGCTGCTGCTCCTAGAATGCGCACCTACCTGCATAAGGCGTCTGTCTACTCACTAACACTGTAAAACAAAACTCATCAGTGCAAGAGACCACATGACGAGATACAAGCCAAAAGGCTGCTTGACTCTGATTAGGAAGTCTGCATGTTCACACTTTTTCTGGGAAGAGAAATTAAAATTTCATCATAAAATCTTTCCCCATTTAGATTTATTAGCAAAGATAAGCAAAACTTCAGTGCACAGGCCAGGTACTGGATGTACTGCAGGAAAGCACTGCGTCTAACAAGCAACCTTCAGAGTTTGACATTCAGTTCCAGTAGCACTCTGGAGCAGTGCCATAATTTTCCCTATCCTCTTAAGATGCCTTTGCTGAGAAGGAAAATATTATTCAATATGCTCTTCCAAGATAATCACTCACTGATCAAAACAAATAACGATAAAGCAGGTGACAACGGTATCTCAAGAATTGCTCCCGGGGTTGCAGCAGTAGCACAATGCGTTAAGCTGCTACCTGCGATGACAACATTCCATACGAGCATTGATGTGCCTGGTAAAGCAGTGGGGGGGAAGGGTGAGAATCAAGCATTCGACCCCAAGATTATCTTCTTTAAAAAAACATACACACACAAAATACCCTAATAGAAATAGTACTTATACATAGAATGAGAAACTGTTGTCTTTCAAATTTATTTTTTATTTTTTTATAAGATTCATTTATGTCATTTCAAAGTCAAAATTACTATGAGGGAAGAAAAGACAGCACAGTTTTTCCATCTGCTGGCCTACCCCACATGCAGCCACTACAACCAGAGCGAGGCCAGTTCAAACCAGGGAGCTAGGAATTTCTTCTGGGTCTCCCATGTGGGTGAAGGGCTCCAAGGAGCTGGGCTTTCCTCTGTTGCTTTCACAGGCCACTAGCAGGAAACTGGAACAGGTAGTGGCCGGCACATGAGCCAGAACCCATAGGGGTGCTGACGCCACAGACGAAGATCAACCTGCTACCCTACCATGCTTGCTCCATTTTTACATTAGCAGTAACTGTACATATTTGTAAGCTACAGTTGACATTTTCACACATATATCCAATATGTACTGGATTGTACTGATCAAATGAAGATAATCAACATTTCCCTTTAGAGATTCTACTTGTTCATAAAATAAATACTAGTGTATTAAGACCTCTAGTCTTTCCCCACCCTGTTCCTTCGATTTAAGTCTAATTTGGTACCTGTTAGCCAAAATCCCTTTAGACCCATCTCCCCACCCACCACCACCAAACGTTGAGTCTTGACTGAGAGAGCGAGAAGGTTAACAGAAGTGCCTGTGAAGACAGTCGGAGTGGAAAGGAGCCTTCCTCATTCCACTCCTCTTTTCCAGATTTCCTGAACAGCTCCAACCTACATTTAACTGGCCTTTAAGGCAGAGGTGGATAAAAAGGTCAGAGCAGGAAAGGGGCTTAGAGAGTAACTGTCATTTGACAACAGAGAAGAGAACTCAAAGGGGCACAGCTACAGCTATAGCTAAAGTCCATTCTCTTCTAGAAAAGAGAGCTGATTTGTTGTAATAAGCTATATAAATACTGATTTGTTACAATAAGATACAGCAGAAAGCAGTTTTACTTGACCTCACTACTGAACAAAAAATAGGCAAATAATTACTAACTTATTTTATTTGAAAAGATGTTATTATAGAAAACTTGAAAATAAGCAAAAGGAAGTAAAAAATAACCTTTAATATTCACTACTACTCCTTCACAATAGAGAATTACCCTGTTGAAATGTTATCAGTTATAGCAGAAAAGGGATTGAAGCAGGTGAAGCGTTAACTCACCTGAAATTATTGCAGCCAAGGACTACTCCAACTATGTTCTTGCCTATGTCATGCACGTCACCTTTAACAGTAGCCAGCACAATGGTGCCTTGGTAAGGGTCCTGGAAAGAAGCCAAGCAACTAAGTACAACTGGGATGACTGAGCACTGATCCAGTACCCAGTTCTCCAGCACCAGACCGGCAGTGTCACACAACCACAGATAGGAAACCTCAATTGAGAGTTCTGCAGAAGACCGTGATAAGCCCAAGCAGGTCAAAGGAGGCCCACTCAGCTGGTTAACCCAAGGGGCTTCAACCAACATCATGGGTCTCCTAATCCCAAAGAAGAATTTAAACACAAAATAGCCCCACAACTAAAGACTATATCCTCTATTTCACCAAACCACCTGCCAAATATTTACTGTTAATAATAAAAGGAGAGGGAATAAGAGGAAGGAGTTGGCTAACTGCATACACTGCAGCAGAAACAAAAAACAATCGCACCAGGCCAGTATGGAGGGTATCTGATTATCTCTCTAACAAAAATGTTCTATGCACTGTTAGCACCCTCCTCCCTTAAAAATGAAAAAAAAAGACAAAAGGGATTTTATAAGTAGCATGTCTGCCTGGGCCATTCACAAACTCCCATCAGTTTAAGAATTCAGAATCCTAAGGGCCAGCACTGACTGCACCCCACAGGGATTACCCAGGGTCAAACAGATGAACAACTGTACTGGTGATGCAGCCAAAGAAAGAATGAAATGGAATCCAGAAGTGCCAAGCCCATTACCCACACAGAGACAATACTGAGTTTTGGGTTTTCCAAAATAAATGTTACTCCTTTACCTCCATCTCAGGGACAGATCTATGTAGCCAGGCTGCCTAGCACAGTAGGGGCTCTGCAAATAGTCAGCCAATGAAGAAGTGATCCAGTTTTGTCTGAAATTGTAATATTTGATTGAAAATTTATGACTAACCAAAAATTTCTTAAGGCAACATTCAGAAGAAAACCCCAGGTAATTTGATAGCTGGTTCATCTGTTTACTGTCTATTTAATGACAAACACAGGCTAGCCTGATTGCCCCTATCCCTAACCCAGAAACAGTCTTCCATACCAACTCCTTAAAGGGCTCACAGGCCTGAACAAAATGACTTGCCTCTTCCTCTAAGGTGCCATTCTGTATTCTGTTTGCTTCTCTTTCTTTTTCCATGAAGGGGATAAGGTGGCCAACAGCTTTCTTCATGACTCTAGCCGACTTTATAACCTGGGGGAAAAAGCAGAGTTGGCATCTTCACCCCACTATCAACTGGCCACTAAGCGGCCAACTGGGAAACACAGGAATTGGTTAGAATGCAGTGACCTCAGCCAGGTACAGCACAGGCTGCTCTGTCAGAGAGCAGGACGAAAAAAAAAATGTTCTCTTCCTGCAGGGAAGCCAATGAATGAGACACAGCAGAAGGAAAACAAGACTGAAAACGCAGTGCTGCAATTTCAGTCCCAGAGTCACTACCTGTGCTGTCTTCCTCTACCTCAAGGATTCTATCAGTCCTCAGGTTCTTGGGCTCCAAACTTCTCCACCATGACCTCATTCCCAGCCTTCTCTTCTCCATCTCCAGCACTCCAACTCACCTAAAACTGACTGAAGCTATCACTTGAAGAAGGCATTTTAGTTTTCACATGTCTCATGGCCCTATCCTAATATTCAACATGTATTTCTCAACTATCATGGTTAGTAACTACTACAAATCAAAGGGTTCTGGTTTACCTGAAACATGTGACTACTGAAAACAGTAATGTTTCTTCAGAGTACACATCCTTAAAGCGGGACATTGGCTGGTCAGATCAAATCTTAACAGTGTTAATGTCACATTTAACTTGGTATTGTCTAGACATTGGAGACAAGAAGTGGTATAAAATATGCTAACAAAGATTAGATAACCATGCTAAGTATTTCCAGATGATTCCTAACTTACAACACATTAAAAGACAAAGAAAAATGTTACACTGCAAAAATGTCTTCTTATTGTTTGCCAACCTGAGGTAGAAACATTTTTCCAGCTCCAAAAAGATCGCCGACAACTTTCATGCCATTCATTAAAGGTCCTTCAATTATATTCAGGGGCCGGGGATATTTTTCCTGATTTAATCTGGCTTCCTCAGTATCCTCGATGATATATTTTTCAATGCCCTTAAAAAAAAAAGGAAAGAGGAAAACACACACAAATTGGTTTAATCCAAATGGTGGTCAACAAAAGGAACCACAGGATGCTTGAAGACACGGGTTTCATAGTCAGACTGCCTCAGTATGAACACCAGCTCCTATGTCTATTTGGATGGCTTATTAAGCTTTAGTCTCCTCAGTTAGAGTGACTCAGTCATCTACCACAGAGTAGTTTGGAGGATAATTAGGTGAGATAACCCATCTAACCCACTGGCACTATCGATGGAAAGCAATGAACTCACATGAGTTCAAACTCCTAATAACATATACTTTGTATCCCAATATTTCAACACTGATATTTGATGTTAATAAACATCTTGGTCAAATAAATACATTTTTTCACCATAATATTACAGGGCTATGGAGGAATGACAACAAGCAGAGCCCTTACTAAAGGGCCAGCCCATGAACCAGTGCAGCTCTGATCTTTCTGGCTTTCACTGAATCCCTCCTCCAATTTCCACTCAGGGATGCTTGTTTGTGGCTATTACCACAAATCCAACCACATGAATCTCAAAAGGCCCAAGAGTTAGATTCAATTCTAGAAAAAAAAAATTAAGGGGCCAACATTGTGGTATAGCAGGTTAAGTCAACCCCACAATGCTGGCATCGCATACAAGCACTGGTTTGAGTCTCTGCTGTTCCACTTCAGTTCCAGGTCCCTGCTAATGTGTCTGGGAAAGGAGTGACAGGTAGTCCAAGTTATCTAGGGCCTCTCCTTCTCCAACCATTGTCATCACTCCCTGCCAGCCCCCTCCCTGCAGCATCAGGAAACCAGTTCAAGTCATACAACTCACCTTCACAAGGGCATACTCCAGGCGTTCTTCAATGGAATTATTCCTCCACTCATCAGACTGGACATTTTTTTTTCCACCTTTGCCATGAGTCTGCATTGTAATTAGAATTTTAAAAATGAGCTCAATCGGGCACTTACTAAACTACTTGACAGCAAAAAACAAACAACCTTTGTATTATTTATTTTTTATTTAGCTTCCAGTAGAGTATATAAAATGAAAAGATCAAATGTTTGGGAGCTGGTGTTGTGACACAACAGGTTAAGCCAATACCAGCAACCCACTGAGCATTAGTTTAGATTCTAGCTGCTCTAATTCCAACCCACTCACTCCTAATATATCTGAGAAGGCAGCAGAAGAAAGCTCAGCACTTGGGCCCATGCCACCCATCCACAATGAGACCCGCATGGAGTTCCAGGCTCCTGGCATCAGCCTAGCCCAGCCCTGGTCAGTGCAGACATTTGGGGAGTGAATCAGATGAAAGACCTCTCTCTCTCTGCCTCTTCCTCTCCCTCTTATCTTTCACTCTTGGCTAACTCTGCCTTTGAAATAAATAGATAGATAAATAAATAAATAAATAAATAAATAAATCCTTTTTAAAAAAATCCTTAAAAAAATAACTTTTTAAAGATGGAAGTAAAAGCATCCCCCCTTCCCCCCATTTTCCCCACTCTGCCCACTCTATCCCTGTAAATAAATTTTACAAAATAAGAAAAAAAAAAATTCCCAGAGCCAGCATAGCTCAACTGGATAACCCTCAGCAGTGCCAGCAATCATATAAGGATGCTAGTTCATGTCCCAGCTCCTCCACTTCTGATCCAGCACTCTGCGGAAAGCCATGGAGGATGATCCAATTCCTTAGGACCCTGCACCTATGTGGGAGACCCAGAGGAGGCTCCTGGCTACTGGCCTCAGATTGGCTCAGCTCTGGCCATTACAGCCCTGTGGGGAGTGAATCAGTGGATCTAAGAGCTTTCTCTCTGTTTCCCCTTTTCTCTGTAAAACTGCCTTTCCAATAAAAATAAATGAGTATATATTTTTTAATTCAATATTAAAAAACAAAAAGGTTTCCCTCAGTTCAGGCGCACTTCCAAAGGCAAAACCTCTCGGCAGCTCAGAATGAATGCAGAAGCATAAACGGCTAGAAAGCATATCTGGCATCCAGCAAAACAGTGTCAACAAAATCTTAAATAGAAACGGTCTTACAAATAAAGACCCTTCCCTTTCCTGGGACAACTTCCTCTGGACAAGTTGGGGGGAAAATAAAATAACACATCATTTCACAGGTTCAGAAAACACTCAAGACTACAACTTCATGATACAGAAGCTATGCTGTCCCCTGGCCTTCAACAGAACTCCGTCTTAATAAGCTACTAACGAGAGGCCCCCTCCAGGTCAAAGAAGGCCTAAGATGGAAGCCAGATAGTATCTAATGTTCATGTCTCAATGTTCAAAAAGTAAGGAAGGGCTAATAAGCATTTTGTCTACAACTGCAGAAAGTCACAGAAACTGGGAGAAGGGGAACTGTTTCTAGAGATTATTTCATATGCAATGAGCTGAGAAACCGATTATTTGGTTAACACCTGCAACAATCACAACCTGCCATGGGTCCATACGAGAAACTTGAAATGGGTAAAGGGAAATGAGAAGACTATGGTTTGTGCACTATCATAGCTTTGTTGAGCCTATGAGTTTCACAAACAGCTTCAGAAATCTAAGTCTTTCTGCTGCTAAACCTGACAAATCAAGGACACAGTTAATCTTATATATTGTCCTATCCTTCTTCCAGAATATTATTCTATAGAACAGGAAAAGTTGGCAGTTACATCAAAACTAAATTCAAATTCTAACATGGGAAAAAACTGACAAAGTAGGCAATATAAGCAAAAACATTCTTCGCAAAACCATGCCACCACTTTTCCAGTAGGCCTTGTTGGGAAAACGTCTTCCTTTGCCCCTATTCTCCTAACCAGATGAAAGTGCATGTTTCATTGAGAAAAAGATCTCATCTTTTCTTAAACTGAATTCTAGGACACAGCAACCATGACAGATACTTAATGTGCTAACATAAAGTAAGTGGGAAATAAGGGATTGATTTTCTAATTAGCCACACTTATTCCCACTTTTACAGATCAGGTATGTACAGACGCCAAGCTTTGTACTGCAGAACTTTGACACACAGAGACCAAACCCTACACAAACCTACACATACAACAACAGGAAACAGATAACACAGCCATGCAAGAAAGTCCAAAACATTACATAAAATGATGAAATAGAAAATATCTAATAAAAAGGAGAGGATATTCCCAACATACTGCAAAACATCTTACCAAGAACATCTAGAATATAGTTCTATTTTTGAAAAGAAAATGTGAATGCATGCATACCTATGAGTATATAAAAGACCACATGACTAAGCAGTTTTAACAAAATTTCAAAGTATTACCTCTAGTAGAATTAGTGATTTTTATTATTGTGCTGTGCTTATCTGCATTTCATTTATTTTCCATAGGTAAGACATCACTTCGATATAAAAAAATTAAGTTTTAACATTTCAACACAATATAAAAGAAACCTTAGTTTAGAATACCAAAGCATCCAAGGTACGATCTGTTTCCTCATTTCCATCATACCTTTCCTGCAAGTTGTTATATGAATCTTCAGTCCTCTAAAGTCAAAATTCAACAGTTACTTCTATTCAGCAATGAAAGGCTGATAATCATGAGCAATAAATTCAAGAATTAAACAAAAAAAAACCACGTTTTCTGTAAAAACTTATCTTTCTACCTGGGCATAGCGTAAGAGCTTCTCAGTGGCCTCAGGGTCTTTATTCCAGATGAGATCTTCACAGAGCTGGAGGAGTTCCTTGTGAATATCATCATATACAGGGAGGTTTCCGGCATTCACTATCCCCATGTCCATACCAAACTAAGGACAATTAAAAAAAAAAAAGTGACGTGCGCAGTGATGTCCTAAATCACGTCAGTGTACACATCCACAACCAGAGAACCCAGGTGAGATTTTGGGCTCAGTCTCCTGGCTTCCTGCTAGTGCATACCCAGGGCAGTAGCATGGATGTTTCCTAGTCCCAGCCAATGTGGGAATACAGGCGTGAACCAGCAGATGGCAGCACACACTCATCCTCTCTCACTCTCAAAATCTCACTTTTTAAGAAAGCATCTCAGGCCTCAGTCCCTCCCACCGCCACTCACATAAATGTAAATATAAATCAATGGGTATAGCCCTGTCCTGACAGATCCTTATTTACTCACATATGTAGCATGCTACAGTGAGCGTCCAGTTTATAAGCTCCTGCTTCAACAGGACAACAGAGCATCTATCATACCTTGATTGCATGGTAAAGGAAAACACTATGCATTGCTTCTCGAATGGCTTCCATTCCTCGGAAGGAAAAGGACAAGTTGGAAAGGCCTCCACTTATTCTGACTCCAGGCAATGTTTCCTGGAAGAAATTTAAAAATCTGAATATATTCCCCAACAGCAGCAATAACATTTTTTAAGCTTTATCTGTAAGAATGGAAACTAAAAACAAATAAACTTCATAAACAGTCCACAGCTTCAGATTACTAGACACACATCTAGACTTTCCTTTGGTGTGACAGAGGACCTGTTGCATAATTTTTCCCAATGGGCACTAAACTGCCTAAGAAAAACACAAAAATGTACTTTATATACCTCTATAGTGCCCATGATAAGCGCACTATACATGTTATACATGGTGTCCCATCAACTATGTACCTGTAAGTTATAAAGAGACAGCGACAGATAAAAAACACATACATACACACAAAAATCTCTTACTGAAAGTACAAGCTACCAGAAGATTCCCATGCTTAAATGAACATTCTACCTCGCTATAAATTTGACCAGTTATAAGAGAACAAAACAAAACTGAGGTTCCATAGCTGTGACAATATTGTCCATACCTGTGACAATATTAAGCTTAGCAGGTTTCTGCAACAATAGGGATTCTCATACTATTAGTTTCAAATCAAACAGACTCAAGCACTTAAAGAAATAGCTCTTCATTTTTTCCTATGACCCAACCATTACTGCCATGTACATACTATAGAGAAACCCAGACATGAGTGCTTAAGATACAAAATGCATGAAAATGTTTATAGCAAGCAGTATTGTTCATAACGTCCAAAAGCTGAAAACAAACCAGATGTCCACCAATAGTATAATGTTTAATAGTGATAAAGTTATACAATTAATAAAGTAAATGACAGATATATGAACACAGATGACTCTTTGGAAATGAAGTTAAACAAAGAATAAGAATCTGATAATTCCAGTTACATTAAGCTCAAAACCAGACAAAACTAAACAGCATAATTTAGCTATTTAGTTAATTTTCACTGTTTCCTGTCAGCTATGTTCTAAAGAATCACTGCAGATACTGAGTTAGGGAATATTGAAACACTGCTCTTTGGAAAAACATAGACAGGCTCCTGGGAACCTTTGATCACATACATAATCTATGTTTTATTGCAGATAACCTTACTTAACAAATGAGAGAATTGCCAATCTGCTAACGCTGAATTCACAACCAAAAGAACTATAACTGATACCTAGACAAAGCTTATCTAGTACACAGACTTGGTCCAGAAGGCTCACCACAGCCTTCTTGTACTCAAGAACACTAGACAGCACTTCAATACCACATCGAGGTCCATGGAAAAGAGCAAAATCACCAACAAACTTAAAAAAAAAAAAAGCAGGGAGGGTACACAGTAGGAAAAATAATGAGGGCTAAAACAAGAAGATCTACCATGGGCCTATTCAGTCTCATCTGGGTTCATGTGAGTTAGGTCACTCAAATTCTCCAGCACTTTGCACATGTCTGTGAATGACTGCAAAATCTGAGTAATTGATTTGGGGGGACCACAAGTTTTAATGAGTATGTAATCTTGCAATTATAAAACCCAGGAATAAATAAAAGTTTATATAAATGATAACATTATAAAGATATACAATAAAGTGGTACAGAAATCATGACAATGGATGCCTTATAATGTGGTCTAATCAGAAAAGGAGACACATGGGGGACTGGTGTTTTCCACCCTGGACTAAATGAAAGCTATATTATGCTTCATAATCAATTTTATAATTTCTCCCTTACATGGGTCATACTTCACAATTAAAAGAAGTTCTTAAATCTTAGAAAAATAATTTACTAAGAACAGGAATGTCAATGTTATATTAGCCCCAACCATTCACTGAAGTCATACAATCAATTTGAGCCACTTTTCAGGTAAAAGAAAATGCTCATACTTACTTTAATGACTTTTGTTGCATGGATAAAATTAATAGCATACAAGTTGTGTTCTTCCATCCCAGTACCAATGGTGAGGATATTGGGGTCAAAGATAATGTCATTGGGATTAAAGCCCAGCTTTTTCACAAGTAGATGGTAAGCCCGAGTACATACTCTGATTTTAACATCCGTTTCTGTTGCCTAGGGAAAGCAGATCCAATTTGAAATACAAAAATAAAGTGTTATCTATGAAAACAGGGCAACTTTACTTGTCAAGAGTACTCAAGTGTCAATGCTCGGATTTCATAGAAATATAAATGCCAAACAATCCCTAAAACTTAATCAAGCAATCTCAGAGGAGCCTGTAACAATATCAACCCAACAATCACAGTTGCTTCATAAAAATCAAATGGCATATTAATAAAGAAACTTCTAAAAATATACATATTTGACACAAACCTAAACATTATTAAAGAACAGGTTAAAAAAAAATAAGTGCCCTTGTTACCTTGTCCTTCCTGCAAAGATCTTAGCCTGTCTCCCAGGCAACACTATGTCATCCTTTCCTGATTCTCACAATCATGTTTTAGGTTAACTCACGGACACCTATTTATTTCCCACCCACCACAGTGTTTGCTTGCTAAAAGATGATTGATGTCAAACCTACAAAACCCTTCAAAACAGTGTCAATAGCAGTTGAAACAGCTTGTACTCCCAGTTGCTTCCTATCATCTTCAGAATCTGGGCCTCCATCTACAGTGCCATCTCCCACCATTTGCCCCTTCCTCAGCCCCTCGTGCCCCACACTATTCCCTTGGTGTTCCTGAAGCCCACCAAGCTTGCTCACACTTCACAGTCCTTCCATGTATTACTGCTACTGCCCAGGACACACTGACCTGGCTGGGCAGGGTACAAACACCTTGGTTAAGTCCTAGCTTCTGATCACACACTTCCTCACCTCTAGAGGGAGCTGTCCCAGGAACTTGAGAAACACCTACCTGACTCCAGGACAGTTCATCATCCAGAAAGCAGAGTGGCAGGAAATGACAAGAATTCACTCTATTATATTCTTTTCATCACTTACCTAGTTTGGTGTTTACTTTCTCAAATATTCGTTCTGTTTAATCTCTCCCTGCATGTGGTGGAGTTAGATTTCACTTCCTATTTAGAAAATTTCCTCACAATTCAGCAGAAAAGAAGACAGGAGCAAGTTTTTTTACAGCCCTACTACTCCTCTGGCTTCTAGTGGAGATAGCAAACTCTCATCAACAGCTTCTTACTTCTTCCACCTTCAGTAAAGAGTGATAAGGTAGAAGCTGAGACTAAGATGTGGTCCTAGAAAACTGGTCAAAAGCACGTCATTAGAGCTGATTTCATTCACTCTTCATCAGAAGACCAAACAGGGTTCTAGGTTGTCAACTCAGTAGAAACAGAGGAGGCAGAAGGAGGGTGGGAATTGCCCATGATACTAGCTGTCTTTACTAATTTAGTTTGGTTGGTAGTCAAGGTCCTGGCCATTTCCATCTCCATGTGATCATTTGCTGGGCAGACTGAGATGAGTATGTCACACACAGGAGGCTGGGATGTGAAGTCCAGCTGCAGACCAAGGCATAAAAGCCAGGGGGACATTCATGAGCACCCTCAATGGCAGAATTCAATCTCTATAGCCAGAAAGGAGTCATCAACTACAACCTCCACTATGACAAAGCCATGTCAAACTGCCGTCACTGTATCCAGGACAGGACCTGCCACATTAACACACACCCAGCCTCTGTCCGCTAAAGAGGCAAGTTAATCTCAAAACAGTGTGCTCATGTACAGGCCTCTGTGTTATTCCGTCTTACCTATTAGCCGGGGCTATAAAACAAATACACGAGGAGGCCTCAACCATGCTCGGTTTCACAGCCCCAAACAGAAATTTAGTGAAACAATAGCAGGCTTTCCCATTCCGGGTCAAGGAGGAAACAGTTTCACACATTACAGAATCAAGATTAGAGACAATCTCTCTGGATCTAACACTGGTGAAGGCCAACACACCTGCCCCAAATTTCTGCACTTTTAAAAAAATCATTGTTTCAAACGCCACCTTTAGGAGAAACTGCAGCTTTGTGTATAGAGCAGTGGCTTTCCATTTAAGGTAGCTGTTTTCTCTTTATAACAAAAAGTATTACCTAAGCAAAACAGATTCTCATTCTTCACTATTTCATCCAATAACATTATGAGAACTCAATAAGAGGTTGAAACTTTATATCAAAACATCTGTATTGTTTTCTGAAGCTTGCTAGTATATGGCCTTTTTTTTTTTTTTTGCTTCACTTTCTACAATTTTCAATATGTGTTAATTTGACAATGTATTCCATAACTGACAAAGTATCTAAGAGCTCTAGATAACATCCCCATAGAAATATATAACCCATCTATTTCTCTTCCCTTTGGCATTTTGGTTCTCAGATTTTTCAGTACACTGATATAAAACCTTTGAATATATTCGTATTCTTGTGTTGTTAAATATTTTTATTGGGATAATTTTCCATAAATGGGGTTATTTGTTCAAAATGTATGAGCAAATAATGTCTCCATGGGTATTACTGTCTTTGAAAAGGTATCACTTTATACTCCATTCCCAACATACGAGGCTGCTAATTCATTCTTTTCATTGCATTCTTTTCATACCTGCTCTAATCTTGATCATTCTTAAGTTTCCTTTTACCAATTTAGAAAGAATAAACATTATCTAAATATTTTACTTTACCAATTTTTGAATGCGAGGTAGATAGACCTCCCATCCACTGCTCCTGTCCGCAAATGCCCACACAGTTGTGGCTGGACTAAGCAAGCCAAAGTCAGGAGCCATGAACTCTACCCAAATCTACCATGTGGGTGTCAGGGTCATGACTACTTCAGCCCTCACTACTGTCCCTGCAGGGTACACATTAGAAGGGAGCTAGAGGGCCTAGCACAGTAGCCTAGTGGCTAAAGTCCTTGCCTTGCATACACTGGGAATCTATATGGGCGTGGGTTCATATCCCGGTGGCCCTGCTTCCCATCCAGCTCCCTGCTTTTGGCCTGGAAAAGCAGCTGAGGACAGCCCAAAGCCTTGGGATCCTGCACCCATATGGGAGACCTGGAAGAGGCTCTAGGCTCCGGGCTTTGGATCAGCACAGCTCTAGCCATTATGGCTGCTTGGGAAGTGAATCATCAGATGGAAGATCTTCCAGTCTCTTCTCCTCTCTGTATATCTGACTTTCTAAGGAAAATAAATCTTTTTTTTTTTTTTTAAAAAGGAGCTAGAATCAAGAGAGGATCCAAGATTCAAACACAAACACTCCATTCTATGATGCAAGTATTCCAACTCACATCATAGCCCCTATGCAAACATCTGTCCAGACATTACTGCTATAATTCCTATTTCTTTTCAAACTCTCAAGCTAACTTTTCAACTTACATTTACCTTTAATTTGTAGTCACATTCAAATCTAAACTGGGAAAACCTGTTCTTAAAATCAAGCACTATGCAGTGTCAATGAACAAAGCATGGGACAAACACTGAATTTCAGTCTTTAAACACCCAGATCAAGGATAAAACGCATTTCCTTATGTCTTGACTTTGGCTAACTGTAAAACAGAATGACAATCATGTGTGCTGCTTGCTATGGTAAGAACTAAAACAGCTCATCTCATCTGGTGGTTTTCAATCACAGTATACATGGGTATCACTTCTAAGGCTTTGTAATTACAGAAGCAGGGTCTCACCCCAGACCAAAAGAAACTTCAGTTAGAATTCAGAAGTACGTTTTTTTAAAAAGATTTATTTTATTTTTATTGGAAAGGCAGATATTCAGAGAGGAGAGACAGAGAGGAAGATCTTCCGTCCGATGATTCACTCCCCAGGCAGCCGCAATGGCTGGAGCTGAGCCAATCCGAAGCCAGGAGCCTCTTCCAAGTCTCCCACAGGGTGCAGGGTCCCAAAGCTTTGGGCTGTCCTAGACTGCTTTCCCGGGCCACATGCAGGGAGCTGGATGGGAAGCGGGGCTGCTGGGATAGAACCGGCGCCCATATGGGATCCCGGGCGTGCAAGACGAGAACCTTAACCACTTGCGCCATCGCGCCAGGCCCCGTACGCATTTTTTTTAAAGTTTAGTCAATAACTGCCTTTCCCTGGCAGAGAGATTTGACTTAACACTCCTGTGTTAAGTCTCAAGTGTCTGCAAGGCACCCAACATCCATTCTCATTTCCGAAGTTGACATTTTCACCAGCATTACTGAGAAAAGCAGAAATCATCAAAGACTACCCCCAAGGACATAGGCCAGCATGTGTGCACCTCTGCATTCTCCGTTCTGCCTTCTGCCCTGCACTGGCAACAAACTTCCAGCTTCTGATCTAAAGCCAACTGCTCCACTCCCAGGCTGCCACCCCTCTCTGTTCACAAGGTCATCTATTTTGCAAATGCCCTTTTTCTCCCCTGCATCAAGTCCTCCCTCTCTCTACCAGGTCATTCCTATCAGCTTACAAAACACATTGTCACATCATTTGTATACACACCCACAAACCTTTTCTTAATCTCATAATGTCATCTCCCATTCCCAGTCCTTCCAATTCTGATCTTTGTGGCAAAACTCCTCCAAAAAATTGCTGCTTCCATTCTTCTGTTATCACACCTACTCCAATGAAGGTTTTATCTCCGTGGAAACATTACAGCAAAATCATCCATGACTCCATTTCCAGATTCAGTGGTAATTTCTTGGGTGTCTTACTACTTGATGCATAGCTTTTTTAAATAGCTGATCATCCCCTTTGTTATTCAAGTGGCTTCCGAGTAAACCCTCTTTTCTAGTTCTCCATCCATCAAACAAGCTGTTCTCAAAGCCTTCTGATATATCTTCTCCCCAGCCTCAAAGCACTGTTGTTTCAAACTCTTGGTCTCAGACTTCTCTAGTCATTCCTTCAGATAAGCTTGGCCAGTCTCATCACACTAATTATAATCTACGCACACAAACTCCCAAGAAAGGGAATCCTATCTTCAAGCCAGATTTTGTTCACAAAATCCAAACTCATCTATGCAGTCCCATTCTCAACTTACCCGCTGCGTCCCAAATCTACTTTCCCTTAGTCTTTCCAACTCAGTGGCGCCATGTTTTCAACTTTCCAGGCCAAAATCCCGAGATGATTGCTGACACCCTGGTCCACACATCTTTCACGAGCAAAATCAAATGAAAAGGCAAATCCCGCTGGCTCTACTTAAAAGTACATCTAGCAACAGGTAACTTTTAACATATATTACTGCTTCCAGCTTAGCCCTAACCATAACCATCTCTCACCTGAATCGTAGCAATAAACTCCAGTATTATTGCTTTCTCTCTAACACACCAATCTCCACAAAGAATCACTGGGGTTTTAAGGGGCTAGTGCAGTGGCTTATCATACTAATCTTCTGAGTGCAGCACCAGCATCCCACATGAGTCCCGTATGTTCCACTTCCAATCCTGCTCCCTGCTTATGACCTAGGAAAGCAGCAGACGATGGCCCAACTTCTTGGGCCCTTGTACCCACATCAAAGACCTAGAAGAAGCTCCTAGCTTCTGACTTCAGTTTAACTGAGCTCCAGCCGTTGGGGATGAACCAGTGGATGGAAGATCTCTAGCTCTCTCCTTCCCTCTACTTCTGCCTCTCAAAAATAAAAAAATATATATATATAGGTCTGATCACTCATATTGCTTCAGCGGCTTCTCCACCCAAAGTTAACAAATGTTTTCAAATTTTTTATTTCACAGGAAGAGAGACAGGCAGGTAGACTGTCTGATCTCATCTACTGGGTTACACCCCAAATGCTGCAAATGGCTGAGGCCAGGGCTGGAGGCAAAGTTAACAACGCTGACCAAAATGATAGGCACTACATGATTTGCTGCCTAACTTCATATCCTTCATCTTCTACCCTCTGCTCCAGCTACTCTGCCCTCCAAGCTGGTTTTCAAACATGGTAAGCATGTATTCACCTTCAGGCTCCCTTTGCCCAGGACACTCCTCCACAGCAAGAAAAGGCTCAAGCATCCACGTGGGCTGCCCACAAAATGCTTCTGGTTCCTGATTTTAACCTGGCACAGCCCCAGTAGGTACGACCATTTAAAGAATTATCCAGAAAATGGAAGAGCTGTTTCTCTCCCTTCGCTCTACCTTTCAAATAAATCTTAAAGCAGGATGTGTTGGGGGGAAACAGACATATGCATATACAGCTATTTCAGACTTCATTTTCTCCCACTGCTATATAACCTGGGTAGCACAATGCAATTAACTCAGAAGAAATCACTCACCTGTCCTTCTTCATCAAAAGCCATAATCACAACAGCAGCACCAAACTTCTTGACCTTTCTGGCCTTCTCCAAGAAGTCATCTTCCCCCTCCTTCAGACTAATGCTGTTAACAATGCACTTCCCTTGGCAGCACTTTAACCCAGCCTCAATCACAGCAAAATTGGAAGAGTCAATGCACAAGGGCACCTGAGGACAAAAAGGCAAGAAAGTCACAGACTTCAAGTCACCACAGACTCCTTCCCATAAGTTTCCAAAGATTCCTTACCTCTTCTTTAATGAAACAATAAAAAATAAGGGTAGTGTCAAGAGAGAGGAATTTTTTTCTTTAGATTTTTAAAATTCTCACTGGAAAGGGAGATCTGATTTACAGAGAGAAGGAGACACAGAAAAGGCCTTCCATTGGTTGGCTCACTCTCCAAATGGCTGCAATGGCAGGAGACGAGCCAATCCAAAGCCAGGAGCCAGGAGATTCTTCTGGGTTTACCACTCAAGTGCAGTGTCCAAGACTTTGAGGTCATCAGCCATTGCTTTTCCAGGCCATAAGCAGGAAACTGGATGGGAAGTGGAGCAGCCAGGACACAAACTAGCGCCAACATGGGATCCCAACACTTGAAGAGGGAAGATTAGCCAACTGAAACACTGCACCAGGCCCAGAGAAAGGAGCTTAATACACTTTTGCTTAAAGCTTCAAATACTTAGAGTAATTTCAGCATTACAACAGACACCATATATGGGTCAAAAATTTGTAGCTCAACAATCACAGCCAAACATCAAGTAAGAATCAGAGAGATCAGCTCACTGCAAGCCTCAGTACCAATGTGCATTTTCAAGTGTCTACACCCCAAGGCAAACAACTCAAACAGGATTCAGACACCACTGATTCAACTCAGAAATTACTGTTCAGCCTTACTGCCTTTTGGGAACAGCCCTCTAGCCAAGTAACTAAAATTCTATCTTCTCTTTACAAAACCAAGGTCCTTACTGGGAAAACAAAAGTTATAATATTAGAAAGCTAAAACAAATGTATTACTCATGAAACGCAACTAAAAGAAATGACAAAGTTAAAATGCACAGAAAAGAACAGGCTCCTTTTTAATTAATGATTCTGTTCCAGAAAAGGCAAAAGGAAAGACATAAAGGAAAGCTTAGATGAGTATAATGAAATGAAATGGATCTAGGCCCTATGACCTAATTAAGTCATTCAACAAATGGATACAGGAACATTAGTAAGGCAGACAGTCTCTCACTTCCCCAGGCTTACAAGGATAAATGATTCAACAAGTAATGACACAGAAGTGTTGTCGATGCTAGTGGACCAGAGAAGCACACTGCCATGAGAGCATCTCCAGGAGCACTAAAATCAGCCTGGTGAGAGAGAATCTACAGAAACCTTCCTGGGAAGGTAAACGTTTCAACTAAAGAGTCAGTAGTAAGCAATACCTTAATCTAATGTCCAAAAGAGGGTCAAAACAAACAAGCACTACACTAATTTTTAACTTTTTAAGCATACTAGTAATAAGAATTTGCTAGGCAAATGCCCAATTGATAAAACAATACTAGCTTGCTGACAGTTTGGGGCCTAATCTATGAAGACATGCCCATACATTGGAACACTCAATTGGAACTGGGCATTTAGCCCAACAGTTAATGCAGCTTACAGCCTTTTGAATTTCCCCCTTTCTTATTGCCTTTCTAACAAGAATAAATAAATCTTAAAAAAAAAAAAAAAGAAAACCAGTTCAAGAATTGATAGAGCAATGAGATAAATAAAGAGAAAAATGAGACCCAGTGAGCCAGATAAAATCTCTTGAACACAAACTTTGTACAACCTTGGCGATATCAGGTTCAGAAGCAATTAAGTTGCAAAATCTAGACATTGCACTGGGACCATCTAGCATGCCATCATCCATGTTGATATCCAGCACTTGGGCTCCCATCTGCACCTGCTCTTTGGCGACAGTCAGGGCTTCCTGAAGAAAGAATGTAGGAGGAAGTAGCATTAGGAGCTGGTAATTCATGAGATGAAACAAAAGTAACCCCTTACACTCCCAGCAGCTGACTCCCTGACTGTGTGGCTCTCCTCTCAACATCTCTTTTATCACTTACCTGCACCCTTGGGACATAACACGGTTGTTTTTCCTGTGATACTGAATCTAAACTTTTCAGCCTTGTGCTTAGAGCCCTCTGAGCCAGCCCCACCTTCTGAACTTCCCACTGGTCCCCATAAGCCCTTCACTATCCAACTCTGTTTCCATCACTGTGCCACAGATCACACTGTGCCTGCTGCTTGGAAGCAATCTCTTTCTCTTCCATGTTGCTTCTGATCCAGTTCAAGTCTCATCTCTGCCAATAAGGTTCTTAGAAAAACCTTCCAAATCTCATAATTTTTCGCCTAAATATGTAATGCATCCATTGCAGGCTATTAGCAGGAGTCACATGAAAAGAACTGTCGTTGAACTAAATAAGCAGAGTTTTATACTGCAAGACTTTTTACTTCCTTTAACACACTATAGTAACTGCACCTTTTTAAGGTGGACATCCTATGATATATTTTCCATAAGGAATATCTTGTAGGATGAGTGTTTCAGAGAACACATTAGGGAAACACTGTTCATTCCACAATTATCTGTGGCCTCTCATCATAATTATTACATGGCTTATGAGAACATTATTTCTTCATGATTTCATGAGTACTAGTTTACTTTGCCAAGTAGCTGTACATTTCACAGCACAATAAAATAAGCGAAGTTCAAAGCAATCATAGATGTTGATGCAATCCTGATTTATTAGCCCAACAGAATCAAACAGAAATTATGATAGAACAGGTATAGAACCCTCTGGCATACACAAGGCAAAACAATCCTATTGAGCCACAGCTGCATGGAGAAAAAGACCACAGCTCAACTCAGCAAGTCAGCAAGTTCTTTATATCAGTATAACTCAACAATCCCAGTTCTTGAAGGGCTTTCATCTAACTGGAGGAACCTGATGTAGTCCCATAAAATGTTACTGGGCACTTCTATATAATATGTATATCAAACGCTAAGATGATCTCAACGTTCAGAAAAGGAATGGGTTCCATAGATAAAAATGGAGAAATCTGGCTAAGAAGGAGAATCCTCAGTTGCCAAATGGGAGATGAAATAAAGGACGTAAAGAGTTACAAGGTGACAGAGCGTCTGGTCTCCCTCTTTTTTTTTTTTTAAGACTATTCACTTATTCATACATTCATTCATATGAAACACGAAGTTACAGAGTCAGGGAGAGATAGACAGTGTTTTCTCATCTGCTGGTTCATGTCCCAAATGACAGTACTGGTCAGGGAGAAGCCAGGCTGAAGCCAAAAGCAAGGAGCTTCTTCCAAATATCTCAGGTGGCTGCAGGGACCCAAATCTTGGGTCTTCTTCCACTGTTTTCCCAAGTGCATTAGCAGGAAGCTGGATGTGAAGTGGAGCTGCTAGCACTCAAACTGGCATGCATATGTTACTGCCACAGCAATGGTTTAACCCACTATACCGCAATGCCAGCCCCACGGCCTTTATCACAAAATAACAGCCTGAAGGTCCAACCTTGTCAAACAGGCCTAGAGAGATGGAGTGGTTTCTTTAAAGGTGTACCAACTGAACAAGAAGATAAAACTAAAACTACTTTCATGATATGACAGAACGTTGAAGGATCACTAAGTCATGGAGATAAACCATGGTCAAAGCAGAGTCAGCAAATGGTTAACAGCAATGGGCTTGCCAGATGCAAGTTTTATCATTTCCTTGCTGTGAAACAACAGGCACGTAGTTTCACCTTCTTCAGCCTCTATTCCACATCTGTGAAGTGGGGAAGAACAGTACCCAATCCACATGGCTCTCAGGATGAAATGAGTAACAAAAAAAGTGCTTAGCAAAGTGAATGGCATAAAGACCTAAAATATAACAGGTGTTATTACTTTCACCTGTTTGCATCTTCCTAAAAATTCTCTGCTCTCAGTGTCAAACCCAACAAGGGACACTATAGAATGGACATAAGAACCAAACAAACAGAGCCTGGTGGCATGGTCTAGCGGCTAAAGTCCTCGCCTTGAATACGCTGAGATCCCATATGGGTGCCAGTTCTAATCCCAGCAGCTCCACTTCCCATCCAGCTCCCTGCTTGTGGCCTGGGAAAGCAGTCGAGGACGGCCCAAGGCTTTGGGACCCTGCACTCATGTGGGAGACCCGGAAGAGGTTCCTGCTTTCTGGCTTTGGATCGGTGCAGCACCGGCCATTGCACTCACTTGGGGAGTGAACCATTGGAGGGAGGATCTTCCTCTCTGTCTCTCCTCTCTGTATATCTGACTTTGTAACTAAAATAAATAAATCTTAAAAAAAAACAAAAAAAAAAAACAAATTCTGTCAAGAATGTTGAAATAACAAGAATGGAAGGAACTTGGGTGAATAAATGAAGAGGACACAATGACAGTGTGAAGCAACTTGATTTTATCTTTTACCAAAAAAAGAAAAAAAAAAAAGAAGAAGAAGAAGAAGGAGAAGATTGTGTTGAAACATCAAAATAAGACTAATGAGAGCCAATCAAGAACAAAGGTAAGCAGGCTCCCGTAATTGTCAATTGTCATAACTATCAACTGAGAGAGTGAAAAGAAGCAAGACAGACCATCAGGCCATGCCATGAAATAACTAACAGGTCCATAAAGGGTGATAAAGGAATCCTATCTTTGTGATGAAAAGTTAATCTGCTCTGATTTCTAGGCCTATTTCCCAAAGGCTGCAAAATCTCAAAGCAAGAAAAACCTGGATAACCAAATTAATCATCATAACCTTCAGTTTTAATATCTGCAGAAGAAATCTACACACACATCCTGAGCAGGCATTGTACTGACTGATTTGGGTGTTGACTGAGCTTAATAGCACCGTGGCTAAACCACCACATAAACTTCCCAAGGCAAAAACCTACCACTTTTGTTTATTTTAGTTTACAATTAACCTGACCCTCATCAATCAACATTTGATGTAATTATGAACAAAGGAATTTGCTTGGCTTCACTTTTCCCAAATTTGTAAGAAGCTGAAATGAAGAACACTTCCAAATTTTTAAACTTATTTCTCCTTTAACACACAGCTAAAACCTGGATCCCTCCCAACTCTTCCCATTTTATGTCCCAAATACAGTACATTTTGACAAATATTAGCAATAGATGCTTTAACTTTCTGAAACCTTACCCTCCCATCAGCTCAACCTGGAGCAAACACACATTACCATGACCACACACTTGCCAGCAACTCTGTTAATAACACTAGGCAGAAAGACATTTCATTTACATGCTGCCTAGCCAAAGACACGGCAGATAATTCAGGAGTCTTACTAAGATGCTCACTTCATAGTTTCCTGCCATGATGAGTTTAGCAAACTTCTTTGATCCTGCAACGTTACAGCGCTCTCCAATGTTAACAAAGTTGGTGTATGGTCCAATCCTGAAGGGTTCCAGACCTTAAAAGGAGAAGCATTTTGAGCATTTTTCTGAAAATACATATGGATGACATGAGAAAGACAGACACAAATGTTTCTATAAGAAATAAAGTCCTGGGGGTGGACCAGACTGAGTCAGTTCGCGTGGTCCACTGGCAAACCTGAACGCCAGAGTAGAGTGTGGGTCAAGCCAGGTTCAATCGCAACAAAAGCAGGATACAAAACAGAATACCAAGGTGAGGCTGCCTGTGCCAGACGAGACCGCAGCACCCAACCAACACACGTGAGAATCAGGAATGGGGAGCAGAGCTGACAGGGGAACAAAGGGTAGTTCCCATGCTGGATAGCTACTCCCACTGGAGAGCATGAGCTGGTACCAGACTAGGCAGGGCTGCAGCATCTGTAGCCTCATATGGACCAGATCAGGGAAGAGCCAGGACGGGCAGACTATTCCTACTAGTGTTAACCAAACGGGAGGGGGTGAGAGCTGTCAGGGCTTAGCCATAGCAGAAGCTGGCACTAGGGGCCATTACTGTCAAGTCCAACCACAGGGTCACCTGGAAAGAGCACAACCAAGAGTGAGAGTGACCTGGGAGGGAAATCGTGGGCTCCCCCCTCTTGGGTCAGCACTCTCATGGGAGGGCACAATAACAACTAGGACAGGGACTGGGTTGGCTAAACAGAGAGGCACTCAACAACATCCGTGAGGGCTGGACAGTTGAGCTGGGTGGATGGAACTAAGCTCCAATACCCTTCGACATTTACGAGAGCCCAATGGGATATGGGGCAGACTGAACTAGGCTGCTACACATGCTGGCAAATCAGGGCAGGGGCAGGCCAGGTGGGGGTTATTGGGGATCGCTCCCACTAAGCTGCAGCTCCCAGTGGTTGGTGTGATAGCCGAGTACGTGACTAGCAAAACCAGAACGCACTACAACACCCATTGATTCCAGTGGAAGTTGAAGCTCAAGATGGAACCAACTCAGCAATTGCAACCACCAGCTGAATGGGGACCAGAGAAGATCTCCCCAAGAAGCCGTTGAACTTATCTGGACAATAAGATGCTGGACTCTATGCTTGGTATATGCTTGCAATGAAGGAATCTCAACTGAACTTGAACTGTGGTTATGTGCAACAAGGTGGAGGGATCCACCATGGGGGAAGAGTTAGGGGAGGGGTGGAAGGAATCCCAGTACCTATAAAACTGTCACATAATACAATGTAATTAATAATAATTTTTAAAAAAAGAAATGAAGTACTGTGCCATGGCCCATTTGAGTATACAGATGATCCAATGTGGAAACAGGACCATGGCCTTAACCTCTAGGGAGATCCAAACAACAACAAAAATACTACTTAATGCAAATATATTTGTAAATAGAACTCTCCAAAGAAGAAATATTTTCAGGGTTTTTTGTTGTAAATATTCCAAAAGGAGCAAATTACACCATCTCTGAGAAAATAGAAAAATCATTATCTTATTCCCTTTTTAAACCATGAATTCCCAAATTTTCAACTCTGTGAACATTTCAATGGCATAATGCTTCACAGTTACCATAAGTGGTATATATTTGGTCCAATATGAGTCTTTATAAAGAACAATGCGACATAACAGAGTAACCAAGAATCTGGGGCAAAAGTCATTAAGAAAGAATCGTAAGATGACTGTTGCAAGGATGTCCCTGTGGACATCACCATGATGCTAGCAAGCTTTCTAGCGGTCAGAGCTTTCCTTCATCCCCTGGACCCACAAGCCAAAGATTCATAACAGCAAGGCTGGACCAGGTTGAATCCCAGGAAACATGAGTCACTGTGGCAGATCCACCACTAATCAGCTGACTCTAGGCTAGCCAACTGGACTGTGAGTGCTTCTTTATTTGTCAAGAGGTAATGACATCTGTCTTGATTAAGGCCAATTTAGGGGCATTTATACTTATGGATATACTTTTTCCACTGACATAAAGAGAAATATACAGTATGAAGAACCAGTACTCTCAAATGCTTTTGTGCTATTCACACAATTAAGTATTAGCAGACACAGTGTCCTACCTAGTTACAGGCAGGCTCTGGAGACAGCCTTGGGTACAAATCACTTACCTTAATGAACCTTAATGAACCCAGGGCAACTTCCCACACAGCCCCTGAGTTTACAAAACTTAGATTGTAAAGTGTCTATTTTAAAATATTACTATAAGTGTGAAACTCGGTAACAATAATAAGCATAAAATTAGCACTAGCAATCAGAGCATTCTATATGTATGGTTTGAGTCCTTAACCAAAGCACATGTTAAGGAAGAAACAAGAGGGTAAGGAAAATACTGAACATGAGTCAGGTACTATAAACTATCCCAGGTTACCACTGCACCACTGTTGGTTGACGATCTCCTCCACTCCAGAAGTGATTCCCACGCTTCCAGCCTTCTAGGTTAGAGTCAGGCTATTCCTGATCCCAAGTCCAATGCTAAGGTTAACAGGACAGGCAAGCAGGAATGTGAACATGTAAAAGCTGAAGATTTCCCCCATGATGCCTCTAGCACTGCACACAAAGCACTTATGATCTATTATGAATGTGGAGTCTCTGGTATAAAAAAACCCCATTTCTTTCACATTTGCACCTTGTAGGAAAAAAATTTAAGAAGTATGCATGCTATCAATCTTTTACAAATCTAATTGAAGGCTACTGTTAGAGTAATTTAGGAATAACATGGCATTCAAATGAGAGAAAAGGCATTCTTTCTTTAAAAAGTTTTTTCTTAAAAATCATATATAAATGGATCTCTTTTTTCAATTTTGGCAAACGTTGACTATTTCACTGATAATGTCCAGGTAAATAATGCATAGATCTAAGTTCTAAATATGCAATAAATAAACTTTCTTATTACACTTCTGATAAAAGCCACTTTCTTAACGGAGTGGGCAGTATCATAAATCACAAATCTCACCTCACCTACAAAAAGAAAAAAAAAATTGGGGCCAGAATTGTGACACACAATTTAAGACATTGCCTGGAAGACTAGCATCCCATATGCGTGTTGGAGAATGTCCTAGCTGTTTCACATTCACTGAAGCACCTAGGAACGCAGTAGAACAAACCCAAGTGCTTGCACCCTTTGTCACTCATGTGGAGACCTAAACAGACCTCCAGGAGCCTGGCTTCAGCCTAGTCTGGCCCCAACCATTCTAGCCATTTGGGGAGTGCACCAGCAGACTGAAGATCTCTTAATCTCTCCCTTTATCTCTGTAATTTTTTTTTAAGATTTATTTTTATTTTTTTTTTTTTCATTGGAAAGGCGGATATACAGAGAGGAGAGACAGAGAGGAAGATCTTCCGTCCGATGATTCACTCCCCAAGTGAGCACAACGGGCCGATACTATGCCGATCCAAAGCCAGGAGCCTCTTCCGGGTCTCCCACGCGGGTGCAGGGTCCCAAAGCCTTGGGCTGTCCTCGACTGCCTTTCCCGGGCCACAGGCAGGGAGCTGGAAGGGAAGCGGGGCTGCTGGGATAGAACCTGCGCCCATATGGGATCCCGGGCATGCAAAATGAGGACCTTAACCACTTGCACCACCACGCCAGGCCCTGTAATTCTTTCAAATAAATAAATCTTCTGTTAAAAAATTCATAGGATTAAAAAAGATAATAATAATAATAAGAAGAAAAGCAGAATATGGCTCAAGTGCTTGCACACCTATACCCATGTGGGAGAACTGAATGAAGCACCTTGATCCCAGCTCCTGGCATCACTCCAGCCCAGAAGGGGCCACTGGAGACACCTGGGGCCTGAAGCAGAAGATGCAAGATTTCTCTGTCTCTCTCACCCTTATTCAAAATAACTCTCTATCTAAAAATAAGGAACAAGAGAAACAAATACATTTCCATTTTAGATTTTAAATTCTAAGTTATTAGGGCGCTCTACTCTCCATGCATGTTATTTGTAGGCTCTGAGAAAAACCACACATTCTGCTTAAAGCTACTATCTAATATTCCAGCAAAATACTAAGGCAAGAATATGAAATTTAAAGCTTTCTAATGGTTGGAACGATGACCTATTTTGCAAACCTTTCTTGTTGGATTATCAAAACTCATGCTGAAACAGGGAGCCTGCTTTCTTACAGGATTGTTAAAAATCAAACAAAAAAGTAAATATAAAACTCCTCACTGAGCCATAAATACACAGCAAATAGTAAGATTACTGTAATACTATTTAGTAAGCAAATCAAATTTTCAAGGAAGATGTGGTTACCATCAGCAAACACTAAGCCTTGGTAGTTAGCAATTTTCAATAACAAGGACCAACCCAACAATTAAAATTATGAGGCTACACCCAAAAGCACGTTTTAAAAATAGAGCACAGGGTCCAGTGTGATAGCCTAGTGAGTGGCTAAATCCTTCCCTTGCATGCAGCAGTTGCTCTGGTTTGTGTCCCAGCTGCTCCGCTTCCCATCCACCTCCCTGCTTGTGGCCTGGAAAAGGAGTAGAGGACAGCCCAAAGCCCTGAGACCCTGCACCCTTGTGGGAGACAAAGAAGAAATTCCTGGCTCCTGGCTTCAGATCAGCTCAGCTTAACTCAGGCCATTGCTGTCACTCAGGAAGTGAACCAGAGGACGCAAGAGTTTTTTCTCTGTATTTCTTTCTCTCTGTATATCTGCCTTTCCAATTGAAAACAAAACAAAACAGAGCACAAGAGATCTACAGCTATGAAGATCTCATCGTAACCTAGGCAAATTACGTAGGCCTTCATTCATTCACTATTACCTCAAAGTTGATATCCTCTTCCCCAAACTCCGAGACTAATAAATGATTCATTACAATTTACGTATGTTCCCAAACTAATCTTTGATGTAATAAACTATTTGGCAGATACATCACTATCCCTTAGAATAAACACAATAAATACATTCTGTAAATAGTTTTATGATTCGATTACTGTTTCTACTTTCTACTTGTTTAACATTATAGCTGGTGATTATACCTGTGATTACAAAGTGAAAGTATGCTATTGCAAAGGTTCAAGAAAAAAAAAAAAGAAGAAAGAAAGGAAGAGGTTTGAGGAATGGAAGGAGAGAGGGAAATACAGGAATCTTAAAATTTTATCTTATGGAATATATATAATCAGTTCTCTTTATATTAATAAATTTTGCTAAAAACAAGAAGTCTCTCAAACCATAAACACTATATCTTCATGACTTACCAGAGAGTAGCATGTGTCCTTCAAAAAGAGATGCAGGGGGAACTCTAGGCTTACAATTTTTCACAGCTTCAGCGATTTCCCTAAGTTACAAAAAATACTATACCCATTAGTCCAGAATAAAATTAATTTAATTAAACTAATTACAGCTATGAAATCAAGCCTATTTACTATAATTAATCAAATAATTATATACCTACTTTCAAATACACAATTACAATTTGCCTTTTCATGGTAATTTAGAAAATTAATCTATCAACTAACTTTTATGTGCCTGTGAGTTGGTTATGCTCTTTCTGCTCCCAAAGACATGAACCTGGAATTGTGTGACAGTTTTTGCAAACACAAACAGCAAACATTCATATCCTTTCCTTTTCAGAACACCTTCTCTCCTGGCTTGCAAATACCCATTTCCAGTATCATCATGGGTTCTTCTCTCTGGGGTGTGCATCTGTGTCCTCTTCTCATAAAGACGTCAATCATACAGAAACAAAATCTACCCATAGGATCTTCTTTGACCTTACTCATCTTCTACTCAAAAGCCTTGCTCTGAGATAACAAGGGTTACAACTTCATCAGTCACATTCTGATACTGAGAGTTATGATTCCAATAAGTGAATTCTAATGGAAAACAATTCTGCACATAGTAAGAGGTATTTAAGGGGGATTATTACCTGATATGAGCTGGTGTTGTACCACAACATCCACCAACTATATTGACCAGGCCATTCATAGCAAAATCCTATATATAGGAAAGATAAAATTTTATGTGCTTTAGATAAAAAAAAACAGAGTAGCTCATATTCTATGAGTTCCTTTATATCATATACAGTGTACTAGGAAATTCATTTTGCTATCTGATGCCATTACAATAATTTACCCACAGGTTAAAATAAATGAATGTGAGTTACATTACATATCTATGTATAAACTGAATATTAACTTCTTAATGTAAATTAAAAATTCTTCAGGTGAAAATTTTGGTTTCTCTATCACATTAGCCTCATTCAAGTATTCTAGCTATCACATGTAGGAGTGGCTACAAATTAGATATCATGGATCTAGAGCTGAATTACAAGCTGTGAGGGACTGGGGGAAGAAAGCCAAACCTGAATAGATACCACTCGGAATTTCCCAGCAACCACCAGGGCCAATCAGGGATAAGATGCTTCTCACACCTGTACTGCCTTAATTCAGAGTACTTAAACTATTTTTTCTGACATATCTGAGGGGGAAATTCTGCTTCTAAATATTTTTACTCCAAAATGCTCTCTTAAAAACCCAAGTGAGAGATATTACTGACCTTAAGGTGTGTGGCCATAATGGCAGGTGTCTCATCATAGTCACCAAAGGTATTTGGGAGACCTGAGAAAAAATATTTCAGCCATTACCGGAAATTACCTTCACAAATATATCCTACATTTTTAAAGGCTACAGGATATAAGTTATCAAATTTTATAGCACATGATTACTTATAAAAATTAATAATATGTGATATTTACATAGTAAGGAGATACCTCACCCCACACCAAAAAAAAAAAAAAAGAAAAGAAAAACCTACTGGGAAAGAATCAGCCTTCACCGTTTGTTTTCCATGTGAAAGCAGAAACGCACTGTTACATGGTGCACAATTCCCTACCTCACTAACTTCTCATAAAGGAAATCCATCTTTGTTACCTAGTAGCTCAGAAGTGGGAGGTAGTACTGCATTAACTTTTGAATTAATGAGCATTTGATATATAATTAAAAGCACAGACAACCAATCTCCTTTCAATAGATTCTCCCAAGTAACACATTAGCTGTAACTACGAAGTTTTTCATTTTTTTAATTATCCCTTTACAGTTATTTTGCTTATGGTGGGAAGTAAAATTTGCTAGTCACTAAAATATGTATATTTGGAGACAGAAGGTATCTGAGGAGTGCTCAAAACATTCACCTAGAAACCTGGCTAGCCTAGAGTGAGTTATTTAATTGAATCTAGTGTCCACAAATATCATCAGCACTTTTGCATATAGTAAACTAGAAGTCTTAGTTTTTCAAGAGGAAAAAAAGCAACAATACACAAGATGTTTTTCTTCCTTTGCTTCTGCTAACAGAGCAGATTCCTCTTCTCTTCTTTGGACTTGTCTCACTAGACACTACCACGTGGTAGGTATGGCTACCAAGGTGACAAACGATTAAACTGTGCTCTTTTTATGTGTCTAGATGCATTTCCTAAAAATATGTCCTATGCTGTACCTTCACACTTAAGAAAACCATTTCTGCAGGTCTCACAGGAAACACTGCTCTAATCCTAAATAATCTTCTTTTGGAAACCTCCATATACCAATATTTGGTCAACCATATACCAACATCTGAAACACAAACTTTTCAAATCCATGTTACCCTATCTATTCTATGGCTTGTGAATATATGCCCCCATGTGTGATCCCCTAGAAACACAAACCTGCATTGGGATAACAGAGTACATAGGCTGTTGTGCATTTTCCAATTGTTTCAATAAAGGGTCTCATTTCAGCTGCACCCAGAGCACAATTTAACCCAATGCTGGAAAAACAAAAGGAAGATAGTACAAGCATATTGTTCATTCAGATTATCTATGCACATAAAAGTCATGACAAGGACAATCATTTAGTCTAGTGGTTGAGATGTCTGCTTAGTATGTTAGAGTTCCATGGTTCCAGAAATGGTTTTAGCTCCTGACAGCACAGATGCTGGAAAGCAAGGCAGAGGGCCCAAGTAACTGGACTCCTTCCACCCAAGTGAAGATTGAGATGCCCCAACTCTGGCTGCAGCCAGCCCCAGCCATTGCAGTCATGTAGGGAGAGCCAATGGATAAGCATGGTGTGTGTGCACATGTGTGATTCAAACACATTTTTTAAAATATTTTAAAAAGTATAACAAAGAAAAATATATCTAATACCAGGCAGATAATAAGTCTAATTCAAGCACCTTCAGCTACTGTCAAAGCTATCTCACTGAGGTACCCTGGTTTCCTAAAATACTGATGATGTGACATTTGATTTGGGTTTTCAAAACGTGAGCTGGGGAGGGCCTGGCACAGTGGGTCAACACGCTAATCCTCTACTTGCAAATGCCAGCATCCCATACAGGCAGCAGTTCATATCCTGGCTGCTCCACATCTAATCAAGCTCCATGTTTATGGCCTGGGAAAGCAGCAGAGGAATGCCCAACAGCTTGGGTCCCTGCACTCAAATGGGAGACTTGGAAGAGGCTCTTGGCTCCTGGCTCTAGAACAGCTCAGCTACAACTATTATGCCTATATGGGGAGAGAACCACTGCATTGAAGACCTTTATCTCTCTGGCTCTGTAAATCTATCTTTAAAATAAAAAATAATAAATCTTTGAAAAAAATGAGTTAGTTCATAAACAAAGAAAGGCAGGATACATAATGGCTCCACTTCGTCCTATTTGCCTGCCTGCTGAACGCTAACTTACTATCTGTACAGTTTCACAGTTACTGGAATAGGTTGGAATCACAATATGTACCACTGTCAGACTGACTTATTTCACTTAGTAATACAGAGCATTGAAGGATCATCTGTTTCTTTTCAGGTCTGATCATGTATTTCTTTTAAGCACTAAATACTGTTGCCTGCATGTACCACAGTTCATATAGTTTCATGTTGAAGGACATCATGGTTACTTTCAAGTTCTAGCAATTAAAACTATCATAAGCATTCATGTGCACACTTCGGTGTGAGTGTAAAATTCTGACTTGTGGTTTACATAAATGACAAGGAATGTAACTATTATTTGGTTTTGTAAGGAACTGTCAAACTCTCTTCCCATTTTGAATTCCCACCACCACCAGTAAACAAGTATAACCATTGCTCCATATCCATAGCAGCATTTCCTGGCATGACTGTTTTGGATTTCAGTCATTCCAATAAGTGTATAATGGTATATCCCATTCCCTAACAACTCAATGTTTAGCATCTATTTTTTTCATATCTTTTTAAAGAAATTATTGTTATTATTTTAAGATTAATTTATTATTTTCTATTGGAAAGTCAGATTTACCGAGAGAGAAAGATCTTTAGTCCACTGGTTCACACCTAAAGTGGCCACAGCAGCCAGAGCTGAGCCGATCCAAAGCCAGAATCAGGAGTTTCCTCAGGGTCTCCCATGAAAGTACAGGATCCCAAGGCTTTGAACCACCCTTGACCGCTTTCCCAGGCACAAGCAGGGAACTGGATGGAAAGCGGAGCAGTCAGCACACAAACCAACACCTATATGGGATTCCCAGCTTGTGCAAGACGAGGACTTTAGCCACTCTGGCTACTGCACCATGCCCAATAAATACATTAAAAAAAAATTTCTGTGTTTTGGATACTAGTTCTTTAAATGGTTTTTAATCTTAGTAAAACCCAGCTTCTCATTTTTTGTTTTCTTTTTATATAATCTACTTTTGGTATTTTATCTTAAAGCTCTCTGCAAAACCTATGATATCCTTTATTTTCTTCTGTATTATCATCCAAAGTTTTAACAATTTTGCAATTTCTACTCAGATCTCTAATCCATTTCATATCTTGCAAACAGTTTACAATGTCTGTGTCTAGATTTACTTTTTTCAAGCATGAATGTCAGTTGTTCCAGCACTTTATTTTAGAAAGATTGCCTTTTCTACACTGGATTGTCTTTGCCTTATTAGGTTTGTGACACTGTTAGGGTTACATTAAAGTATTTCACTTTGGGACTAGCTAAGTAGCTTTCCAGATTTTTTTTTTAAAGATGTGTTTATTTTTAATTGAAAGGCAGATCTTCAGAAAGAAAGGGAAAGAGAGAGCCAATGATTCACTCCCCAAACAGCCACAATGGCTAGAGCTGAGCCAACCAAAGTCAGGAGCCTAGAGCTTCTTTCTGGTCTCCCACAGGGTGCAGTTGCCTTTGGGCCTTCCTCTACTGCTTTCCCAGGTCATAAGCAGGGAGCTGGATGGGAAGTGGACAGCCAGGACACAAACCAGCATCCCTACGGGATGCCAGCACCCTAGGGAGGAGGATCAGCCTGCTGTGCCACTGTTCCAGCCCATGCTTTGTGTTTTTAATTTTTAACTTTCTTTGTTCATTGCTAGAATGTAGGAAAACATAAACTCTTGCATATTCATTTTGTATTTTGAAGCCTTAGTTCCAGATATTTTACTGATTCTTTGAGAAATTCTGCATAAATCATACTGCTTGTGAACAACGAGTTTTATTCTTTATAGTCTATATACCTTATACTTTCCTTCTTCATTACATCAACTAGGATTTTTACTACATGCGAACAAGCAATGAGCATGACTATCTTTGGCTTATTCCTTATCTTAGGGAGAAAGCATCCATCTTCATGTCATGAAGAATGTTAATAGCTGGAAGGTTCCTATGGGTGGTCTTTACTAAGTTCAGGAAATTCCTCTCTATTCCTACTTTGCTGGGTGTTTTATTTTGAATGAATGTTGGGTATTTGTTAAACACAATTTTTATTTTGGAATAATTACTAATTTGCATTAAATTAACAAAGATAATACAGAAGCTTCAAGAATATTTCTCTGCCAAAGATTATCCAGAAAAAGTAGCACCAAGCTGAGAGGAGGGAAATAGGTCTGAACTGAGGGTTTGGGGAAGAAATGCTGCTAGGGTGTTCTGCTAGGGTTGTTCTTGTTTTTCCAATAATTCTCTGCTAAAGCAGTGGAGGATGGCCCAAGCACTTGGGCTCTTACACCCACAAAGAAAACTCAAAAGTTCCTGCCTTCTGGCTTCAGTCTGGCTCAGCCCTGCCCACTAAAGCCATTCAGGAAGGAAATCAACAGACTTTCCTCTCTCTCTTTCTCCCTGTATAACTCTGCTTTCCAAATAAATAACATTTTAAAAATACCTAAAAGAGAAATAAAGATGATGGAAAGACTACTCACAGCTTCTTTGCAAGACTCCCAGGGACTTGATCTATTCTCTGCTGCTTTTCCAGGCCATAAGCAGGCAGCTGGATCAGAGATGGAGCAGCCAGAATTCAAACCAGCACCCATATAGCATGCAGCTTCACAGACACAGGCTTAGGCTGAAACACTACCATGCCAGCCTCAAGCCATGGTAATTTTACACATAAAGAGAGCTTTAGCATTCCCAACTAAAGGCCAGCATTGCTCAGCCCCAGCCTAGGAGTTAAGCTGCTGCCTGTGATGCCAACATGCCACATGGGCACCAGCTCAAGCCCTAAGCTGCTTCACAACCAATGTCCACTAAGGGGGGGGGGGGTCATTCGTGATCTATTAGAAATTAATAATTTTCTTCCCTACTAATGGCCTTGGAAAAGCAACCGAGGCTTGCCCTAGTCCTTAGGCCCTGCACTCACGAGTGAGACCTGGAAGAAACTCCCAAGTGTTCAGACCCCTGCAATCCATCTATATGGGAGACCTACAAGAGACTCCTGACTCCTGCCTACAGCCCAGCCCAGTGGGGAGTGAACCCAGCCCAGCCATCTGGGGAGTGAACCAGCAACTGGAACATGTATTAATTGCTCTCTCTTTCTCATTCTGTGCAGAATAAAGAATTCCCATCAATACCACATTAGGCTGCTTCTAGTTGGTAAAGAAACATGAAGGGGCAAAGCCTTAAAAAGTGCAAAATACTGCCATAAAAATGTAAATGGTAATCGCTTTAAAGTGTTACTTGCAATCTCATACTACAAGGGGCTTGCCTGAAACAGAGAAGCTTACAGGTGCAGGAGTCCTAAGAACTGTACCAGCCCCTCAAATTTCCCCCTTTAGGCAATGACCTTCTTGTCAAGCCTTTGGGGAAAAAGCCTGAGTACTGAAGGGAAAATCAACACAAGGGGCACAACGGAAATATGTGGAACATTTCTCTCTCTGTAGCCATAAGAGATCTCCCAAAAGGAAGGGACCCAGGGAAAGTCTGATCACTCACCAGAGGGCGTCTGCATGAGACACGCTGATGACAAATGCCTCCCCTGTCTGTCCAGAAAGAGTCCGTCCACTTTTATCAACAATTGTCCCTGAAATCTGAATTAACAAAGTAAATGACATTAACAATACTGATATAGGGGCAAATTAAGAATACAGTCACCAAGACAAAATGAACAAGCTTTCTTTGTTCTTTTATGAGGTAGAGAACTACAAGACTCAAAGATAGCACTTTATATTAATGATCAGAATAAGCATAAGGAACTGGAGGTGGGGCAGGAAGAGGCGGCAAGCCATTGGAGAAGAGAAAGGACTAACGCAAATGCAATGCCAAAATCGGGTTTCAGTTTCACAGGTCAAGTCCCAGTGAAGGCACTTTCCCAGAGACGCCTTAGCTTGTCCTAACCTTCTGATGTTAAACATCTAATTTATTACTATCTTCCTTTTTGAAGATCCAATCCCTTCTGACCGAGCAATCTAAGGACTCTCACAAAGGTCTGTGGATTAAGTTAACAAACTTGAGTACTCAGCAGTCAACATGCAAATCCATCCCTCTTTGGGCATTAATGAGACTGAGAATGTAAATTAGTGGGCAGGAAACCAATACAGTTAGGTGCCTGGTGAACAATCTGCCTCTTATTAATAACTTCTAGATTCATTTTCCTTGACTCTCCAGAAATAAATCTGCTAATGATTAGAAGTGGTGGCGGAAGGAAGGCCAATGGAAGAAATTATAGTATATTTTCTAAAAGATATTATCAATATTCCACTATGCAAGATGGGGTGGAAAGGAGTCCTATACTCATAATGACAATTACTAACAAAATACAAATTTTATAATGCAAACATTGTAAAACTTACAAAGATAGGTCGGGGAGTATACTTCTCTTGAAAAAGTTGCTGCAGTGCAAACACGGCTGCCTGTCAGGGAGAAAAGGAAGAACAGCTTCAGTTTTAAGAAACTACCATGTCGGAGGTCGGTCTAACTGCCTGATCAGAATGCCCCCTTTCCCCAGATGTCTTCATAAGATAGACACTGAGCTCTAGGGGAAGAAGCAGCACTTCTTCCCTGTAACACACTCAATCCCCATGTTCTTCTCACAAGTGAAATACTGTACAAAGTAAACCAAAGCAAATGCTGTCAACTAATTTTGCCTCTGAGGAGGTGCAGAACAGCCTATTCTTCCTACCTTCAGTCATAATACCATCAAATAAATAAGCAGTTCTGGCCTTCCTCAGCTTGTCACAGACATGCTAGGTATATGAAACTGTGTCACGACAATAAAAAAAGTGGTCTCTTTTTTTCCCATGATACAGTTTTGTAGGTGATGAGATTCCTCCCTACACCTCCTTTTTCTCCCTCCTTCCCCCCCCCCCACCATTTCTCCCCATATCATCACAGCATCATCGTCCTTTACTAACACTTATAAGTTTAAGGCATTGTAGATATAGGCAAAGACAAAAAATCTAGTATCATACTGTCAAGGTATATTTAGCCGGTTCGGTGGGAATCCTCCTTTTAACATAGCTTTCCTTCCCAAAAAAAACACGTGATCTTACAGTGGGTTGTGAAGGTACTGACCCCACATAACTCTATGCTGATCAGACCACACAATGGATATTTCCTTTTACTCAGTCATATTTTTTGCTTCTAAAATATGCATATTATTGCAATTGATTTTCTAAAACTAGAATTCAACCTGTCATTAATCATCTCTATGATGGAAAATTATAATTAATTAATTATTATTAATACTTAAATTATTATCAGAAAATTATTAAACTAACATGAGAATTTTCTTCTTGGAACTAGATAAATGTATTCTAAAGATTTCATGGAAACAAAAACACTTAAGAATATCCTGAAAAGTCCTAGAAAAAGGGAGGAGAAGTTGTTAACAAAAAGGAACTAGGTCTACTAGTTACTCAGACATACTCTAAAGTTACGGTAAATAGTATGGTGCTAGCACATTAACAAGCAAATCAATAGAAAAAAAAACTAGACTCAAATGCTCTCAAGAATTCAGGATGATGAATACACCAATCCTTTCACTGGGAAACAGGATGTTTAATGGATGGTTAGTAGAAAAACCAGATGATCATAGAGGAAAAAAATGGTAGTCAGATTTCTACCCGATTTTCCATGTTAAAATAAGCCCCAATGTGTCATAAGTGAAACTTCCATAATCTAGGGAATGTATCCCAAAGAGTGTGATTATTGTTGTTGTTGTTTTATTTTCTAAAAGGGAGTGTGTTGTGATTAAGAGAGTCCACCCAACATATAGGAAGTGGGCATCCCACATCAGAGTACCTCACATAGTCTCACCTGCATTTTTTTTAGGATTTACAGAGAGGAGGAAAGACAGAGAAGATCCTCCATCCTATGATTTCTTCCCCAAGTGACCACAATAGCCTGAGCTTAGCCAATCCAAAGTCAGAAGCCAGGAGCCTCTCCTAGGTCTCCCACGCAGGTGCAGGGTCCCAAGGCTTTCAGCCATTCTCAACTGCCTTCCCAGGCCACAAGCAAGGAGCTGGATGGGAAGCAGGGCAGCCGGGATTAGAATCGGTGGCCATATGGGATTCTGGCGTGTTCAAGGAGAAGACTTCAGCTGCTAGACTACAATGCTGGGCCTTCACCTGGACTTCAAATTCAGCTTCCCACTAAGGTATCTGAGAGCCAGCAACCAATAACCTGTGTGCTTGAGTGACTGTCACCTATAGGAGAGACTTGGATGGAGTGCCTAGCTTCTGGCTTTATCCTGGCCCAGCCTTGGATGTTATAGACATTTGGGGAGTAGAGAACAGAAGATCTCTCTTCCTAACCCAACTACCATCCATGTCACTCTGACTTTCAAATAAATAAATGTTAAGAAAAAAAAAAGTATGTCATATGCTCTAAAACTTAAAAGCTCACTATATCCATAATGTCTTATCTCTTATTGTCAAACCCTCGTATTTGATTTTTTAAAATTCATTTTATTTATTTGATGGGTAGCAAGACGGACAGATGCCCATCTGCTGACTCATTCTACAAATGCCAACAACAATTTTTGCTGCCAATCAAAGCCAATTACAGCAAATACTAATTATCCAGGTTCCCCATGTGGGTGGCAGGAAACCAACCATCTCAGCCATCACTGATATCTCTCGGGGTCTAAAACAGCAGGTAGCTGGAGCCAACAGCCCAAGCTGTTATGTCCAAGTACTACAATTTGGAATGTGAACATAACCCCCTGACTATTAGATCAAACAAGACGGATTTTTTTTACATATTTCTTGTTTGTTACTGTCCTTGTTTTCAAAATGTACCTGAATTGATTGTCAAAGTATAATTTAGATGCCAGAGAGTCACAAAAATATCTCTAAAAAGATGCATAAAATATAATCTAATAAATGTGTTAAGAATATGGCAGGGCAGCTATCTAGCTTTTGATGGGGAGTGGCTTCATGAATTCTTATTACAAGAATGTTAACAAATGATTATTCTTAAAAGTTCAAAGTTGGGTTTATCATCTTATTTTCATAAAAATTAAATAACTAAAGACTTGGTAAAATTATAAAGTACTGGGCAAGGGGAAGACCAGTGTTATTCTCCTTGTCTTAGGAATGAGCAGTAATCCTATCAGTACCATACCAAACCCCTTCATTAAAAAAAGACTTCATAAAATCAACTCTAAAAGCTCTTATTTCAGTAAATACACAATATCACCATTTCCCACCACAAACTAGAGGACAGTATTTTCTACTCATTTTTGAAAAAGGCCTGATTTCCTTAGTAAAAGAATCTTTTAAAAGGACCAAAAACCTAATACAATAAAGGGCATAGGCCATAAAACACAGAAAAGGAATTACATACGCCTCAAAAACTAAAGACGCCTAATGTCATTTATAGTAAGAAAACAAAAAAGAAAATCATAGTGAGGTAATAGTTTTCACTTTTTCAACTGGAAGTTTAAAACCTTTAAGAATACATGGTATGAGACAGGGTGTAATAAAATCTACACTAATGTACCCTGATAAAAGTGTAAAGTGTAAATGGAAGGTAAAATTAACAATACTAAAAATCAATAATACATCTGCCCTTTCCCTCAGCAATTTTCATGATATCATCTATCACCTAGAGCACTTGTGCAAAGACATATATATAAAAAAACTTATTACTCCATACACCCATGCACTTTTGCATACACGTAAGCAATACAAATACACACCCACAAACACACATTTCTATCTGCCGAGAATCTCTGTCAGCACCCCAATCTCTAACAGTAGTTCTAGGAAGACAACTGCACATCCAAGGATTAGCAGAAGAAAAGATCCTTACATATCACTGCATATAGTTATACAGCTTTTGAATTTACTAGGTGTATACATTTATTACCTATAAATGTACACACATATATAGTAGCTGTATGATCATACTTAGAAAAATATGTTTTAAAAGTTAAAAAGATAGCTGGCATTTAAATTTTTCGTACTTTGCTTTAAAATATTTAAGAGCAAAATGGAGCAAACACAGGAAGTGTATTTGACTTTATCATCTTCTCCTTGGACTGGGAAACACCTCACAGCCCACATCCCAGCTTTGTGCTGTTCTGTTCTTTCAACTCACCTTGGCATTGGCAGTATCGAAAATAGTTTCAATGAGTAGGATGTCAACCCCACCATCCAGAAGGCCTCTGGCCTGCTCTTGGTATGCTTCAACAAGCTCATCAAATGCTGCAAAAAATCAATCACATTCAGTTCCTCAGTATCTCTGAATGATTCTAGGCCAGTGGAGTTCAGATTTGGCCCCTTGGAACTACTGCTGGTTTACAATGCATACTTAAAGGACAATACTACCTTCCAGAAGTAACCAAATGAAAAAATATGCCTATGATGGAAGATAAACAAGTAAACTGAAAATGAATATTTTTTTAAGATTTTTTTTTATTGGAAAGGCAGAGTACCTTTTTTTTTAAGATTTGTTTATTTTTATTACAAAGTCAGATATACAGAGAGAAGGAGAGTAAAAAAGAAAGATCTTCTGTCCTCTGGTTCAATCCCCAAGTGGCCACAATGGCCCGAAATGAACCGATGCCAAGACCCAGAAGCCTCTTCTGGATCTCCCACATATACGCAGGGTCCAAAGCTTTGAGCCATCTTCTCTACTGCTTTCCCAGGCCACAATCATGGAGCTGGAAGGGAAGTGGATCAGCCAGGATACAAACCAGTGTCCACACTGGATCCCAGGTGTGCAAAGTGCAAATTTAGCCACTAGGCCATCATGCAAGGCCCTGAATATGGATGTTCTTAAATATTTACTATATAATCTCTACTTTCCATATTTGAGTTGAAAAGTGAGTAGGAAGGTGTGGGAATTTCTTGCACTATACCATTTAATCTCAACAACTCGAAAATGGATCAATCGTCATAGATCATCTATATCAGCCACTAAGAGTTGAGTGTGAGAAGCTTGAAACATCACAAGTTGAGTCAGAGACCCTTAATCTCTGTGCCAAGGCTGCAGAGCATTTTGCTCCTGCGCTTACACAAACTCTGTCAGAAAGGAAAACTGCCCAATGGGCAATGTGAATCTCAAACAAAAGGTATTCGATTACTCCCATGTAAAATTTGTATTTATCTATGTCCACCTAAGAAATAATCCTTTCCTCTTATTAGCTTTCAACCAAAACAGGAAAGGAAAAAGGAAATGAAATGCTCAGTTATTAAATCAAGAAGTTCTAAACAACCAATTTATGTTTGCTCTGTTTCTCACCTTACGCTATGTAAGAGTAAAAGAGGTTCACTCCCCATTTCAGGTTTAGACCAAAAGACACTGACCACACATAAGCTCAGCTTAAATAACACTGAGTTAAAGCGTGGTACCACAACATGCAAAAATCTGTCACCAAAAGCCTGCAAATGGTATTTCCTAAAGTTTTCATATACATAAAATCTGTTACCACTACAGTAGCATTATTTATTTAGCTCTAACATTTTAATTCTTGCTTTTATAGTCTCAACTAAAATTTCTGAATTTTTTTTGTCAAGCTTTGAATCAAATAGGCTTACACAAATGCACAAGTTTATAATGCTTGTATCTTTAGACTGCATTCTGATAAATTAATGAGCTACCAAATAATAAACCATGCCTGGTATCTAACTTTTCTCAGCTCCCTAGTTTAAAGCTTAATTTCAGTTGTTTACTTCCAAAGCTGATAAAGGAGATCTGATATACTATGTATATCTGATAGGAAATTAAAACAATAAAGAAGTCTTTTATGAATTTTTACATGGATGAAGTCACAATAATCCTAAAGCATACCCTGTTGTTAATCTCATTTCATACATTTAAAAATTACAGATGTCCAATGCCATTGATTATATATGACAAATACTCACTGATGTTCCTGTAATCTGGTCTTTCCACAGATGGAGACACAGAGAGTGTCTTATTAGTTGGGCCCAGAGCTCCTGCTACAAACCTCTTAATTCCTTTGAGAAAACAAAAACAAATGTGAAATCTCTCAATAGTTCCTTTTTCTTAATGATTTATTTTATATATTCGAAAGTCAGAATAACACAAAGAGAAAGGGGCAAAGAGCTTTCCATCCACAGGGTCATTCTCCTTACAGCTGCCTAGTGTTGAAATAGGCCAGGTCGAACCCAGAATCAGAAACTTCTCCTTGGTCTCCCATGTGGATCTAGGCCACTTGGGCCATCTGCCACTGCTTTCCCAGGAACATTAGCAAGGAGCCAAATAGAAAGTGGAACAGGCATACATGATGCTGGCATTGCAGGCAGCAGCTTTACTGGCTACATCACAACACTGGTCCTGACAGTTACATTTTTTTGTTGTTGTGAATCATTAGACTATGAGATTTTTCTTAGAACACAGATCTACAGTCCTTTATTCACAACTCAGAAATCCAGAAAGTACGTAAAGACCCCAATTTTCTCCCAAAACCATTTGATAATAACACTTGACCTCGACTGAACTAACATTAGGCTATGTGCAGTCCTTAACCTGTGGAGAGAGATGATTCATTAATTTTGCTGATCACATAAACTAATCCAGACCTACTGGGAAACAGGTACATGTTATTATCGGGCATAAAACTGAATTCTTACACAGATGACCTCAAACTGTTTCAGTAAGTAATCCTTCAACCGACACAGCTATATCTGGACAAATTCTTTTTAAAGAAATCTTGAAAGTCCTGAATTTAACAGTGGTTCTGCAAAAGTGCCTCACAAGAGCATTCAACTTAAAATGTTCTCTAGTACTTTTACAGTAGGTTCTTCACTGGGGGGACTTATTAAATTGACTTTAACAACTATAAAAGCTGAAATGGAAGTATGAAGCAGATCAAATTTTATTTTAATAACTCTAATAACCTTCCCTCCAGTTTAGTGTCCAGGTGCTTTTAAAATAACCTGAGATGTTCCATTCATTTATATATAATAGCACAAGCCAGGGATGATACTGTTCATAAGCCTTAGTGATTTCAACCACTCTATAACTGGGCTATGCTTGACAGCTGAACTGGAGAAAACTACCACCTACTTGATAACCCAGTTTCTGAAAAGGTTATAGGTCCAAAACTTTGTCTTCCCCAGAGTGATAATGTGAACACAAGAAAAATGCCTTTTCCTCTCCCTGTACTACCTGGTTAAACATCTTACAACCTACAAATACTAGTCTATGAATTTCTATGGATTTAAGCATTATCACTCAGAAACAAAATTCCAGTAAATTGCTTTAGTCTTCATTAGTATGCTGTGTATTACTTCACTGTAATTTTGCTTTATATCTTTGCTGTTGCCAATAACTTCACATTTCCAAATCTTAAGGGGCTCCATTTATTTCTTCTATTCCAAAGCCAGGGCCCAAGTGTTCTGATGTTCTGATGATAGCCAGCCAGATTATTTCAGTCTCAGCAAGACTGAATCTAACTTGCTTCTGTGTGCTGCAGGGTCTTCAGGACACCAGAAGTATAAAGGACAAAATGCTGAAAGGACATGCTTTCTTTTTTTTTTAATTGAAAAGTCAGACATACAGAGAGGTGAGAGAGAGAGGGGAAGATCTTCCATCTGATGATTCACTCCCCAAGTAACTTCAACGGCCAAAGCTCAGCTGATCCAAAGCCAGGAACCAGGAGCCTCTTTAAGGTCTCCCATGCAGGTACAGGGTTCCCAGGCTTTGGGCCGTCCTCGACTGCTTTCCCAGGCCACAACCAGGGAGCTGGATGGGAAGTGGAGCTGCCAGGATTAGAACCAGTGCCCATATGGGATCCTGGCAATGCAAGGTTAGGACTTCAGCAGCTAGGCTACCACACCAGGCCCAAGGACATGCTTTCTATCTGACTAAGCCAATCATAGCAAGAAAGGTACCTTTAAAAGGAAGAGACTAAAAACCATGACTATAATCAAAAGAGCCTACTGCTACTTTAGTAACTTGATAATATGCTTCCAGAGAAACACATATTACTTTAGCTGTGAATACACAAGTAAACTGGACACCACACTGCAAAGTCAAGTCACAGCCAGCAGCTCTGTGCAAGAGCACAGCTGGAGGCCCGGGCTCCCAGGGTGCATCAATTCACAGACACAATGAGGGCCTGATGACGGGACTGCAGAGGTAACCCATCAACAAGCAAAGTGCCCTGTCTGTGGCATTACTGGTAGCCACAGATCACATAAGGAAAGCCTGCAATAACTCTAGCACCCTGGTGACTGGGGAGAAATGAAAGGATTCACCCATGCAAACAGAAGGAACACTGCTGACCTGTCTGGAGAGTCACCTCCTCGGCAGCTTTCCGGGCCAATCTCGCAGAGCACCTGTTCATCCTGTAGGCCTGAGAACATCAACCACCAACATCAGCTTATGCTTCAGCCCTCCATAAAAACAGTAAGAAACATATGCCGATCTATTACCCAGTTTTACTCACTAAAACAAGGGGGGGAAAAAGAATTAATCTGAAATCAGCTGCTGCAGTCTTCAAAGGCAGGAAGGAAAGACCAAAATTTTGGGAAAGCACTTTTAGACTCTTCTCTCTCACCATAGTGAGCTGAGGTGATCAAGAAGAAAGCAGAATAATGCAGAAAAAATGAGCAGGAGACCCGAGCTCTAAGACTGGCTCTGTCATTGCCTTCCTGGGCAGCTCCACCAACAGTTCCTCCAGGACTTCATTTCCTCCCCTGTATAACGGCTGAAATCAGTGATTCTCAACTTTCTGTAACTTAGGAACCTTTCCCCAATTTGATAAAGAAACCTCTCACTGGAACAAATATTGTCTTGAATTGAAGGAAGCTCATGGACCTTTGAAAAATCTTTGACAGACTAGATCAAAGCTCCTGGACTTGTGGTCTTCACAAGCCCTTCCAACCCTATGTGCCTTGGATCCTCCTGTCAGGGATCTAACAAATGAGAACCCCTTAAATGGGGAGAAGGCAAATCTACACCGCTGCCTACTTTTAAAGTGTAATTATTTTAACTGTACATACTTCTTGGCTACAGTGTGACAATTCATTACATGTATTTAATGTGTGATTAAATCAGGGTAGATACCAGTATTATTCCCTTGAGCTTTTCTTTAAAAAAACTAACACTTTATAATTATAATTATCTATGTATGTGATGTTCCAATGTATAAAATATGTACTGATACTGTCAAGGTAATTAATGTTTCTTTGCGTTCTCATTACTTGTGTTTGAAGTCTTCAAGATCCTCTCTTCTATTTCCTTAGAAAATATGTAACAGGTCACTGTGAACCGCAGTCATGCCACTGTGCTGACTCAGTGCCCCTCATAGCAACTTCCTCTGGTCTTGATTTCCTTCACTGCACAATGGTTAGAATCAGGGATTTTGAACATTTCATAGATTACTATCCTCCCAAAAACTTGATTAAGTGCCACAAGTAACAGTATTGCAAGTAGACGTCCTTGTCTTGTTTCAGATCCTAGAAGAAATTTCAACTTTTTCCCATTCAGTATAATACTGACCTGTCACATACAGCTTTATTATTTTGGAGTGCATTATTTTTTTTAATATTTATTTGCTTATTTGAGATGCACAGTTAGGGAGAAAGAGAGAGAGAGAGATACAGGGAGACACAAAGAGAGAAACGTCTTCAAATTGCTAGAAGTAAATCTGCCGGTTTACTCTCCAAACAGCTAGGGCTATGCCAAGCCAAAGTCAGAAGCTCAGAATTTGCAGGGCCCAAGCACCTGAGCCATCTTCTGCTGCTGTCCCAGGTGCATCAGCAAGGAGCTGAACCAAGCAGAGCTGCAAGGACTTGAACTGGCAACACTCAAATGGGATGCGGCACTGCAGGCGGTGGCTTCACTCATTACACTACTGCATGAGGGAAATTTCTTTCTTCTTTTCTTTTTTTTTTAATAAGGATTTTCTAATTTTGCTTGAAATCAGAATAATGGAGAAAGACAGATAAGGAATGAGAGGAAGATCTTCTACCCACTGGTTCACTTCCCAAATAGCCACACAGCCATAGCTGAGCCAATCTGAAGCCAGGGCCAAGAGATTCTTCTGAATCTCCCGCATGGATACAATGGCCCAAAGACTTGAGCCCTCCTCTGCTGTTTTGCCCAGTCATAAGCAGAGAACTACACTGGAAGTGGAATAGCCAGGATATAAACTGGTGCCCATGTGGATGCCAGCAACACAATGCAGGCAGAATGCTATCCCACCGTACCAACCCCAGGACACTGTTTTTATACCTAATTTGTTCAGTTGTTATAATGAAGATCCTATAGATTGTGTTCTTCATTATGTTGATGTGACTTACTGCATTTATTGATTTACAAATGTTTAACCGTTCTTGCTTACCTTGGATAAATTCCACTCAATCATGGTATATGAACTTTATGTGCTGCTAGATTTGCTATTATTTCATCAAGAAATTTTGCCTCTGTGTTCATCAAAGTATTGATTTTCTGTCTTCTTTTATTGTTATTATATCTTTAATTTTGTTCTACTGGTATACAGCTATGACCATTATTTACATATCAAGTACCTGTAGTTTTTTTGCTATTGTGTCTTTGGTTCTGTTTAACCAAAACACAGTCCTAGCCAGTATTTACATATCATAGATATAAGCAGTTACAAGAGACTGCATACGTAGTTAAGAAACCCTAAGGTATTTACTCCCAGTCCTTTAAAGCAACTGCTGCCTTGAAGTATTGTGGAAGTAACTAAAACACAACTTTATTTTCTTTCGATAACTCAAGAAACACCTGATCTCACAAGATCCCAATAATATGAGAGAAACCAGTGTACAGTACTCAGAAAATTTACAAGGAAACAGATGCAGGTTTGTGTTAAAATCCAACACAGAAACAGGGCCTTTAGTGTCTATAAGGTATTTCTACATTTTACAGTTTGGGTCCAGTACAATGGATCAAATGGCTAAATCTCTGCCTCCCAAGCATTGGCATCCCATTGGGGTGCTGGTTCATGTGCTGAAAATCCAGCTCCCTGCTTGTGACCTGGGAAAGCAGCTCAGGACATCCCAAAGCCTTGGGACCCTGCACCCACGTGGGAGACCTAGAAGTTCCTGGCTCCTGGCTTTGGATCAGCTCAGCTCCAGCCACTGTGGCCATTTGGCCAGCAGAGAGATGATCTTTCTGTCTCTCCTCTCTGTATATCTATATTTCCAATAAAAATAAATACATCTTTATTAAAAATTTTACAAAATTTTAATATCATGTTGACAAAGCATCATGTTGACTAAGAGGAAATCATATCTGCCACCCATATCCATTAGGATAGTTATTGTCAAAACAGAAAATAACAAGCAGTGTATTCGAATTCTGTATACTGTTGGTGGGATTTGCAATAGTACAGCTGCTGCAAAAGAAAAAAAAGCGTGATAGTCTCTCAAAAACTATAAATAAAAGTATATGACTTAACAATTCTATTTGTGGGCCCGGCGGCGTGGCCTTGCGGCTAAAATCCTTGCCTTGCACATGCCGGGATCCCATATGGGCACCAGTTCTAATCCCGACAGCTCCACTTCCTATCCAGCTCCCTGCTTGTGGCCTGGGAAAGCAGTCGAGGATGGCCCAAAGCCTTGGGACCATGTACCCACATGGGAGACCTGGAGAAGGTTCCTGGTTCCCGGCTTCGGATCCGTGCAGCACCAGCTGTTGCACTCACTTTGGGAGTGAATCATCAGACGGAAGATCTTCCTCTCTGTTTCTCCTCCTCTCTGTATATCTGACTTTGTAATAAAAAATAAATCTTTAAAAAAAATTCAATTTGTGTGTGTGTGTGCAAAAAAACTGAAAGCAAGGACTCAAGCAGACACCTGCATACACATATTTATAGTAGTACCATCGTTTACATTAATAAATGATCAGAGGCAAAACAAATGTCTACTGGCAAAAATAGATACAAAAAGAAAATGTGGTATGCATGTATAGCGGAACATTATTCAGTCTTCAAAAAGGAAATTCTGATATATACTACAAAATGGATAAATCATAACATTATTCTAAGTAAAATAAACCAGATAAAAAGACAAATGCACATGATCAAATTATATGTAGTACAAAGACATTGAAATTCATAGAAACCAGGCCAACATGATGTTATTGTAAAGGCTCAGCCTGTGGCACCAACATCCCATTTGGGCATCGGTTCAAGTCCTGGCTTATCCACTTCTCATCCAGCTCCCTACTTATAGCCTAGGAAAGAAGCAGAAGATGATTCAAGTTTTTGGGCCCTCACACCCACGTGGTTGACCCAAAATAAGCTCTTGGCTCCTGGCTTCAGACTAGCTCAGCTCCAGCCTTTGCAGCCATTCAGGGAATGAACCAACAGATGGAAGACCAACCTCTCCATCTTTCTCCTTCTCTCTATGACTCTGCTTTCAAATAAAAACAAAATAAGTCTTAAAGAGACAGAAGTTAGAATGGTGGTTGCCAAGGATAGTGAACTTGAGAAAAAGGGGAGTCACTGTTCAACGTATTTAAAGTTGCTGTTTGGACTCCCCTGGTGGGCTGCAGCTCTCACTGGTGAGCATGACAGTAAGTCTTTGGGGCAGACCAGGCTGGACATGACAGCAATGCCATCAGCATACATGTGAGCTGGGTCTAGAGGTGGGGCAGACTGATCTAAGCCACAACACCCATGGGTGTGTCAAGAGCCACGTGGCACACAGGATGGAGCAGGCTAAACTGTAGCACATGTCAGCACATGCAAAAACCAGGAATGAGGGTGAACCTGGTGGGGAAATGTCCCCTGGTCCAGGTCGCCCAGACTTGGTTATGGAAACGTGCTAATGCGTGTGAAGACTAGACTGTGGTGGGTAGGCCAGGCCACAGTATCCACTAGTTCACATGAGATGGGGTGTGGGGACAGATCTAACTAGGCAGTGCACCCACCAGTATGTGCATTGGTTGGTGCAGGACCTCACCTGACCCTGCACTGCCTGATGCACACAAGACTCAAGTTAGAAGTCATCCCAGGTGAGGTGTCTTGGGGCACTCCACAACTAGATCACTGAACTCAATCCTGGCTACAGAGAAAATTACAAGATTTGTGATATGACTTTGGAATGCATGTATCAGTTCTGGGCCATCCTCGGTTGCCCATGCAACCAAGTAAACATGTAGTGAACAGTATGCCCCTATGTACTCAGGGGACATGACAGATAGCTCATCTAGTGCAGCAGAGGACATCAAATGCCACATCCTAGGACAGAATACAAGCAGGACAGACAGCTCTCCTGGCAAGCTTTGCAGCAAGTGTCTGGGACTGTGAAGGCACTAAGGTAAACACTGTCAACCAACAGACTTTGACAAGATTTTCCCAACCCTGGAGCAACGAAACTGACGTCTCAGAACTACCAAATGCATTTATTTTTTTTTTTTTAATTGTTGCTTACATTGTATTATGTAGTACAGTTTTATAGGCGCTGGGGATTCTCCCCACCCCTCCCATACCCCTCCCCCCATGGTGGATTCCTCCACCTTGTTCCAAATGCATTTAGGTAGTACCCTCAGAATATTTTTTCCCACATCAAGGTCTTTAAGGCATCATTGAATGACACAGTTTTGATAGCAATGCGTGATACTCTCTCCTCCTCCCACCCACAGATAAGAAAAAAAACAAAATATTTATCCCACCCATCTTCTTCCACCCTACTCTCCACACGCTGATGTGAAGACCACATAGGCAGGCATTCCCCAACTGTGTAAACAATATTAACAAAATAAAAACTTCAAAAATAAAGTTTCCGTTTTACAAATGGATGACAGTGATGATAGCAAAACAACGTAATGTCACTGAACTCTACTTAAAAATAATTGAGAAAATAAATATTACATGTATTTTACTCGAATTCAAAACAATCTGCCAGCCAATATTTTAATAGGCCTCAGAAAACCATGTACTCAGCCAAAGATCATGTCTTTAGCAAGTAACTGTATAATAAGTATTTTTATTTGATTACTTCTTGCCCATAGAAGTAGCCAGTTAGGAAATAAATGACCTGTTCATAAGAAAGAATTAAAACTATTCTCCCTGTCTCAATAACAACAAAATAAACAAAACAAAAATAAAGATAATGAGGTATTAGTTTGCCTCTGCAGCTCCAGGTGGTTTTCTTACTGGCCATTACCAATGCAGTAAATGCTCACAAACTTCTTACATATGAAGGAAAACGTAATTCTTACCAAATGTTCAAGGCCATAGTCAGCTTGGGCAATGCTAGTGCTGCTGAAAGTATTTGTCTCAATAATATCTGCTCCAGCCAGCAAGTAATCCTACAACATGGAATGGAAAAAGTCAACTTTTAAAGCAGCAAGAGAAGCACAAGGTATTCCACAGAAAGACATGGGGTTAATAGCAGCACAGAACCTGAATTCAGGCACAGTTAACACAACTAAGGTTTTACACACTGCGTCAAGTTCCCTAAAGTGAGCCTCAACCTCCATATGTGTAAGTATGTACAAACAGGCAGGCTGCTCAAGATGACACAAGTGTCTGCCATTTCAGGGACATGCAACAACATTACTCCTGGGCCCCTAGCCTGTCAGTATGCACACCGAGAAGTATAATACCTCTAACGTCATGAATCCTGAGCACATCTTTTTCACCCCCCAATGATCCAACCTTCACTTACCGGACCTTTACAAAACCCTGGAACTTCTGTGCCCTGCTGTTAGAAATCAGTTTTCCTGGTTTCACTCTAGATGCACTACCTGATGAATTGATTTAATCTCAATCTGACTCTCTTGATTTAATAATTGCGAATAAACACAAGTGTCCCTAAGCTGATGAACAATGCTTGCATAAGAATTAGGAAATGAAAAACTATACATATATATATATTTTTAAAATAAATTGTAAGTCACAAACATTCCAAATACCTTTTAACAGGGAAAAACATATCTATTTTGTTACATGTCACTGACAGTAAAATATATACATTTATATATGCTGATGCTGGAAGATAATGAATTAAAAATAAAATAGAAAAAATGGAAAGCATGAAATCTTTGAGTTTATACATTAACAGTTCTACAAGCTTTCTACCCACACAAGTGTACACACTCACAGAAACATCTTTAAAAGGATCTGGGAAGACTGTACTAACTAGTAATAGTAGTTACCTCTGGCAAAGAAAATAGCAATTTGGAGTGGCAGTCAAATCAGAATTTATTCTTCTTTATGGGCTTTTTTTAAAGACATATTTATTTTTGCTGGAAAGGCAGATATACAGAAGGAGATACAGAGAAGAAAATCTTTCATCTCCTGGTTCACTCTCCACGTGACCATAATGGCCAGAGCTCAGCCAATCTGAAGCCAGGAGCCAGGAACCTCCTCCAGGTCTCCCATGCAGGTTCAGGGTTACAAGGCTTTGGGCCGTCCTCAACTGCTTTCCCAGGCCACAAGCAGGGAGCTGGATGGGAAGTGGAACAGCCAGAACATGAACTGGCACCCATATGAGATTCTGGTGCACATAAGGCAATGATTTAGCCACTAGGCTATCACACTGGGCACTATGGGTTTGTTTTTTACAAATGAATTAATCAAAATGTAATATTCTTTAAAAAAAAAACATTAAAAACAATTCTAATACCAAGGAATAAGCTGTTAAGTGAATGGTGACATACAGATACACAGATATGTAGATACATTTACAATTTACTAAAATCACAAAGCCATGTTTCAGATTATTCAATGCTAAAATAAGCTTAAAAATACAAATCACAAAACAATAAAAGATACTTTAAAAAATTGGTGGAAAATGCTTACTATAATGGATTTTTTAAAAAAATTTTGAACCCAAGATAACTTTTTTTTTAATTTCACCAACATAGGAAGCTCAAATGCAGTTCTGGGCTACCAATTTCCACTTCCTTCAGCCATGGCTATTCAAGTAACTAGAAAGTGCTTTTCAAATAATTTTTTAAAAAATACAAAGTATAGAAAATCAGAACAAAATATAAATTAAATAATGTTAACAATGTGAATGACAGTTATGTCTTAGCATTTTTTGACAGATGAGAGGTGGCTTCCTGTGTCAGAGATGGCTTCTTCTGTGTTCTCACATGGTGGGTGGGCTTCCTTTATAAGGGCCTCTCATAATACACCTGATACTGGTACTGGGTGAAAAGGAATCTTGGGAAACACAGGCACTGACATCATAGCAGCATCCCTTTGTTAGTGCTTGAACGAAAATTGGCACCCCAAACTCATGCAGACATTTAAATTCCAAAATCTGGGGATGGGGCCATGGCACAGTAAGTTAAGCCTCCACCTGTGGCACTGGCATCCCATCTGGATGCCGGTTCAAGTCCTGGCTGCTCCACCTCCCTATGTGCCTCAGAAAGCAGTAAAGGATGGCCTAAGTCCTTGCGCCCCTATACCCACATAGAGACCCAGAAGAAGCTCCAGGATGCTAGTGGCAGCATATTGAGCCATTTGGAGAGTGCACCAGCTAATGGAAGATGTGTGTGTGTGGGTGTATGTGGGTGTGTGTGTGTCCAAATCTGACTTCCAAATAAAAATAAATTAATCTTTTTAAAATAATTTTAAAATAATAATTCCAAAATCTTACATTACAGGTCTATGGATTAAATTAATGGTTGAAAGATCATGATGGAGACTTGATCTTACTATGGAGCCTGAAAGAGGGACCCTGGGAAAGTGATGGGCTTGTATTAGGTTATTAGGGTAGAGCCCAAGCCCAAAACCCAAATCATGCTATGTGCCTGCTGCGTCTCTCTACTCCCTGGTTCCTCATGTGAAACCATCCACATGTGCTCCCCGGACCAGCTGAACTAATGGGGACACCCAATCCTGGCTTGTGACGTTCTAATCAAATTGGAAGCTGAAATGAACCTTCTTCCTTCCACAAAGAGCTGACTAACACATCTTTCCACATCCTGAGTTCTCCATTTGCTCTCCACAGTGAGAGGACACAAGAGAAAATGGCTGTCTGTAAACCAGGAAGCAGGCCTTCACCAGACACCACGCCTGCTGGGTCTTTTTCCTTCAAAAACAGTGAGAAATAAATGTCTGCTGTTTAAGCCGCTCAATCTGTGGTAATGTTTCATGGGAGCCTGAGCCAAGACACCACCTTTTAATAGTTCTTCATAAGGCTATCTCAGTGACTTAAATAAGGTACTACGTGTAAAATATATTAAATTTTAAATTAAAATATTAAATTTTTTGTTCTTCACTGAAGTTTAAAACACCTTAAGGTCAGAAAAGCCAAATGCTCACTAGAAAACATAATTTCTATTTGGTGCCTAAGAGCTGCTTTCTGAATAAATCCCTCTTTCTTCTAGAAACACCTTGGACACGGGAATAACCTGAATGTTAAGAATACTTTACCTTATGGATTTGGTAAATGATATCAGGCTGAGTTATACTTAAAATATCATTGTTGCCTTTCAGGGACCTGGCATGATCTTTAAACTCCTCATCTCGGAAGTGTTCCTCACTGAGCTTGTACCGCTGAATCATGGTCCCCATCCCTCCATCCAGCACCATAATCCTCTTCTGCAGAATGGCTTCAATATCATCCCGTACAGTATTCTTCATACCTGCTGTAAAAAAAGTGAGTGCTTAATAAAGCAACATGAGAAAGCTTTGTGGTGGGGAGGGGTTTTAGAGCAACACAGTCATTGACAATAGGGAGTAAGTGGATAAAAGATACATTACAAAAAGGCCTCCCCAAAATGGTGTGCATTAAGTACTGACAGTACCTAATACAACAAAACATGTACACGGCACAAAATCACTGATGAAGCACAAACCAGAGTGAAAGCAGACTGTGGCTATTCCTATTTCAGAGATGATAAAAACAAGGGAGCAATGAGCAAAATAACAAAGATTTTGAGATTCTTTTTCGTTAACTATTCCCTTAAAAGAAGAATTTAACAGATACCTAAAAACCATCAGCAATTCCAAACAATCATTGAAAGTGTCAGATTTGGCTATCTCCTTCACCAACTGTCAGGGATAACAAGAGCCAGAAAGCAGGGTTAACTCACTTCTGCTCCATCTGTGAAGTAGTAACCACTTTGAGTAACACCCTCAAACTTATCAGTTCTCCTCCTGCTCCTTGACTTCTAATTCTTGGTCCCCTGCTCCTTTACTTCTAATTCTTGGTCCTAAAAAGGCCCCACTCCAGATCTATTCTCTGGGTTCCGGGAACTATGGAAAGCAAAACACCTTGTTGACTGCAGTCACTGAAAATTCACAATGTTGAGCCTCTTTAGGTTTTCTTGACTGCCCTGAACACCTCCAAACCAAACCCTTGACTGTCTTAAACATCTTTATTTTTTTAAAGATTTATTTTTTTTATTTTTATTGGAAAGGCGATTATACAGAGAGCAGAGACAGAGGAAGATCTTCTGTCCAATGATTCACTCCCCAAGTGAGCCACAACGGCCGATACTATGCCGATCCGAAGCCAGGAGCCTCTTCCGGGAGCCACGCGAGTGCAGGGTCCCAAAGCTTTGGGCCGTCCTCGACTGCTTTCCCGGGCCACAGGCAGGGAGCTGGAAGGGAAGAGGGGCTGCTGGGATAGAACCGGTGCCCATATGGGATCCCGGGCATGCAAGGCAAGGACTTTAACCACTGTGCCACCGCGCCGGGCCCTACTGTCCTAAACATCTTAAATAACCTCTTTAATAATAACATTTTAAATAACCAAATCCTTCTCTTCCTTTTCATTCTGCAAGTGATTTAGCCTAATCCTGTAAAGAAATCTTCCGTTGGGAGCTCCCCAGAATCATCCCACCTTAATCTCAAAATGCTTTTGCAGCTCAGCCCACTCTTACCCTCTGCTTAGGGGAGAACACATGATCACCACCAGCCCAGCTCCCATTCCTCCCTCACCTCCCCCACTCCAGTTATTACACCACAGCACCTCTGATTCCTTATCTTCCTAATGTAGTGCCCTACTCCACCACTACCACTAATTTGTAATCCATAAAAGCTTAATTTCCAGAACACCTGACCCTTAAATACAGATTTCAAAGGAACAAACTTGCTAAATTCCTTGTCTGATCTTCCTACTTCCATGAACAGTAAAATCTTTCCCTGAAGTCTAATCTTAAAATCTCAATATTATCTCACTCCTTTACTCTCCCTCATAACCAACATCCACCCACATTCCAAGCCTTACACATTTTGCCATCAAAATGCCACATTCACACTGGACCCACTTTCTAACCTTAGTGTAAGGCCCTTTCTTCAGGCACTCACTACACATGACAATTTTCAGAGGCCCTCTTAAAGCTTCAGGGCGCAATTAATATCATACAAGTAAGCTATCAAATGTCCTACCTTTGATAAGATATCACTACCACAGCTGATCACCCTGTGTTCCAAACCCACCTAATGCACCACTATCAGATTACTCTTGACAGAAACAAATTTAACACCTTCAACAGCTCCCAACTGCCTACCAAAGTCAATACAAGTTACTCAAAACAAATCTCAATAACATCAATCTGTCAACATCTACTGCATGAGAAGTACAAAGTTCACTGTGGAATACTATACATAACCAGATATACCACAGCTGGCTCTAATGAATGTTCAGCCCAATAGCATTGAATATCCCATTCTCTCTCTGACTTTCAAAATAAATATTTTTTAAAAAGAGGTACCCAAATCTCAAAGTACCTGGGTTCCATACACAAGTCTGCCTCCTAACTCTAGCTTCTCCCAGTGTAAACCTGAGAGACAGTACTGATGGCTCAAGCAATTCAATGCTTGCCACACCTACTTGGGAGACCTGGATTGAGTTCCAAACTCCCGGCGTTAGCCTGCTTTAGCCCCAGTTATCTCAGGCTTTTTAATAGTGAAGCAGCAGATGGGAGGGACTACTTTCTCTGTCTCTATCTGTGTGGCTGGCGCTCTCTCTCTCTCTCTCTCTCTCTCTCTCTCTGTGTGTGTGTGTGTGTGTGAGAGAGAGAGAGAGAGAGAGAGAGAGTGTCTGCCTCTCAAATAAATAAAATAAAAAGCTGGAAATGGTTAACTACCAAAATAACACTTATATAAATTAAAGATACTTACACAGACTAGAGGCTGCAAGAAAACATAGGTATGCAGACATTTGTAAAATAGGCTGTCTGAGGAAGCAAGAAAATCATGAATGGGAAATATAAATATAAAAGAACATACAAATAAAAATATGCATAGGAATTGTGTGGATTGAATATAAAACTCCACTACAACTGAGGTCCTTAAAAATCCATTACTTCTACATTGTCCTTGTGTTTTTTCTCCTTTTTGGAAATCAAGAAGGCTTCCTCCAGGAGACTTGTGGAATCACGTGCTCAGTGCGCTCATGTGTCTATATTCTCTCAGCTTTTCCAGTAGGGCGCTATCTTTTACTGGCTTTTAGTTACCATCAGAGGAAATCGCTTTGAAAGAATGGGCACTCACTGAAATACTGTTTTTCCATGTAGAACATTCAAAAAAGACTACACTTATCTTGTTCAGAGCACTGGGTCTATGACATTTTCTCTGGTTGGAATGAATCTAGCCAACATACTTTGCTGAACTTGCTCCTTGTCATTAGCACTTAATTTTCTGGTGAATATTTTGATTCACAATAAGTGTTGCAAAAAATAAACAGGTATGGGTGTTTGGCCCAGCAGTCAAGATGTCTGCATCCCATACTGGAGTACCTAAGCTGCACACCCAGCACCTGACTCCAGCTGCCGGCTAATTCAGGCCCAAGGAGGTAGAGTGCCGCTCAAGTAACTGGGTTCTGGCCACCACCACGGGAGTCCTGCGTTGAGTTTCAAGCTTCCTGCTTCAGGCCCAGCCACTGCAGACTCATGGAGAGTGAACCTCCTGGAGGACCAGGGTAGATGTGGGACGAACTAGGCTAGGTCTCAGCCCCTACTGGGCCATGTGTGAGCTGTATGTGGGTATGGACAAGCTGTGGCTGGGCTGAAACATCCAACAGCAAGAACCAGACTGGGTTGAAGGCCAGTCAGGAAAAGCCACTGTTCCTGCTAGGAAAGGAGGTGAACTGAGTAGGTCTGACTCATAGACCCACTGGTACCTGCAAAATCTGGCATTGGGAGAGGTTCTGATGGAGGTGCCTGGGCAACTCCTCTGGCAGGACACAGTCCCTGCAGGTAAGCGCAAGAAGCATGCTAGGAAACAGCCCAGAACAGGCCATGGAAAGGTTCCCACTGGCATACATTTGGCATGGGTCAGGGGCAGACCAGGCTCAATCAATTCACATGATTCACTGGCAAATCCAAGCACCAGAATAGAGTGTGGATCGGCCCAGGATCAGTTGAGACAAAAACCAGTGCACATTACGGAATGCCAAGGTGAGGTTCACTGTACTGGATATGACCACAGCACCCAACTAGTACATGCGTGAGAACCAGGAAGGGAGGGGCAGAGCTGGTAGGGGAATAAGGGAGGGTTTCCCTGCTGGAGAGCTACTCCCACTGGGGAGTGTGAGCTGGGATGAGTGCAGACCAGACTAAGCAGGGCTACAACACCTGTGGGCCTCATGTGACCTACATCAGGGAAAAGCCAGGCTGGGCTGATTGTTCCTATTGGTGCAGACAAAAATTAGAGTGGGTGAGAGTTGCTTGGGCTTAGCTGCAGCATCAGCTGGCAGAAGCTGGCACTGGGGGCTAATTCTGTCAAGTCAAACCACAAAACCACCTGAAGAGTGCATAATCTGGAAGCGGGAGAGGCCTAGGAGGGAAATAGTGGGCTCCTCCCTCGGGTTACCACTACCATGGGAGGGCACAAAAACTAGGATGGGGGCTGGGGTGGCTAGACAGAGAGGCACTGAACAACATCCATGAGGGCTAGATAGTTGAGCTGGTTAGATAGAATCAAGCTTCAATACCCATTGACATGTACAAGAGCCAAATGGGATGTGGGACAGACTGGACTAGTCTGCTACACATACTGGCAAACCAGGGTAGGGGTTGGGCCTGGTGGGGGTTATTGTGGGTTGCTTTGACTAGGTTGCAGCTCCCACTGGCTTATTTGAGGGCTGAGTATATGCTGGGCAGAACCAGGCTGAACTGCAACACCCATTGTTCCAGTGGAAGACAGGGCTGAAAACAGAACCAACCCAGCAATTGCAACCACCAGCTGATTGGGGCAATGGACTGTGCTGGGCCCTGTGTTTGCTAGTACATACAAGAATCTGGTCTGGGAATATCTCAGACAAAGTCTCTTTGGGGATCTCCCCAATCGATATACTGGACTCAGAACCCTAACCAAGAAAAGACAGAAGACAGAACAAGTCAATCAACCACCTCAGCCATATGTTGGCAGTGAAAAACTAGGCAAATGGAGACTCTAAGATGGACTATGTCAATCACTGGATTTTTCAACGACCTCATCGTGCTCAGAGTGGCAAAATTGGCAGTGAATCATAACTGGTGAACTATCAAAACCACTTGAGCAAGTATCTCAGAGCATGCCGCCCATCAGGGACCTGGGGTGTGTGGGAAACTGGGTGGGGCTTCTCTCTTAATATCCACCTTTCCCTCAGATACATGAAAGAAACAATGTGGAAATAATAGTCTTACCCCTTCCTTATAGCCCTTGACCCTTTTTTCCCTAATTAACTATGTAAAGATTGTCAAAAAATAAAATTTTTAAAAGTTACTCATAAAAACTTCATGACACACACAAAAAAATTTATTTGCTATCCCATCAGCCTTCTGCAAGGGAACACAAACATGTTGTCTAAGATTAAGAACATTCAGCCTTAAAACCCAACCTACAGATTCAAGAATTCCCAGTTCATTTACAACTCCATTAAGGGGCCAACACCATAGCACGGGTTTTAAGCCACATCCTGCGATGGCAGCATCCCATATTGAAGCCAGTCCCTGCCCTGGCTGCTCCACTGCCAATCAAGCTCCCTGATTATCTGTCTAGGAAAGCAGAAGAATGGCCCAAGTGACTGGGGCCCTACACCCACTTTAGAGTCCTGGAAGAAGCTCTGTGCTCCTGGCTTGAGCTTGGTCCAGCCCTGGCCATTATGGTTACTTATCAGTGAGCCAGCTGATGTACTCACTAACAACACACCAGCAACCAGGGTCAGGCTGAAGCCAGCGGCCAGCAACTCCATCCAGACCTTCTGGGTGAGTGGCACAAATCCAAGTACCTGAACCAGAACCTGCTGCCTCTCCGGGTGCACATCAGCAGAGCTGGAACAGCAGCAGGGGCAGAACTAGATCCCAGGCACTCCAGTATGGGTTGCAGTTGGCCAAGCAATGGTTTAATCTGCTGCACTACAATACAAGCACCAACATCTCCTTCTTCTATGATGACTCTTGTGAGGATAAAGCTTTCAAAGAACAATGATGTGATTCTCAATCACAGTTCTACTAGTTTCAAGACTGATTCTAGCAGTCTCACATATCAGGACTCCAGAAACCTCAGGGGTCACCAATCAACCTCTGACATATTCGGGATTTAAATTTACCTAGACACAAACAACAGATGTCTTTCATTTTCTCTATTCAAAGTGTCCTAAATATTCAGAGGCATTTTACTGCTGAAAGAAATACCTAGAATCAGGGTCAGTGCGATGCTTCAACTGGCTAATCCTCCCCCTGCAAGCAACAGCATCCCATACAGGCACCGGTTCATGTCCCAGCTGCTCCATTTCCCATTCAGTTCCCTACCTATTGTCTGGGAAAGCAGTAAATTATGGCCCACAGCCTTGAGATCCTGCACCTGCAAGGGAGACTCAGAAGAAGGCCCTGGCTTTGGATCCATCTGGGGAGGAAACCACCAGATGGAAGATTCCTCTATCTCTCTCTGTAAATCAGCCTTTCCCATAGAAATAAATAAATCCTCCTCCAAGAGGAACCACACTTGATTTTTTTTTTTTAAAGTTCATCTATGTTGATGTACTTGAAAGGCAGGTTCACTCCCAGGATGAGCCGAGTGAGCTGTCTCCCAGAGAGGGGACCTCTCCCTCCGCCACAGGGCCGTCACTGCCCCACCTGCGCAGACCCTCACGGGTCTGATAGCATTTGTGTGTTTGTGCATAAGTCATAATCAGGATTTGACGTTATCAAGGAGCAGAGCTCATTATAAAAATTAAATTATTCCATTCTTAGCTAACTTTCACTTTCTAGAGTTGATCCCAGAACCATCAACATCAGATCATCCCGATCTACCGGACATCTGCAGCTAGGGACTGGTAACAATGATTTTAAGCACACTGAAGTGTGTGTATGCACAAAAAATCAAGGTTCCGGACAATTTTAAAATAGTTGTCTTGGTTTCCCTATCTGTCTCTCACCACTTGAACTTTTTTCAGTAGAAAGTATCCTGCAAACGTTTACGGAATTAAAAAAAAAAAAAAGTTACATCAGGTAAAAACCTGCATATCTCCTGCTGGAATATTTCACACAGAACTGCAATACTTATTGACTTTGACGTCACCTCTGTGCTTCCAGGGAACGGGGAGCGGGATGCTTTTCAGGTTTTCCTGATTTGTTTGAGAAAAGGACCTAAGTTACTAGGTAAGAAATGGAGCCAGAAAAAAACGTGGCCGTAGGGAGATACTGGGCCAAGTTCAAAAAGTGCCACCCGCCCACGGGGACATCCCGGCTGGTGTCTGCCACGATGGCAGAGAAACGCCACAGGGGTCAAGAGGCCACAGCACGGGTCACTACACACAAAACCCAACCGAGCAGAGGGGCCGCAGCGTTACCGGATTGCGACAGCTCTTGCAACGCGGCTGACTCGTTGCTGGGGCTCCTCCCGCCGGGGGCGCGGCAGGGAACACGTGCTCTGCACAGGTGCCGGCCACGCGCCTGGTCAGGTCGGCAAGGGAGGCCCGTCCGCCTCGGATCCCTGAGGGAGCAGAGGGCCGGCCACGGCAGGCAGCCTCCGTCCAGCCGGGCGCGAGGCAACGCGGACACCGCGCGCCCACTGCTCCCGCACGTGCTTCCTTTCCGGTCACCTAGCGGCCGGGAGCGCGGCCAGGGCCAGGGGAGGTTACTGAGAAGGTTCCGGAGTGGGTTCACAGCGGAGGCCGACGTGGTGTCCACGCCCCGGCGCGGCCTCCAGGCCCCCTGAGGTTCAGCTGGCTCAGAACGCCGTTACTTCTTCGCTCAATCTGGCCTCGGCGCGGGGGCGTGCCCACCCCCTCCAGACTGTGATTGGTCGTCAGTACTCCTCGAACCTGCATTGGTTATCAGTATCAGCCAATCACCTTAGGATTTGTCCCTAAGCTCTCTGGGAAATGTAGTCCTGGCTCGGAAGTTCCCCCACGTGAAGCCTTGAGATTTTTAGCTGGGAGTTTCCCGAGTGTGAACAGAGTGTCCCTTTCAAGTTAAAGTCGAGACGCCAAATTCGCGCCGTCTTTTAACAAGCTATGTGGTGACTGAGCCGGGAACTTGCAGTCACGGTGTGTTAGGCTAAGCTTTCACCTGCTACCCCAGTACCCCATAGTAAGTTCCTTCTGCTGCTCCTCTTCCCATCCAGCTACCGGCTAATGTGCCTTGGAAATCAGCGGAAAATGGGTCCTCTCCTTGAGCCCTCGAACCCACATGGGAGACCTGCAAGAAGCTCCAAGCTCCTGGTGTGACAGTTGAATGGGCTAATAGGATGTTAGGGTCCTGTCCCTTTTGGAATGAGAAAAGGGGTGTCTCTTTAAAAGTGCACAAAATAAATATTATACCACCCCTCCCAAAAGATCAATGCTCTTGCGTCTGCCCAGAAGCTATTTTTAGTAAGACCAAATGCTTCCACCCTATCAAATTTTAGCTTATACGAATGGGAAGAAGTCACAAGTCAACCTGATTGTTGTTTCATAGTGAGCTAGCTAGACAGGATTCAGTTGTGACCTAGTATGGGCTTTGTCCCTCTTGCTGATTGTTAGCCCTGCTCTGCTCACCGGAACTGTGCTTACAAGACAGCGGAGCCACCACTTTCCTAAGTTTTGTTGAAAACCCCTTCCTGATGCTGAGACTTGAGGTTTCCATCCTTCCTCACTGAAATTGTCTGCATGAGAATCCTTTTGTGTGAGACAAGAACCAGTTACTTTTGTGTTGATTTCAAATTCTCTATAACTCTGGCTTCAGATCAACCTAGTTTCAGCCTAGTCCCATCTGGGGAGTGAACCAGTTAATGCAAGACCTCTCTGTAACTCTGCCTTTCAAATAAAAATGAAATCTTTAATTGGTTATAAGACCAGTTCTAGTTCTGTCTTGCTGTTGAGTCATGATGGACCAGATACTTCTATATCAGTCATCACGCCACATGCTATGCAGGAAATGATAGATGGCAAGATGACTATTTTATAGAAGTATAGTACATTAAATGAAATTGTGTTTATTTGTGAATGAGCTATGGAATGTTAATGGATGTTTCTTTGGATGTTAATGGTCACTTCTTGACAGGGTCAAACACTATGCTATGCATTGGGACTGCAAAGAAACAAGTTACAACACAGTCCCAATGTCTTAGAGGAGGAATTCACAATGTAGATTTATAATTCAACAGGAAACAAACAAACAAAAAATTCAACATGTTCCAAAAGAACTGTGGTCCTCTAAGCATGCTGGGGTTGAAGGTAGGATTTTAAAGTAGGTATGTTTCAAGGCTTTTCCAATCAGAAGACACTCAATGGGTAAAATAGGGCAGTATCAAAGAATCTGACAATACAAGACAGCCCTGTACGGCTGAGGGTGGTAGATGAGAGAGGACAAGTAAACGAATCTTAAAAATAATCAAATTCAGACCAGATAAAGAAGTTTATGAGTCTTTTTCAAAGACACAATCTTGCATTCATTACTCCATGTAACTAAACTTCAATTTGTTTACTTCTTTCTTTTAATCTGAAAGAGCATGTCCATCCATTGATACAGTCCGCAAAGATCCCCTCATAACTGGGGCTGAACTTGAGGGTGAAGCCAAAAGATGGAACTTATCCAAGTCACCTGCAGGTTGCCAATGACTTGAGCTGTCACTGCTGGCTCCCAGGGCCCACAGTGGGAGCTGGATGCAGGCATACTACCTGTTAGGTGAACCACATAGCCTGCAATTTTCAAAATCCAAAAAAGCTTTTAATAATGTCTATAGCATCTTAACCCAAAGTAGGCATACTTGGAAGGGGGCAATATGAAGTAAAAGTGAGAGAATGAGGCAAGGAAGAGCCTGAGAGGGATAAAATGCCCTGAATAGCTGAAGATGTCAAAAATTATAAGCACTAGTGTTCAAATTATCAACTGTCCAGTAAAGTTTGATCATACGTTTCCTGGAAAATTATATTTCTGGTACCTCTTCATCTATTATTGGACACAAACTATAAGAATTGTGTATCAGATTCTGTTTTTAGCAACTCATCAAAGTTGACTTTCTCGTTACAACTGACCAAAGCCACGGGGCAGGTGCTGTGCTACAGCAGGTCAAGCCACCACTTGCAGCATTAGTGTCCCATGTCAAATTGCCCTGGATGAACTCCCATCTAAGCCTCTGATTCAGCTTTCTTCTAATAAACCTGTAACACAGCAGACAATAAATAGCCCAAGTACCTGCATCCCTGTAACCCACATGGGAGACTAAGATGAAATTGTAGGGCTCCTGGCTTCAGGCTGTCCCAGCTGCAGCTGTTGTGGACATTTGGAAATGGATTGCCTCGCCTCGCCTTGCCTCACCTCTCTCTTCCTCTCTCTTTTCCCATCTATCTCTCCCTGCTCTCCACAGAAATACATCTTTTAAAAATAAACGAACTGACTAATTTCAGTATTGTGATCATAAAATGATAATAAAAAGCTTAAAGTATATATAATGCTTAAAGGGGAAGTGAATTCCTACACACACACATTCTCTCTCTCTCTCTCTCTCTCTCTCTCTCTCTCTCTCAACTCAAAGGACAGTTCCAAGACCACTGTTGTGGGTTATGTCCACCCAACAACAGATTAAAACCTTAACCTTCAGTTCCTCAAAATGGGATCCTCTATGGACACCGGTTCTAATCCCGGCAGCTCCACTTCCCATCCAGCTACTTGCTCGTGGCCTGGGAAAGCAGTCAAAGACAGCCCAAAGCCTTGGGACCCTGCACCCACGTCGGAGACCCGGAAAGAAGCTCCTGGCTCCTGGCTTCGGATCAGTGCAGCACCAGCCATTGCAGTCACTTGGGGAGTGAATCCGTAGACAGAAGATCTTCCTCTCTGTCTCTCCTCTTCTCTGTATATCTGACTTATTAATAAAATAAATGAATCTTTTTAAAAAAATAAAAAATAAAAAATGAGCTGAATATTGAGCTGTAGGATATGGTTCTAACATAAGTTATAGGGTAGTGAGACAGAATGTAAAGGAAATCTGTAGTCATTTTATTACAACAAGCAAACCTGGGAGACATCGCTCTCTCCTTCCTTCCCGCACTGAAAGAATTAAAGTCCTTTGTAATATTTGACACCTGGTGTGCCAGTTGACTCAGTCTGTGCCACCTGCTCCTTACTCTACAAGCACTCTTCATTATCAAAAAGTACTTGGCCTTTTACGTGGCTAATTGTTCCAACATCTGAATTTAGACATGGCTAGGATTAAATTTGTAAAAATAGATCTTTGCTAATTATGGGATTCATTCAACGAAACTCTTAAATGCAATCCCTTACTAATGTTCTCCCTGTGGAGTTCAGATATCCAGCTCTATTTTAGAAGGGCAGAATTTGAGACTTTCAGCAAGTTAGCAAGAAGAAAGCATCGGGCCCGGCGCGGTGGCGCAGTGGTTAAGGTCCTTGCCTTGCACACACCGGGATCCCATATGGGCGCCGGTTCTAATCCCGGCAGCCCCGCTTCCCTTCCAGCTCCCTGCCTGTGGCCCGGGAAAGCAGTCGAGGACGGCCCAAAGCTTTGGGACCCTGCACCCGCATGGGAGACCCGAAAGAGGCTCCTGGCTTCGGATCGGCATAGCATCGGCCGTTGTGCTCACTTGGGGAGTGAATCATCGGACGGAAGATCTTCCTCTCTGTCTCTCCTCTCTGTACATCCACCTTTCCAATAAAAAAAATAATAAAAATAAATCTTTAGAAAAAAAAAAAAAAAGAAGAAAGCATCAAGGACTCACACAACCTAGGATGCCTAGAATAAGAACTAAGGCAGCCTGATGCCAGTACCCGTGACAGCAAACTAAGGCTTAAGTGAGCCAAAATGCACTGAAAATACTGAAAATATGAATACTGAAAAGATAAGAGATGGCACTGGTACTGTGGCTCAACAGGTTAATCCTCCACCTATCGGTGCCAACATAACAACCCTAGAAAGAAATAAACAGTAACTTGAAAAGAATTAGTTGAGAATAAATTTTTTCTCATACCCTAAAGGAAACTAGTTAATGTTCAATGCTTACGATGCTTAACATTTGAAAACAAGTTAATGTTTTACTCTTACTTGCCTTTTTAAGGTTTTTAAGGCAAGTTTTAAAACAGAAGTGATTTGAAAGAATCAAGGGGACTGGTATGTCTGATTTTCCAAAAAGGTCCAATTAGGATGATTGAAAATTATAATTTCTGTTCCATCTGGGCCTTAATTCTGTCATTACAAGATATTTTAAAAGGGAAAAACTCCTTTAGGTCAGTTATATTAGAGCTTATTTGAGAAGAAAAAAACCAAAACAGTGAAAAAAAAAAAATCTGTGAGTCAGATGATACCCAGGACCTGCTCTGCTTCGGGCTACCACAAAATAGTCCACAAAGAAATCTGGTAGCATCATTACAAAAACAGAGGCTTGGCAGAGAGAACAGTCTAACTGTGTAAAGCTCAACTGACGAACCAGTTACTGGTGTCAGTGTGTTAGCTGAGTGTTTTGGAGGACTTCATGCAGGTGTTTTAGTCTATACAAGTCCCTTCTTACAAAATTTGAAATTTGATGAGTTGTTTGAGTTATGAGTTATATGTTTATTTCCCCAATATCGATGGCTAGTATTAGATACATTAGGGCTGCAATGAGCAGGTAAAGGTCCTGCAGCCTAGTGAGTGACACAAACAGTAATGAATGATAATATTATTAAAGCACCATGGAACAAGAGCACCATACACTAACAGCAGTATCTGATAAGAAAACCAAAATACAGGCTACTGCCATGGCATCGTA